TCTCGATGACATCGCTATCCTGCGATATTTACTGGATTAGAACCCGATCTGCTGCTTCTGATTAAATCACAAAATGGATAATCGAGACTATGTTTTTTTTTATTACTTTAGTAATGATGATCGGGGCTAGGCCCAAAATTCAATCGCTAAAAACTCAATTCAGGGTGGATCAATTTGACTGACATTTTCAGCAAATTCCCTTTACATTATCTAGTTTTTAACTATTAAAATAAGAACCGACAGCTCTTTGTATAATCTCCCATAATGTATCTTTAACAATTAAAGATCCCGTAACTAATTTTAAATGGATAATAGAGACTATGCTGTTTATCGTACTGACTTTAGTAATGATGATCGAGGCTAGGCAGAAATTTCAACCGCTTAGCTCTCGGTTCATAGTGGAGCAATTTGACTGAAATTTTCAAGAAATTCCCTTTACATTATCTATGTTTTAACTATTATAGTGAGAATAACCAACTCTTTATCTAATCTCCCATAATGTATCTTGAACTAATCGACTTGACAAATCGGCCCCGTTTGTCGCGACGCAGGAGCGCCATCACGTAGTGATCTCTAAAACTATTATGGCCACTTCCGCCTTCATTTCTATCGGGTTTGGAGCTCAAAGGACGGCAATAAACTCGCTCTAACTTGACTGAATGAAAAATCTAACATACCTTTTGACTTTGTGGAATAACAATCTATAATTCTAGTGATCTTTTTTTTGAAAATCTTATCGGATTCCTGAGAACAGATGTATTTTCTTCATGATCACCATCAAAACATTGAAGAATCGATTATGTCGTAAATTTTATGTTAATTAGATTGCCATTACTTAGATTTTCCTTTTTCTCACTGTTTTATCGTCGATTTGGGATGATACGAATATTTAGTATATATTAAAGACGTCTCTATTCATTTGACCTCATTTGACGTTTAAACCTATATAATGTACATGAATTTTAGGTACTATTTTTTTTTGCGGATGAATACAGCTGTTCTGTATTGTATTCTGTTGTAGACTGTGAAAATTTTGGATCCATGTGTCGACGCTTTAAATCACATGGATCCATTAAACCTTCTAACTGTTTAATTCCATTTCTTTCATTGAAGATTCTTATATTACAAATCTTTCCTTACACTAGAAACGTAATCACTGGGTAAAATTGTAAGTTGTCATCAGAATATGGTATTGATGGGCGTTCTGGTAAACAACATGCAGTTTCAGGTTTTACATCATGTCTCTATGTGTGTAATCCGGTTTCCTCCCACTGCTAAAGACCCCTACGCTCACGCGAATTATTGAAATAAAATTGAACCATACGTTAGTCTCTCTCTCTCTCTCTCTCTCTCTCTCTCTCTTAATGTAACAAATAGATCAATAAGAAACTATGTTGTGCAAACGTTTTGTGTTTCTGAATCAAAGATATTTTTCATAACACAATGATTAAAAGTTGAGTAAATTTCTTAAGTAAAGTCTGAGAATGCTTTGTGAAATTGGGGTCATGTCTAACAGTCCCATTACATTGTTTCACAAAGCATTCTCAGACTTAAGTGAGGAGAGTACTCAACTTTCAATTACTGTTTATGAGAAATATCTTTGATCCAGAAGCACAAAAATTTGCACATAGTTTTTTTTTATTGATGTAATTGACATTAAAACAACAAAAGTTTTATAAAGGGCTATATTGTAGTTAAAATAAGGTGAACAATTTTGAGTAAATTCTTCACTTAAAGGAGCTAAATCGCTAATATTTGGGACCTACAAATTGACACAAATGGGTCGCAGCGTATATAATAATGTAATATGAATGTATATAAACTGATTTACATTCAATCGTTTCCGTTTTTACTCTAATTTCAAAGCAGTTATGTTCGGCGAAATACGCCAGAAGTCTCAATCGAATGGCAATCTCTAGCGTCTGGTTATTCCAGTCTACACCGATAGTATTTGTTGCGCATGCTCTCCAGATAAGAACATGGGGTCACCATTTGACATGACTTGTGGAATACGTCTAACCTCGTTCTTCGAGTCGTTTGCTACAAATTGTGCTGAAACGCATTATGGTACACGATTCGTGTACCAATTGTAAAATGTTTATTTTGTCTTAAATATTGGATATCAGAAGCCCATATTTTCCCGGTAAGATCACAACATCAATGTTGATTTCAATTGACAAATAATTCGTGTTTTCAATGTCGAAGGCTTTTGATGATATTGAGTTAGAGACTTAGCTACTTTAAACAATACTGATGTCGAAGACTTTGGATGATATTGAGTCAGAAACTTTGCTACTTTAAACAATACTGATGCTGATATTGCAAAACAAACAAGAGGAAACGTTTCTTCACTTCCCTAAAAACGTTAGCTTAACGATAATCGGAAGCACAGTCTCCATAAAAAAACTAAACTGTAAGACACTTTCATCATCACATGTGGAAAAAAAACCTCTCTACTAACATTAAACCTCATTTACTGGTAATTGTCCTGTCAACCTCTTCAAGCAAACAAATATTGAAAAACCTGAGAATGCTTCGTGAAAGAGAGAGAGAGAGAGAAATGGGGTTTAACGTCCACTCGACACATAATTCGCTTGCGCGTAGGGGTCTTTAGCAGTGGGAGGAAACCGGAGGACCCGGAGAAAACCCACGAGGTTGGACAGGCGAGAGAATGCTTCTTGAACTAGGAGCCTGGTTGGTTACATTCGTATACTGATCTTATTGACTGAATAGATTTATTGATGATGATAGAAACTTTACAATTCAAGCAACAATTAATAATATAACTGACATTAAAAGACGTTAATAATTAGAATACTGTTATTCTGATTAACACCAATAATTGAATTGATGGCTGAATTATTGTTAAGTGGGTAAGATGCGGGCTACCTAGTCTGGAGGTCGCGTGTTCGATCCCTGCATTGGCCGAGAAAGTTCATTGGGATTGTCAGTGGTGCATGACGGAGGAACTGGCAAGGACAACAACTGTCTAGTCGTTCGGATGGGACGAAAATCCGAGGTTCCGTGTATACATTGTCGTGCACATAAAAGATTTCTTGGCAGTTGGAATTCAATATAAGATTAGGCAATAGTGCCGCTGCCCGGACAAAATTTCCGTCATAGGAAGCCTGTATGGCGTATGCCCGTCTTCATTAGCACAGTCCGAGCAGAACAGTAGGACGTTAAACCTCATTTCATTTCATTTCTGAATTAAATGTAGCGTCAAATAACGTGTTCTTTACGATGTAAGGGAGATAACTTTATTTCTAGTCGTTGTTTTGACGAAAAAGTTATTGTACGTGTCAAGGAGTAGAGTTGCCTGTCCAGCATCGTTGGTTTTCTCCCGGTCCTCCGGTTTCCCCCAACTGCTAAAGACCCCTACGCGCAAGCGAATTATTGAATAAAATTGAACAAAATGTTAGTCTGGACGTTAACACACACACACTCTCTCTCTCTCTCTCTCTCTTCCACAATACGTCTATCCTATCCGATTCCCGACGGTGGAACCTAATTTGACACTCCACACACAGAGATCCATCTACTCATACTTTGTTTTTTATAGTTCAAAATTTTGTTTTACTCGTCTTAACTACATTAGGATCTGGAAGAGTGTTATATAAGCTGCGTTCTGGATGGCGTGAGGAATTAGCCAATGAAGCGGTTTGATACGGCGAATCTTTGGCGTGAGGTGCACGGAACTCTGGGTTTACCACTAGAAACGTCAACGCTGATTGATTAATCAATGTCTGACGCCATAGGGTCAAAAGCCGCTCGTATGACACCTGACACGACCTTCCACTACAACTGGTCAGATCTTCGTGTAGTGTAGGCCATCGAAAGTATAAAATCAAGGAAACGAATTATAGATCTGTATGTTAATCAGATTGCTTGTTAACAAGCTGTTAATCCTACTGCGTATATAACTGACATTTTCACAATATCATTGTACCTGAAAAGGACAAGATAATGGAATCATTGTAGAAACGTAGCACCGATTAAAATACAGTAATTATTTTCCTATTTAACTCTTGCGTTTAATTTTACTCAATATCATACACAGTTGTCGACATTGCCAACATGACTTATTGGTCAATTTAAATCAACATTGATGATGTTATCTTACCATGAAAAGACGGGCTTCTGATATCCAATATTTTAGACATAATGAAAACTTTAATATCGGCCACGAATTGCGTGCCATAATGCTTTCGAACGCCAGTTATAATGAAGCTACTCGATAAACGAGGAGGCTAAATATATCACATGGGTGTAGTATGGAATAACCAGACTACCGTTCAATTTGAACTCTTCGCGTATTTCGTCGAACATAACTGATTGAATGTAAGTCAATTTATAAACATTCACATTACATTATTAAATGCGTTGCGACCTATTTGTGTCAATTTCTAGTTGTCAAAGATTTAGCTAATGTGTTCAATTAACAGAGAGAGAGAGAGAGAGAGAGAGAGAGAGAGAGAGAGAGAGAATGAGAGAGTGGGGGGGGGGTAACGTCCACTCGACACAAACTAGGTCATTTCAGGACTAACATATGGTTTAATTGTATTTCAATAATTCGCTTGCGCTTAGGGGTCTTTAGCAGTGGGAGGAAACCGGAGGACCTGGAGAAAACCCACGAGGTTGGACAGGCGACCTAATCCATGTCACTTCATTTCATTGCTTGTGACATAAATAATTCATCAATGACAATGAATAAACAGGTCACAATTTTATGGAATACAAATGTTGCTTATTACTGAGCGAGATTCCGATTGCTTGATAATGACTAGAGAAGCCTAGTCGAAACGTCGCTCAGTAATTACTAAATGCCATTCAAACTATTTATGAGCGCCGTGGAGCAGCTGTTAGCTGGAGCACTCAGCGCTATTAAAATTGATTATTATTATTATTATTATTATTGACATTAAACCGGTTTCAGTTACAATCCTTATTGATTTTTATTTTCAACTTATAGTATGTTGTTAGTGGGCTTCCATAAATAAAATATGGCGGCCGATCACTAAAGATTACGGCAAATAGATCAAATCATTGCATAGCGGATAAGTTGGTAATTCATTATAATGGTATAGAAAATCATAAATTGTCAGTGAGTGGGGAGTTGTTAGAAACATTTTCTCGAAATTCGTGGAAATTTTTTTATCGTATTTCGATAAGTTCAGGGTATCGTAGGCCGAATACATCAGGGTCGATTGGTGGTGGCCTGATTAACCCCCATATTAACCCCCATATTATTATTATATAAATATAGGGAGGTCCATTAGTGCCACAATATGCGAAGCAAACTTACTACGGGTTTAAAAATGATACAGTTTGATAATTCGTTTTAAAGGTTTGGAAATTTGATATCTGGAATATCACAATCTGTTTAGCTAATTCCATAACACCACAATTAGCCTTCCTTTGTTTTTGGCTTGTTTTCCACTGGACTTAGACTTGGTTCAGAAAAATTGGACGTTACATCCCATTTTATTTCATTTCATTTGGGAGGTATCCATTCCTTAATAGTTCACACGGACCCTTCGTAATTAATTGACCAAAGAACATGGCGTGTATTCAAATAACACACTATTTATGGATAACAATTACTGTGGTTTATTTCACTGCGACGTTTCAACAAGATTTCACAAGTCGTTATCAAGCATATAACACAAATAAATAAAATGAAAACAAAATAGCTATATATATATACACGAGCAGTGCGAACCCTCCAATGGGATGCAAAATCAGCAAGCATGAACAACTGTCCCAAGCCGTTAAATAAACAATGTACATAGATGGTTATAAACTGTAATTGGTATAGATAAGTGCAAGAATGAAGCCAAAGGATCAAACAATTATTAGCAGGTATAATGAGTCACGAGCAACTGGTCCTGACTGTAAAAACATATTAAATAAATCTATATATATACAGTAATTAGTTATAGATGAAAGTAATAATAAAAGATGAAAGGACAAGTATTATGGGGGGGGTGAAACTGAAGCCATAAGCAGTTAATCCTAACAGTGAAGGCAGTATGCAGTAAAGCAAATTGTAATTGATTTGAGGAGATGTACAAAGTTAAAAGCAATACAAATATTAAAATTAAAGGATAGTTCAGAGACGATGTAAACTACATTTTAATGATGCGATCATACGCTCTTGGAATGTAAATTCCTGGGTCCCTGTTTAGTTTTGGTTCATGCCTGCGTATATTAATAGCTTCATGGGTTCTTCGGTTTCGTTTGTTGTGGCAATTAACAGCTAACTTTTTGACGTTAGTCCAGTTCACTTGGTGGCGCGGGTTTTCAAATAGGTGTTCGGCAATGGCAGATTGGTTGGTGGGTGTTTTCGACATGTGTTCTTTGATTCTGATGTCTAAGGGCCTCTTCGATTCTCCAATGTATGATTCTCCACAGCTGCAGATGACTTGGTAAACACACCCTTTTGGGGAGATGGGTTTGGTGGGGGTTATCTTACCATTTGCTTTTATTAAATCCTTGGTTGTCTTGCCTTTGAGATATGTGGTTTCTATCTGCGCTTCTTGTTTTAATAATCTTCTAATTTGGTGGGAGATGTTTCCGTGGAAGGGTATAAACACTCGTATAGGGGCTTTATCAGGTTTTAGTTTATCTGGTTTTGGTAGGTCGGATAGTGTGGAATTAATAATCTTTTTAACCATCTGTAGCGGATACCCATCGTGTTTGGTGAAAACGTCTGTAAGGTGTTGTACTTCGTGGGGGAGTGTTTCAGGGTCACAAATGTTTTTGGCTCTTTTTGTTAGGGTGGCGACGACGGCTGCCTTAGTGCTGTTAGGGTGGTTTGATTTATAATGAATATACTGGTCCGTGTGGGTTGGCTTTCTGTATACTGAGGTAATTATTTTAGAGTCCTTTCTTTTAACTAGTATGTCTAGGAAAGGAAAACTGTTGCTGGTTTCATTCTCCATGGTGAAGACAAATACGTCGTCGTCAACCTTACGAGACCAGAATAAGGGTTGGAATGGTGCGGTTTCAATGGCTATTTCTTCCAGTGACGTCATGAAAATTTCTGCTATCAGGGGGGATAAGGGACTGCCCATTGGTAACCCATGGATCTGTTGGTAATAGTTGTCTCCCCATGTGAAGTATGTAGATTCGAGGCATTGCTTGATTAGACAGATGATGGTATCGACTTGTAAAGATGTTTCCAGTGGCGTAGAGAGTTGGCGGATGCGGGTTTCTAGGACTTTAAGGGCATCTTCTCTTGGCACATTGGTAAATAGATCAATAACATCGTACGAGAGCATTTTCCCTGGGTTTCTTATCTCTTTGAGTTGGGCGCAAAATTCAGTGGAGTCTTTAATGAACGAATCTGCCATTTTCCCTAGTGGTGAGAGTAATTTTGAAAGATACTTGGCAGTATTGTAATAAACTGAGTCTATGGAGCATATCAGGAGTCTGGCTTTAATTGGGTCTTTGTGGATCTTTATTGATGCTCTAGCGTATGGTGAGCAGGGGTGGTCTGGTTTCAGTCTGTTATGGATGTTGTCGGTGATCTTCTCCTCTTCACAGAGTGATTTCAAAAGCTTAGCATAATCTTTAACATGGTTATTGGTAGGGTCTTTCCTAAGGCGTCGGTAGGTTGAAGTATCATTGAGTAGGTCTTCCAGAAGGGTCTGGTATTCATCTGTGTTCATCACTACTGTTGCCTTACCCTTGTCAGCAGCTACAATGGTTATCTTCGGATCACTGCGAAGGTCTTTTATAGCCTTTTTCTGTTGCAGAGTTATGTTGCTTGCTTGTGGTTTGGCTTTTAGGAGTAGGCCCAGTGATGAAGACGCTGGCTGCCTAACCTGGGGGTGCCATGTTCGATCCCGGTGTTGGCCGAGAACATTTATCGAGATTTTACGGCATAGTTTCCCCGTTTCAGTGGTGCAGGGCCTAGGTCCTGGCAAGGAACAATGCATACGAACCCAATACTCAATAATGAAATGGGGTTTAACGTCCTACTGTTCTGCTCCTAAACTGACAAGGAGTAGGGTCGCCTGTCCAACCTCGTGGGCTTTCTCCGAGTCCTCCGGTTTCCTCCCACTGCTAGAGACCCCTACGCGCAAGCGAATTATTGAAATAAAATTAAACCATAATATGTTAGTTCCGAAATGACCTAGTTTGTGTCGAGTGGACGTTAAACCCCATTTCTCTCTCTCTCTCCAACTGTCAAGGGAACTTTTACGTGCACGCCAATGTGTACACGGGACCTCGGATTTTCGTCCCATCCGAACGACTAGACAGCTGTCCTTGTCAGGCCCTCCGTCCTGCATCACTGACAAGGGGAAACCACGCTGGAAAATCTGGATGAACTTTCTCGGCCAATGCAGCGATCGAACACCAGACCTCAAGGCTAGCGAGCCAGCGTCTTACCCACTTAGTCATGTGACCCCCTCAATACTCAATACTACCAAACTCAACCTCATTTTTGTGAAAAACACGGACAAAATACTTTAATTATATATTTAAAAAATGATTATCAATTTGAAGGTCAATGTCTGGCCATTTCATTACCTCTCTTGATCTCCCAATAGTAACAAATATTTACCCATACTACCAAAAATCAATCCATTTATTTAAAATAATGGGTTGTATCAATTGATCATTAATCTCATGTCTTTCAGATAACCCCAGCTCCACCTCCACAATGAAGTATAATAGTACACGTGGCAGTATAAAGGGCCTAAGTTTTGAGGAAGCTGTGTGCACAGGTTTTGCAAGTGATGGAGGAATGTTGTTGCCCGAGTCATACCCAACTATAACCAAAGATCAGTTAAAGGAGTGGGCTAAGACGCCATCTTATAGATCCTTAGTTAGTCGTATAGTGCCATTATATATAGGTGATGAAATACCTGCACAGCATTTGGAAGGTAGGTTCCAAAATTCTTAACGAACCCAGTCTGATAAAAACACAGATCCTATTTCATTTCGTATTTTTATAATTCAAAATTTCGTTTTATTTGTCTTTACTACACTAGGATTTGGAAAAGTTGTTATATAACCCACGTTCTGGTTGATGTGAGGGAATTAGCCAACTAAACGGTCTGTTGCAGCGAGTTCTAGGCGTGCGATGCACGGAACTGTAGGTATCCTATAGAAGCCTCATCGCTGATTGGTTAATCAAATGTCTGACGTCATAGGTCAAAAGCCGCTGGCAGGACCCCATGACGCGACCACCCGATACAAATTGTCAGATCTTCATGTAGTGTAGGCCATCGAAAGTATAAAAAAACGAAACGAAATATAGATCTGTATTATAATCAGATTGTAACGAACCTAACCGTCCACGGACCAAACTGGGTCACTAGAGGTCGTTTCCATCTTCATGATTCATAACGTTTTAAAGATGCATTATGTAAGAGGTAAATCATCATATTGCAGGTCTTTTATTTTGGCTTCAAATATTATACAAATTGTCATATAGACATTTATTCACATGCCAGGTCTATAATCAACTCTCTAGACTATCTGATGGCCATAATTTTCAACGGATTAATACACAATCGCAATTTCATATTTTAATTTTAAAGTGGATAATCGAAACCTTGTTTAATACCGTAGTAATGGTACTTGACAATCGAGACTATATCGTTAAACCTTCAAAGTCTCATAACTGCACTAAGAATAAAGTAATAAGACTGAAATATTCAATGTAATCATTATCTATTTTTGAACTATTAGTATTATCGCAAGAAAGGTCAACTCTTTATCTAAGAAATAAATCCATAAGCTGTGTTTTATTTTATTAGATTTGTTAGACAAGGCGTTTTCAACATTTACATCACCAGAATTGATTCCTCTACAACGTCTAAAGAATGGTTTGGTTATTGCTGAAATGTTTCATGGTCAGACGTGGTCGTTTAAAGACTACGCCATGTCATGTGTTGGACAATTTCTGGAATATTTCTTGTCCAGATCCAAGAACCACCTGACGTTATTGATTGGTATGTATGCATTTATATCTCATTGCAATTCCTGTACTTTAATAACTGGTTTCGAAGGTACTTTAATAATTGGTTTGGTAGGTACTTTAATAACTGGTTTGTTTTAGTTGGTTCTTTAATAATTGGTTTGGTAGGTACTTTAATAACTGGTTTGTTTAAGTAGGTACTTTAATAACTGGTTTGTTTTAGTTAGTACTTTAATAACTGGTTTGTTTTAGTTGGTACTTTAATAACTGGTTTGTTTTAGTTGGTACTTTAATAACTGGTTTGTTTTAGTTGGTACTTTAATAACTGGTTTGTTGTAGTTGGTACTTTAAGAACTGGTTTGTTTTAGTTGGTACTTTAAGAACTGGTTTGTTTTAGTTGGTACTTTAATAACTGGTTTGTTTTAGTTGGTACTTTAATAATTGGTTTGTTTTAGTTGGTACTTTAATAATTGGTTTGTTTTAGTAGGTACTTTAATAACTGGTTTCTTTTAGTAGGTACTTTAATAACTGGTTTGTTTTAGTTGGTACTTTAATAATTGGTTTGTTTTAGTTGGTAATTTAATAACTGGTGAGTTTGGTACTTTAATAACTGGTTTGTTTTAGTTGGTACTTTAATAACTCGTTTGTTTTAGTAGGTACTTTAATAACTGGTTTCTTTTAGTTGGTACTTTAATAATTGGTTTGTTTTAGTTGGTAATTTAATAACTGGTTTGTTTGGTACTTTAATAACTGGTTTGTTTTAGTTGGTACTTTAATAACTCGTTTGTTTTAGTAGGTACTTTAATAACTGGTTTCTTTTAGTTGGTACTTTAATAATTGGTTTGTTTTAGTTGGTAATTTAATAACTGGTTTGTTTGGTACTTTAATAACTGGTTTGTTTTAGTTGGTAATTTAATAACTCGTTTGTTTTAGTAGGTACTTTAATAACTGGTTTCTTTTAGTTGGTACTTTAATAATTGGTTTGTTTTAGTTGGTAATTTAATAACTGGTTTGTTTGGTACTTTAATAACTGGTTTGTTTTAGTTGGTACTTTAATAACTCGTTTGTTGTAGTTGGTACTTTAATAACTCGTTTGTTTTAGTAGGTACTTTAATAACTCGTTTGTTTTAGTAGGTACTTTAAGAACTGGTTTGTTTTTAGTTGGTACTTTAATAACTGGTTTGTTTTAGTTGGTACTTTAATATCTGGTTTCTTTTAGTTGGTACTTTAATAATTGGTTTGTTTTAGTTGGTAATTTAATAACTGGTTTGTTTGGTACTTTAATAACTGGTTTGTTTTAGTTGGTACTTTAATAACTCGTTTGTTTTAGTAGGTACTTTAATAACTGGTTTCTTTTAGTTGGTACTTTAATAACTCGTTTGTTTTAGTAGGTACTTTAATAACTGGTTTGTTTTAGTTGGTACTTTAATAACTGATTTGTTTTAGTTGGTACTTTAATAACTGGTTTGTTTTTAGTAGGTACTTTAATAACTGGTTTGTTTTAGTAGGTACTTTAATAACTGGTTTGTTTTTAGTAGGTACTTTAATAACTGGTTTGTTTTAGTTGGTACTTTAATAACTGATTTGTTAGTTACTTTACCTGGACGTTAGTGAGAAAAATAACCCAATTAGAACGCAAGAAACCATGGCTACTCGCGATAAGCCAGTAAATATTAATATTTGAAAGAAAACTTCATGATGGCAATTGTTGGCGTAAATGTCTGTCATTTGCTTTACAATAAAGACCTATTAAAAATTATTTCAGCTACTTCTGGTGATACAGGAAGTGCGGCAATTTCAGCCGTACGTGGAATGAAATGGGTGGATGTAGTTGTGTTCCTACCAAGAGATCGATGTTCTAAATTACAAGAATTACAGATGACCACAGTTCTGGAAGATAATGTCCACGTTTACAGAGGTCAGTGTGGAAGACGTTTAGTACACATATCTCCTCTTGCTTTCGTGTAAACTAACGGGGAATGCGAAGCCAAGAAGTTCCATCGTGGCTACGCTTCGCGGTGAGTTTACAGCACGAAGGCAAGAAGGCAAAGTTGGTGGTTGGATGGCCGAATGGTTAGCACTGTATTATAAGGTCTGTCATTGAGTCAACTGGCGTGGTTTCGATTCCCCGGTTGTACGTGACAAGGAGTAGGGTCGCTTGTCTAGCCTCGTGGGTTTTCTCCGGGTCCTCAGGTTTCCTCCCACTGCTAAAGACCCCTACGCGCAAGCGATATATTCAAATAAAATGAAACCATTTTGAGTATCTGTGTTGTTTGTTTCATTTCGTTTTTTTTAAATTTGAATGTTTTTATATGTTTTATTTTATTTCAATTGAAATGGTCCCATCTCTAAATTATAATTAGATCTACGTTGCTCATTTGACAATCTGATTAAAATACAGATCTATATTTCGTTTCGTTTTTTTATACTTTCGATGGCCTAGTAAAGACAAGTAAAACGAAATTTTGAACTATAAAAAACGAAACGAAATAGAATCTGTGTTTTATTCAGATAGACCATTTGATTAAAAGCTTATACCTTTGATTTCAGCGGACGGATGTTGTGATGACATGGATGACGTCTTTAGTAAAATCCACGCGGATACCGAGTTTGTGAAACGATATAATATTGGTTCCTTGAATTCGGTTAATTGGGCAAGAATTATGGTTCAAATTGTTCATTATTTCTATATCTATCTAAAGGTAGGCCAGGTATATCCTGAATTCTATATAATTATATTTAATTAATAGAAATAGTTAGTAATTGTCTTAAGGTATATGCTGCTACAGGTAAGAATGTAATGATGCTACAGGTATGGATGTAATTATGAAATGAAATGAAATGGGGTTTAACGTCGTACTGTTCTGCTCCGAACTGGGCTGATGAAGACGGGCATACGCCCCATATACAGTGTGCTATGAGTGAAATTTTACCCGGACAGCGGCACTACGGCCTACTCTTATATCGAATTTCAACTGTCAAGGGATCTTTTACGTGCACGCCAGTGTGTATACGGGACCTCGGTTGTTCGTCCCATCCGAACGGCTAGACAGCTGTCCTTGTCAAGCCCTCCATCACGCCGGAAAATCTGGATGGAATTTTTCGGCCAATGCAGGGATCGAACACACGACGTCCAGGCTAGTGAGCCAGCGACTTACCCACTTAGCCACCGTGATCCCCCGGATGTAATTATGCTACAGGTATGGATATAGATATGCTATGTTTAACAGAGGGTTTAGGTGGACGAGTGCGTTTTAGATCGTAAGTTCTGTCATTAAGGGGGGGGGGGGATGGGATGGCCGAGTGGTTAGCGCGTGTGTGTTGTATCATAAGGTCTGTCATTAAGTCAACTGGTATGGTTTTCGATTCCCCGGTTGTATGTGACAAGGAGTTTGGTCACCTGTCCAACCTCGTGGGTCTTCTCCGGGTTCCCCCTACTGCTAAAGATCCCTACGCGCAAGCGAATTATTGAAATAAAATTGAACAATATGTTAGTCCCGAAATGACCTAGTTTGTGTCGAGTGGACGTTAAACCCCATTTTTTTCTCTCTCTAAAGATCCCAGACTTGTACGTTACACGGAGGAGGGTCGCCTGCCTAACCTCGTGGGTTTCTTCCCACAGCTAAGGACCCTTACGCTCAAGCGAATTATTGAAATAAAATTGAACCATATGTTAGTCCCGGAATGATCTAGCTTGTGTTGATTGGACGTTAAACCCTATTTATATGTTTACCTTGTGTTTAATTTTAGATGGAACCAGATTGTGAGAAGGAAGTTGAGATAGTGGTTCCTACTGGTGGATGTGGAAACATCACGGGTAAGACACGTGATTTTATCACCCAATAAGGTAAGGTATCGCATAGATCGTCTGATTCAGTGGTGTGCGGAGGTTGGAGAACGCTAGATCGGCGACGGTTCTAAACATTTTAGCACGTATGACGTCATATGTGGGTTAGGGCCTGCAGATCTGTCAAAGTCTCGAGATGTAAACCAACAATCCACATATGACGTCATATGACGTAGGGCCGTCTTCGACCTAGCGTTCTCCGCTGAGGTTTTGTGATGCCCGAAGCTAAATCCTGGATTGATTAAATGTCCCCGTAGGTCTCAATTAAAGGGACCATGATAAACTCAATTCATCATATTGTATCTATGTAAATATACTGCAAGGGATTAGGAATATCCAAATGGCGATCATCCTCATCTACGTGTTCAACGATATAATTATAATGGCTGGCTTCGCCTTCGGGATTTTTCGGCGTGGTTTCCGGCAAACCTAGCTCGCTAGCCTGGAGGTCGCTGGTTCGATCCCGGAGTTGGCCAAGAAAGTTCATTGTGATTTTTCGGCGTGGTGCAGGGACCGACTAACAAGGACAGCTGTCTAGTCGTTCGGATGGGACGAAAAACCAAGGTCCCGGGAGCTGGAATTCGATATAAGAGTAGGCCGTAGTTCCCCTGTCCGGACAAAATTTCCCTCATAGTACACTGTAGGCGTATGCCAGTCTTCATTAGCCCAGTCCGAGCAGAACAGTAGGACTGTAGGACATCAAACCCGGTTTCATTTCATTTTTCAATTCTGCACTGACCAGTTTGTGTTACTACTTTCGATGTAAAGAAGGTACGCGCTATCGATGACGTATGATGTGACGTCACACACAGGTCTATACTGCACGCGACCTTATAGGCCAAGCGTTCGCAAAGCCGCTATGAAGCAATTGCCTGAAGTTCTGAACAGTAAAATCCTGGGTAATTGTGTCCCCCTTTTGTATTTACAGCTGGTTGTATAGCAAGAAAAATGGGCTTACCTATTAAATTAGTTTGTGCTGTAAATGAAAACGATTGCGTCGACAAGATTGTAAAAGAGGGTAGCTTCGTGACGAAACCAACAATAAGTACCATAGCACCTTCCATGGACATACAGGTGATCCTTTATATTACTCATAAGATCCGGGTTTGGTTTCTGGGCATACGTAACTTACGCCGTCTGTCAACAGTTAGCTCCGCTTGAAAACAGAAAGTAAGGAAGTTGACAGACATTTTAATTCCTATTTCGACCATTTTATTCGAAAATACTAAGCATACTTCGAGAATTTTTAGAAGTATTTATTCCGCTTCAATTTTTATATGAAATGAAACTGCATACTAAACGAATACTGTCTACAGTTAGCTCCGCTTGAGAACAGACACTTAGTTAGTTGACGGACATTTTAATTCCAATTTCGACGATTTTATTCGAAAATACTAAGCATACTACGAGAATTTTGAGAAGTATTTATTCTGCTTTCATTTTAATATTTAATGTTTTTATATTATTCCGATCAGGGTACGATGGGACATTATGACAATAATTTATGCAATTAAGGCCGTGGTGGAGCGTGGAGCTTAAAGTATCTAAGTCGCTAACTCAATATCATTTCTAAGTCCCAAAATATTAGCGATTTAGCTCCTTTAATGAGAATCGCATGTTCTTAGGCCACTGGAAAGGGGAGGCATTAAATTGGATGGGGTTAGGTATGGTAAGGGCGGAAAGGATGTTAAGGAAAACCCTACACAGTTACATTGTGAAATAAGTAATATATTACTCCGATTAGACAAATTATTTATACAATGTAGATCGTAGCGAGACTTTAAGAGTATCGTCTCCTCTTAGGCCGTTACATTGACAAATAAGTAAAATGTTATTCCGATTGAGCAAGACGACAATAATAATTATAAAATTTAAATTTTGAGACTTCAAGCTATCATGTTTTCTTATAAGCCTACGTTATTATGTACCTCGCTAAATCCCCCCTCCCCCCTCTCTCTCTCTCTTCCGACATTTACTATATGTTGGGTTACCAGACGATTAATTGCCACCATGTTTAAGATGTTCAGTAGTAGACGTGCTCATTATCATTGTTCCGACGTGGTTTCCCCTTGTCAGTTACTCAGTGGTGCAGGACGGAGGGCTTGACAAGGTCAGGTTTCTTGTCTTTCGGATAGGACGAAAAACCGAGGACCCGTGTACACATTGTCATGCATGTAAAAGATCCCTTGGAAGTTGGAAATCGATATAAGAGTAGGCCGTAGTGCCGCTGTCCGGGCAATATTTCCCTCATAGCACACTGTATGGCGTATGCCCTTCTTCATTAGCCCAGTTCGGAGCAGAACAGTAGGACGTTAACCCCATTTTATTTCATTTCATTTCATTTCATTGCTCTGTATGTCTTCCATAGATGCCTTACAACATGGAGAGAATTTGGAGTGTGGCGACAAATGGTAATGGAAATTTAATCAACCAGCTTATGACGGATTTAAACCAAACTTCAAACATTCAACTTCCAGGAACTCTACAGAACCAAGTAATTGAGATTTACTTACCGTAGTGGGCCACGGTGACTCGATGAGTCAGGTGCTCGCTCACCGAGGTTCGATCCCGGTGTTGGCCGAGAAAATTCCCCGGAAGTTTCCAGAGTGGTTTCCCCTTGTTAGTGATGTACATTTGGAAAGGTCCTGGCAAGTGTCTAGTCGTACGGATGGAGCAAAATCCCCCCCCCAATAGCACACCGCATGCAGTATATGCTTAGGACGTTAAACCCCATTTCTATTCATTTCATTTCTTTACCGTTGGACTATGTGTAATGGGTGTAACTGAATAAATTATTAAAGTTCCATGTTAGTCAAGGCACTAGATTATCTGGTAGACAGTTAAAACGGACAGGGTGGGGAGCACAGTGGTCAGTGAAATATTTTTCCCACGCAGGATCATAATTTCACCTCATAGCGTCGCATTGTAATATTAATATACAATAGCAATCTGGTTAATATACAGATCTATATTTCGTTTCGTTTTTTTATACTTTCGATGGCCTATACTGCATGAAGATTTGACCAGTTGTACTGGGGGTCGCGTCAGGGGTTCATACGAGCGGCTTTTGACCCTATGACGTCAGACATTGATGAATCAATCAGTGTTGACGTTTCTATGGGTTTTCCGTGCAGAGGCGTAACAAACCGTTTCATTGGCTAATGCCTCACATCAACTAGAATGCCTGTTATATAACAACTCTTCCAGAAACAAGTGTAGTAAAGACAAGTAAAACGAAATTTTGAACTATAAAAAGAACGAAACGAAATAGGATCTGTGTTTTAATCAGTTTGTAAAAATCCATATTGGTTATTTTATGCCTGTTTTCATTATCCCGGTTGGTGCAGAAATCCAGGTTCATTAATGTATATACAATCACAGGAGTCTGACCTTCTATCCGTATATATATATGCATACACCATGTCCAACCAGACAATATGTGTTTATTATATATTGTCTGGTTGGACATGGTGTATACAGTATGCATATATATACGGATAGAAGGTCAGACTCCTGTGATACAATAGATGTGTTGTAATGTTTATATTACAGGTTCGATCGTATATTGGATCATTCTCAGTTAAAGAAGCTGACATTAAAGCTACTATAAAGAGATGTTATAATGAAAATGATTATATTTTGTGTCCACACACTGCTGTAGCTGTAACTTATCATTACAAACAACAAAGGTATTAGAGGCGTCCATTTTACTTTGAATATGTGGAGGGGTGCATCATAAGGTGTGTCATTGAGTCAAGTGGCGTTTTTTCGATTCCCCGCTTGTACGCATGCGCGTTGTATCGTAAATCTTTCATTGAGTCAACTGGCGTGGTTTCGATTCTCCGCTTGTACGTGACAAGGAGTGGGGTCGCCTGTCTAACTTCGTGGGTTTTCTCCGGGTCCTCTTGTTTTCTACACACAGGCGATTGGTTGAAATACAATAGAACTATATGTTGGTCCCGAAATGCCATAGTTTGTGTTGAGTGGACGTTAAACCCCATTTCTTTCACCCTTACTATTGCACAGCAGTGTTACCATTATACACACATATAACTAACTACTTTCTCGGATTTAGGCCATTATATAAAATGTCCTGTTTTACATATTGTATTTTGGGTACATATCTTCCTTATTTTGTAATTCCCACTGTCCAGATATTGTCAAAATTACTATAACTCAGATTAAACTAAACATCTTTCAATGGATTTTTTCCAGTATTGGTGAAAACAGCAATATGGCTCGAGTTGTCGTAGCAACTGCTTCGCCCAGAAAATTCTCAGAAGCATTACAGGAATCTGGTGTACCATTTAAGTCTGATAAAAGTGTGGCGGAATTACAGGCAGCACCAACAAGGTATACAGATCTAGAGAAGAATGAGGACTGGTTACAGGCCCTGCGAGAAAAAATACTTGAAATAGCAGAAAGACAGAAAACTGTTGACTAAATGTTATATTCAGATATGTGATTAAGTCCATGAATATAACGGCCATTAATTGCCATAGTAAATATACATATTAAAACTGATGAATAAATTGTTAATTTTCTGAATATTAAATATATGACATTAATTGCTTTAGTAACTGTACACATATTAAAACGGATGTATAAATTGTTAATTTTCTGAATATTAAAGATATGACTTTGATTAAATTAATTGAAATTGTTTGTAATTACTCATAAAAATGGTCACATCTGGCAAGAGAATAAAATGATATGTTTGACACTTGACGGACGCTATCTCACAATCGACATATAGGTATATACATGAAATGAAATTGGGTTTAACGTCTTATTGTTCTGTTCCGAACTGGACTAATGTAGACGGGGATACGCCATACAGTGTGCTAGCGGTGGATAGCGGCGCTACGGACTACTCTTATTTCGAATTCAAACTGTCAAGGGTTTTTTTTTACGTGCACGCCAATGTGTTTTCGTACCATCCGTTCTGCACAACTGACAAGGGGAAATCGTGGACCTTTCTCCGAGACCTGTCATGGGTATATATATACAGTAGTAATAACATGATAATATAAATATACATACAAATGACGGAGTAATAGCATAATCTATTGTCCTCCTGTGGTGGCACCATTATTCTTCAGTAGGGATGGAAATGAAATGGTGTTTAACGTCCTAATGTTCTGCTCCGAAGTGGGCTAATGAAGACGAGCATACGCCATACAGTGTGCTATGAGGAAAAGTTTGCCCGGCAACGGCAGTATTCTAATGTCCTCCCGTGGTGGCACCATGAATCTCCAGTAGGGATGGAAGGCGAATGCTAGCGCCAAACGAAAGGTACATGTAATCGGCATTTACACTTTTATATAAATATTTGTATAAACTGATGCTTTGACTTTTGAGTAGTATGAACCCGTCATCTTTGTATCGACCATTTATCGTAGTATTTTAGAGGTGTAAATTCTCTCTTCGGATATAACAGACTTCGAATGATTCTTCAATTTTTAATATACCGAAACATAAATATACATATATATCGTCATACAGTACTGACAGGCAAGTTACTGCACTTAGTAAGGGAACCTAACTAGTGACTGCCTTCAATGTACAAATTTTGTAATATTTAAGGAAAATCAGATAAAAAGATAAAAGTAAATGTAATTAAAACTGACATGTCGATAGATGAACAATGTATAAAAGATTAAACAATATAATAAATCAACAAAAACAATAGATGGGATTAACGTCGTTACCAATGACGGCTTGAAAAGTGGTGACAGGTTAACTACTTATTAGGAAGTTGGCCTTAAAGTGGTTAATTTAAGAAGCATTAATTATATTAGCGATAGCAGATTATCACACCATTATAGTATCAACTGGTCTAATACGTAAGCTTTGAATCATAAAGTCTGGGATTGAGTCAAATGGCGTAGTTTAGATGACACTGTTAAAGACCACAACGCACCGGTCGACTTGTACCCACCTCCCTACAAATAGACGTCGTTCTTTGGCACGCCTAGGGGATGGGTGGGGGGGGAGTCGTTGGCCGAATGGTTAGCACATCTTTGAGTCAGGTGGCTTGATTTCAATTTACCAGTTGTATGTGACAAGAAGTGGGGACGCCTTTCCAACCTCGTGGGTTTTCTGCTAACTAAAGACCCCTACGCGCAAAAAATTGAATAAAATTGAACCATGTTAGTCCATCCTATACGACTGACTGGCAAACCACGCTGGGCGATCTTGAATAACTTTCTCGGCTTTCACCTGGATCGAACCCCGAACATCCGGGCATGCTTGTTCTACTACTTATTCGATAAAATTATCAAATTTATTTTATCATTGCCCCTTTCTTCCATTATTAGGGACAATTTATTTGTCCCATCAATTTGACTCTTGAATCATGTTGAGTGGAACCACGGTTCTTGGGTAGCCATTCTGAATTGTGACAGGAAGGATGAGTGAAATTCAAAATGGCGTCCAAGATGGCCACTATTCCAAATAACGGGGCGGGGGCAGGTTAATTATTGGTGTCTATAGCTAGGTTTTGGGGGTCAAGCCTCCAGATGGAAAACACACGACGTCATCTTGAAATCTAAGATGGTGGCTAAAAATCAACCAAACATTATAAACCGTCTTTAATTTTCAAATGGGCATGCTAGAAAAGTGATTATCCTTTAAAACCATTCGCCATATAAAAAACATAACGTCATCGTCAAATTCAAGATGGCCATCATTATGGCCGTTATTAATGACACTGTATGGCGTATGTCCGTCTTCATTAGCCCAGTCGGAGCAGAACAGTAAGAGAGAGGGAGAGAGAGAGAGAGAGAGAGAGAGAGAGAGAGAGAGAAATGGGGTTTAACGCCCACTCGACACAAATTAGGTCATTTCGGGATAAACATATGGTTCAGTTTTATTTCAATAATTCGCTTGCGCGTAGGGTTCTTTAGCAAGAGGAAGCCGGAGGACCCGAAGAAAACCCACGAGGTTGGACAAGTGACAGAACATAATATATTACGTTGCGCGTAGGGGCTTTAGCAGTAGGGGGAAACCGAAGAACTCGGAGGAAACCCACAAGGTTGGACAGGTAACAGAACATATGACGTTAAACCCCATTTTATTTGATTCCAAACATTATTCAGGAGCTGCCCAATACATGTAAATTAATTATAATGATGTAGATGAGATTACAGACACTTTGGTGTTTATATATTTTATTTCGTCAAAGCTTTGCGAATATGATACAACCAACTGCTCTTACTATACGATCAATAAAATTCGATTCATAATAAACACAGTGAACAATTATATAAATCCCTATTCACTACCAGGTACACTTAAAGTCTCATTACGTCATCTTAGCACAAATAAATATCTTCCAAACTAAAATATTGTGATACACAATCTCTAATTCAGTAATTCTCAACCAGTGTGCTGCGAGATTTTCCTAAGTGTGCCGCGAAATTTTGAACAGCACACTAAAAAAATGCGAAAAACCATGTGATTCCAATTGAGTATTCACTGGTGTCTACTGGGAAGTTGATAGCCGTGTTTTTCTTTATTTAGTTTGAGTCATTCTATGTGTCTATGACTAGTCTCTGTCTACGGATGCATGTCATCTATGACTTATGTTTTTATTTTGCAAAATTCAAATATTTTTCATATATATTTAGCCAGATGTGCCGCTCTTTTTTTCATGTGTTCCAAGGTGTCCCGTTGGCAAAAAAAAAAGAAAGTTGAGAATCATTGCTCTAATAGGAATATCGACTTTAAAATGGTTCAATTCGGTTCAGTACTTACAAAATTATGTTGAATTAAAATTTCATCGATCTATGCTGATCACCATGTAATTAAACCTGCCTCCATTTTGTTGTGGGTCAACTGAAATAGGCCTATTTTAATCTGATTGAAGCAAAGCCTGGAGGTTATCTAGCACTGGTATTTTGATTTTGTTTTCTTAATTAAAGGGACCATCCCGATTTTAACAGTGTCTCAAAAATAAAATTTTAGGTCCCAAATTATAGAGAAATGGTGTATTTACATTGTCTGAAAATTTCAGCTCAAAATATTGAGTCGTTTGGACCTGAACTTTAAAACCACTTATCCGGACACGTAACCCTTTTAAGATTTCGGGTCAGTTGTTACTTAGGTGACCTGATAATCGATTACTGTTCCTTTAGAGATCAAAACAGTGCGTGATGCATCTGCTGTACTTGATAACGAACCGTAAATTTCACCTACACAATATTTTTATGACAGTTTAAGTTGTTTGAAAACATATCATGTATATTGAGCTAGTTGCTCGGCCCTAAGGTAAAGGATTTTAAGGGTTTTTCACGCAAAATTAAACAGTTTTAGTCTCCAAAATATAATCGAGATTTGCCCTTTAAATGTTACATATTAGCATGGATTAAGCCGTGAAAAATTTGATATTTTAGTGAAAAATGCAAATGACACATTGTTACTTTAACGATTATACATAATGATTTAGTTGTATGTACAGTTAACTGATCTTTAAAATATATATCCAATACTATTTTACAATTATAACACAGAAATTTTAAAAATAACCCACAGTATAATTACAATTCTAGTAGTCCTTTAAGGTCACTGGTTGGACCTCAAATCGTTAAAAGGGTATTATGACAGATTAGATAAAGAGCTGGCAGTTTTCACTATAATAGTTAAACACTAGATAATGTAAAGGGAATATGTTGAAAATTTCAGTTCAATTGCTCCACTCTGAACCGAGATATTAGCCATTGAATTTTAGGCCTAGCCTTGATCATCTTTACTAAAGTCGGTGCTATAAAAAAAACATAGTCTTGATTATCTATTTTTGGATTCAATCATCAGTCATCAAATCCAGTGAAAATCTGATGTACAGGGTGGCATTGAGAGTTGATTATGGTCTTTTCATGTTAATAAATGTCTAACTACCGTAATAGTTTATATAACAATTCAGGCCTAAAGAAAGACCTGCAATAGGCAAGATTTAGCTCTTGCATAATGTATGTTTAAAAATACAAGAACTAAATCTGTCTATTGATGGACATTTTTCTGGCTTCAAACGCTATTTAAATTATTATTTAGACCTTCACGACAAGTCCATAATCAACTCTCTAGAGCTTTGGATGGTTTAGATATTGAATGGATTAGACACCAATATTTGCCAGAGACTGCTGTATAAAAGAACTGTCACTGACAATCAAGACTTTGTTTATTATAATGGCTGTCATAAATATGGACTGTCGGCAGAGTTTCCATTCATGACTATTATAGCAAGAATGGCTCTTTTTTTTATCTAAATCTTACATTTTTAACTATCAAAGAGAGAGAGAGAGATGGCTTTTAACGTCCATTCGACACAAACTAGGTCATTTCGGGACTAACAAATGTTTTTTTTTATTTCAATAATCTGCTTGCGCGTAGGGGTCTTTAGCAGTGGGAGGAAACCGGAGGACCCGGAAAAAAACCCACGAGGTTGGACAGGCGACCCTACTCCTTGTCACGTACAACCAGGGATTCGAAACCCCGCCAGTTGACTCAATGACAGACCGTATGATACAACGCGCGCGTGCTAATCAAAGTTTTTCTTGTCGACAAAATATTGTAATACAAAAAATTGATGTCACATGCACATAATATACCATGAAGTTCGAATTAAATTTACAGTATTAATTAAAGATGCATTATGTATTAGCTAAATCTGCCTATTGCAGGTCTTTATTTTGGTTTCAAATGTTATACAAAATGAAATGAAATGGGGTTTAATGTCCTACTGTTCTCCTCGGACTGGGTCACTGAAGATGGGCATACACTATACAGTGTGCTACGAGGGAAATTTTGCCCTGGCAGCGCCACTATGTATACATGGGACCTCATATTTTTGTCCTACCTGAACAACTACACAGCTGTCATTATCAGGCCCTCCGTCCTGCACCACTGACAAGGGGAAACCACGTCAAAAAATCAAGATGAGTTTCTTCACCAATGCAGGGATCGAACACACGACCTCCAGGTTAGCGAGCCAGCGTCTTACCCACTTATATTTAGCTCTTACATAATGCATCGTTAGAAACCAAAGGTACTTTGTTGTGCTGTTCAAAAGTCTTTAGATCCAAATTTTTAAGTTTTTGAAATTTAAAAAAAAAAAACCCATCTTTCACATGTATGTTTATTTATGAAACCACTAAAAAACAACAAATCAAATTGGTGAGGCCTCAGGGTATAAACACAAGGGGAGATAATTAGTGTTTTTTTTTTGTTTTTATACAGTAAAAACTAATCTCAGATCTATAATAATTTCAACAGATACATAAATAACTGCAAGCCAGGAAATAAGGCACCTGTCACAGACAATGTCAGGCACAGATTCAGGCTTTGTCAGGCAATAAACCTCTGGTGCTTGTCATTTTTTCTGGCACTGATTTGTCTTTTTTATTGATATTATTAATACATGTCAGAAACAAAGTTGAAAATGTTAGGTACTATTTCATTAGTGCCTGACATTTCGTCAGGTTATTTCTAGGCCTGTAAATAACAATAATACAAAACAATACAGTATATTTTAGGTTTGTTTGGAACGTTTTGACGAGACACAATGTTAAGGGGGAGGCTACCCGAAATTTTTTATTCTGAAATGTTAAAGCTATTGAATTGAAAATAGTACAAATAGTCAGGAAATATAATAAACAAGGGAAAACTAGCATTAAAATAAAGTTGTTGCCAGGGTAACACATTTTTGGGGAAATTTTTTTGAAAAACGTAGGTACACTATATCTCTGTAGAGAGAATAAGCAGTCCGAAAAATGAGACATTTGTCTTTATTAGTGAAAGAGATTTGGTGTACCTACTTTTTTCATACCCCCCCCTCCCAAAAAAGGGTTACCCTGGCAACAACTTTTTTTTCTTTTTTTATAATGCTAGTTTTCTTTTGTTTATTACATTTCCCAACTACTTATGCCATCTTCAATTCAATAGCTTTAGAATTTCAGAAAGCATTTTTCGGGTAGCCTCACCCCTCAACAATTTTTCAAGGAAACATGACATTCTGACTCACAGACGTGAAAGTTAATAATAATTTACAATTTTGTACAGCTTTACCTTTAACTGCTTAAATGCCATAAGATATGAACAATAATATGAACAACAGATACTAAGCTAATAATAAAACAATATTGGCTACTTTCAGTTTGATAGTAAGCTTTGACAAGACACAATGTTAATATATATTTTCCCCCGAAAACATGACATTCTGACTCCCCACAGGCATGAAAGTTGGTAAATTTATAATTTTATACAGTAATGGCGTATCTCAGAAATAGATTACTTCAATACCCAAGATATCAACAATAATTTCTATGACATCCGGACAAAAAAGTTAATAAATTACAATTTTTAACAGCAAAGACGGATCTTGGTAAATAGATTCATCTTCAACTGCTCGAAATAATTTCAACTGATACCAACAAACCATGAAACAAGATTATCTACTTTCGGTTTTTTTCTGAATCTCATCATGCTATATATTATGAACATTAATAAACAAATAACAACAAATGATAAAATGTGAAATCAATCATCAACCTATTGGACAATAATCCTTAACTGATGTCTCTATTAATTTAATCATAGTTCTCCAACGATAATTTCAGCTATTACACAATAAACTATAAAACAATATTGTCTACTTTTGTTTTTTATTCTGACTTTCAATGTGCGATATATTATGAATATTGTCTACTTTCGTTTATGTTTTCTAACTGGCAATGTGCGATATATTATGAATAACAAAGAATGATAAAACATGAAACCAATCATCAACCTATTGGACAATAATCCTTAACTTATGAATATTTTCTACTTTCATTTTGTTTGTTTTCTGACTCTCAATGTTCGATATATTATGAATAACAATGAATGATAAAACACGAAACCGATCATCAACCTATTGGACCATAATCCTTAACAAATGTCTCTACTAATTTAGATTTAACCATTGTTCTCCAGCGATCTTTTAAATTAACTGACGAACGTGTAGTATTTATTATCTCTTTGCATTGCGCCCATCTGCCGACACCCACTTCTTTGACTGCCTTGAATAGTTGAAAAGATTCTGCATGCGTCCATTTGGAGCGTTTAGCTGTTGATGACACGTAAGAGACACTGTTTCTATTTCTGTAGATTCCGTCTCTAGGGGGTGCCAAGCTATTGCGTGATTGAGGACTCTTTAGATTCCTGTGAGGTATTTTACTTGGAACTGTAAAAAGACCAAAAGATAAAGATGGGTTGCCAAACAACAAAACATACGCTCACAGAGGCTAATTAGCCTCTACAAAGGTTGTCATATATTTATTTTATTATAGATAATGGGAACATTTATAAGACACCAAATACTGATAAAAAAAACAAATAAAATAGGGTTTTACATCGATAAAATATGGTTTAACATCGTAAATACTGACCCAATGAGTGAATGTCCATTCGACACAAACTAGGTCATTTCGGGACTAACATTTGATTCAATTTTACTTCAATGATTTGCTTCCCATAGGGATCTTTAGCAGTGGGAGAAAAATGGAGGAAGCAGAAAAAAGCAGGTGGCACAGATGACCCTACTCCGTGTCACGTACAACCAGGGAATCAAAACCATGCCAGTTGACTCAATGACAGACCTTATGATACAGCACGTACGAGCTAACCATTCGGCCATCAAACCTCCCAGAGATGCATATTAAAAAAAGATACAAGGGAGATAATATTTGAACAATCTAAAACTTACTTTCTTCATCAGAACTATCACCTAAATCTGATACAGAATCAGAACTAAATACTTGATGACGATTTTCACGGTTTTCATTCTTCCTGTATACAAAATCATTTTTCCTAAAATTATATGTTACACCATTACGAAATATTTCCCCTTTTTCTTATTGCCTTACTGTTAGTTTGTTTAAACATACATTATGCAAGAGCTAAATCTGCCTATTTCAGGTCTTTCTTTAGGCCTGAAATGTTATCTAAATTATTAATTAGACATTAAATAACCTATCCAGGCCATAATCAACTCTAGATGGCAGCACTAGCTTGCGATCTTTAGTGGATTGTAAGCCGATTTACTGCATAACTTTCCTTCTCGATTAAACAATTAAATGGATAATCGAGACTATGCTGTTTATCGTACTGACTTTAGTAATGATGACCGAGGATTATGGGAAGTTCAGTCGCTTAGTTCTCGGTTCATAGTGGATCAATTTGAATGAAATTTTCACCAAATTGCCTTTACATTATCTAGTTTTTAACTATTATAGTGAGAACTGCCAACTCGTTACCGAATCTCACATAATGTATCTTTAAGTGAACGTTTATAGTTGTCAAAAATGGACACAAAAAGGGAAGGGGTCATAAAAATGAAAGGGAAGGGGTCATAAAAATGAAAGAGATGTTGCCAGGCAATAAAACATACACCCACAGCAGCTAAATTGTCAAAACAGTCAACAAAGGTTGTCGCATATTTATTATTTTGTAGGTGATGGGAGAATTTTCAAGACACTGATATCAATTTCATACAGATCAGATGATAACATTGTTATAGAGTTCACAAGGTTCAACAAGGGCCACAACTCTAGAAGTTGTATATAATTGTCTAGGCTTCTAAGTTTTATTAATTAAAATTATGCATATAAATTTCATACACATTGGATAATAACTTTTGTTGTTTTAGCGGTCATAAGGTTCTACAAAGTGAAACAAGGGCCAGAACTCTGGAAGTAACAGAAATTGTGTATGATGGACTGAGAGCTGACAATATACGTCCACATTCTCCATCCACCTATATTTGTAAATCATTTTGTAATTAATGAGTTTTCTAGTTTTCTACTCCCAACTACAGGTACTTACTTGATTGATTTGGTATGAGCTCGTTTCTGTGCTTCTCGTTCAGCAATTCTTTCTTCAATAGGCCTACAATATGTTTATTAAAAATTGATTGCAATTAAATGAAATGGGGTTTAACGTCCTACTGTTCTACTCCGAACTGAGCTAATGAAGACAGGTATACACCATGCAATGTGCTATGAGGGAAATTTTGCCCAGATGGCGGCACTATGGCCTACTCTTATATCGAATTCCAACTGCCAAGGGATCTTTTACGTGCATGCCAATATTGCCAATTGTCAACTCTTTATCTAAACGAACATAAGGCCCTTTATCTAATCATCATAGCTCACAATTCTGTTCACTCTAAATGTGTTTTTAGGACTTCGTTGACTGAATTCCATGTCACAAGATTGCAATAATGTCACGTTTTGGACTTACTGTTAGGCATCAATCAGATTAAAATACAGATCTATATTTTGTTTAGTCTTTTTATACCTTCGATGGCCTACATTACACGAAGATCTGACAAGTTATAGCGATAGGTCACGTCAGGGGTCATACGAGTGGCTTTGATCCTATGACGTCAGACATTGATTATCAATCAGCATTGACATTTCTAGTGGTTTACCCACAGTTTTGTGCACAGCACGCCAAGACCGTTTCATTGGCTAATTCCTCACATCATACAGAACGTGGGTTATATAACAACTCTTCCAGATCCTAATGTAGTAAAGACAAGTAAAACCCACAGTTCCGTGCACCTCACACCAAGAACTCGTCATAACAAACCGTTTCATTGGCTAATTCCTCACACCATCCAGAACGTGTGTTATATAACAACTCTTCCAGATCCTAGTGTTGTGAAAACGAGTAAAATGAAATTTTGAACTATAAAAAACGAAAACTATAAAAAAAATAGGATCTGTGTTTGAATCAGATTGTGTTAGACACCTGTAAATGAGACATATGTTATTTACCTGTGGGGTGATTTTGAAGGTGATTGTTGAGGTGATTTGGGGGGAGACATTGGAGGTGAGGAATGTGAAGACTTCTGTGGTGATGTGTGATTCCGTTTGGACGGAGACGCTGCAAAACAAAAATTACATTTGAACTAAAATCCAACTACAAGGCAAACTTTGAATCATTATTTCATGGAAGAGAGAGAGAGAGAGAGAGAGAGAGAGAGAGATTTAACATCCACTTGACACAAACCAGAACATATCGGGACTAACATATGGTTCAATTTTATTTCATTAAATCGCTTGCGCGTAGGGGTCTTTAGCAGTGGGAGGAAACCGAAGAAAACCCACAAGGTTGGACAGGTGACCCTACTCCTAGTCACATACAACCAAGGAAGCAAAACCATGCCAGTTGACTCAATGACCGACCATATAATACAACGTGCACACATTAACCATTCGGCCTACTACCTGTTATTGTGAGAAATATGGCCTACTACCTGTTATTGTGAGAAATATGGAATACTACCTGTTATTGTGAGAAATATGACCCACTACCTGTTATTGTGAGAAATATGACCCACTACCTGTTATTGTGAGAAATATGGCCCACTACCTGTTATTGTGAGAAATATGGCCTACTACCTGTTATTGTGAGAAATATGGCCTACTACCTGTTATTGTGAGAAATATGACCCACTACCTGTTATTGTGAGAAATATGACCCACTACCTGTTATTGTGAGAAATATGGCCCACTACCTGTTATTGTGAGAAATATGGCCCACTACCTGTTATTGTGAGAAATATGGCCTACTACCTGTTATTGTGAGAAATATGGAATACTACCTGTTATTGTGAGAAATATGACCCACTACCTGTTATTGTGAGAAATATGACCCACTACCTGTTATTGTGAGAAATATGGCCCACTACCTGTTATTGTGAGAAATATGGCCTACTACCTGTTATTGTGAGAAATATGGAATACTACCTGTAATTGTGAGAAATATGACCCACTACCTGTTATTGTGAGAAATATGGCCCATTACTTGTTATTGTGAGAAATATGGCCTACTACCTGTTATTGTGAGAAATATGGCCTACTACCTGTTATTGTGAGAAATATGACCCACTACCTGTTATTGTGAGAAATATGACCCACTACCTGTTATTGTGAGAAATATGGCCCACTACCTGTTATTGTGAGAAATATGGCCTACTACCTGTTATTGTGAGAAATATGGCCTACTACCTGTTATTGTGAGAAATATGGCCTACTACCTGTTATTGTGAGAAATATGACCCAATACCTGTTATTGTGAGAAATATGACCCACTACCTTTTATTGTGAGAAATATGACCCACTACCTGTTATTGTGAGAAATATAGCCCACTACCTGTTATTGTGACAGATATGGCCCACTACCTGTTATTGTGAGAAATATGACCCACTACCCCACTACCTGTAATTATGAGAAATATGACCTACTACCTGCTGAATTTTGTGTTGTGTGTACATGGTTGTTGTTACTGTTATCTCTCTCAATATCACGAACTGTTTCTTCTCTTCTCTTAAAATAATTAAAATATATTTTATTATAATAAATATTAATCATACACAATATACCTCTATATATAACAAAGCATTTCTTTCTTAAACATACATTATACAAGAGCTAAATATGCCTATTGCAGTTATGACAAAAAGTAGCGTAGATTGTTTATCTACCGGAGAAAACTCATGAGGTTGGACAGGCGACCCTACAACCGGGGAATCGAAACCCCCCAGTTGACTCAATGACAGAACATATGATACAGCGTGCACGTGCTAACCATTCGGCCATCCAACCGAATAGTAATTACACAAGACAAACATAAGGACACAACACAATACGCAGAAATAATCACAAATAAACGTACAGATTAAACATACATTATGCAAGAGCTAAATCTGCCTATTGCAGCTCTTTCTTTAGGCCTAAAATGTTATCTAAATTATTAATTAGACATTGATTATAACCTATCCAGACCATAATCAACTCTCAATGTCATCTCTAGCCTGTGATATTTACTGGATTAGGATCCGATTTGCTGTTCAACTTTCATTCATGAAATGGATAGTTGAGACTATATTTTTTATTGTCCCGACTTTAGTAATGATGATCGAGGCTAGGCCGAAAATTCAATCGCTAAATTCTCGGTTCAGAATGGGTCAAATTGACAGAAATTTTCAGTCTAGTTTTTAACTATTACAGTGAGATCTGCCACCTCTTTATCTAATCTCCCATAATGAAGACGGGCATACGCCATACAGTGTGCCATGAGGGAAATTTTGCTCGGACCATGACGCTACGGCCTACTCTTATATCGAATTCCAACTGCCAAAGGATCTTTTACATGCACGCCAATGTGTACACAGGACCTCGGTTTTTCGTCCCATCCGAACGACTAGACAGCTGTCCTTGTCAGGCCCTCCGTCCTGCATCACTGACAAGGGGGAACCATGCCGGAAAATCTGGACGCACTTTGTCGGCCAATGCAGGGATTGAACACCCGACATCCAGGCTAGCAGTCTGGCCATGTGTCACAACAATATTGTAATGCCAAATTGTATGGAATATTGTAGTCAATAGTTGTGGTCAATTTCAATGGTTATAACAGGGTGTGCACAACTCAGAACATTTAAAATTCTAGGAGTTTTCCAGGAGTTATTTATCAGATTCCAGGAGTCACTGTATAGAATTCTACCTCACAACAAATTTCTTTTTACGCTTGAAGAACATTGTTCGACTGACTCAAGAACATTTACAGCGACAAACTTTTGAGGAAACATTTGATGACCGTTCAGTTTTATATCTTAAAATATATAGTTAAACCACAAATGTTAATTTTCCAGGTGTTTCCAAGGAGTGATCTTGTTTTTCCAGGATTTTCCAGCATTGGAAATCATATTTTCATTTTTAAAGGATTTTCAAGGAGTGTGCAAACCTTGTAGTCAATATTTGTGGTCAATTTTAATGGCTATAACTATTAACTATAAGCACTGTAACCCAGGTATCATTTAATCTTGTGTATCTTTAGAAAGTGAAAGAAATAAGCGCTAGATACACAGGATTAAATGATACCTGGGTTACAGTGAAGTGTAATACTAGGATTTTGGACGATTGTTTTCAATTTTTGAAGATTCTGTCTAACCCACAAACCAAAGATTTGAATCAAGTACCCACACCTAACAACCGACTTGATTGACCTTGAACTTAAACACTAATAGAATAAATGTAACCAACCTTTTGTTGAGCGAGTTTTATTTGGGTGGATGTGACAGCTTTATCTTGAATAGCACCGTTCCTAGCTAAACTTGAAGCTTGAATTATTCTATTAATATAAAAATATTATAAATATGTATTAACATACAACTATCTTTTCTATTAGAATAGTAGCAGTCAGAATTATTTGGAAGGAATCCATTATCTAATCACAATTATGCATTATGCAAGAGCTAAATCTGCCTATTGCATGTTTTTCTTTAGGCCTGAAATGTTATATAAACTATTAATTAGACATTTATCAACATAAGACCATAATGAACTCTTGATGCCATCTGATGAGTCTGTTTTTTAACAGATTTGAATCTTTCTGCAGTTCAATGGCTGGATAATTGAGACTTTGTTTATTATCGTAACAACGGTAACAATAACAATCGAGGCTACAGTGTTATTGAAATGGGGTTTTCTTGGCTCAGAATAAATTAATTTGACTGGATTTTTCAGCATATTCCCTTTATATTATCTAGTTTTTAACTATTATAGTGAGAACTGCCAGCTCTTTATCTAATCTTACATAATGCTACTTTAAACATTTCTGTACTGTTTTGTTACCAGATTTGTTTTTTTTTAAATTTATTTTCCAACTCATGCCATAACCCTATTAGCTATTAGCCATAACCCTATTAGTGTTTAGTTTCAGTATACAGACCTTGTTTCCGTGGATTTCATTTTCGTTACCATATCACAGTATGAATCTTCTACCTGGAATCAAATAATGACAGTCAACAATGCATAGAAATAAAATGGGGTTTAATGTAGCTAAGACCTTTTGAATTGATTCCTTGTTTCTCCTGCCATCACTCTGGCAATCATGTGCGGTAGTGTGGTAAACACAACACAAAGTGGTCTAGCATAATATCTATAGTCTGAGGGTTGTGTACCATTTTTTAATATTATAAATAATCTACTTATATTATTGGTTAGCTGAATAAAAACACATATGATAATATTTAATTGAATAAATTAATAAAACAAACTAAAATTTTAATTTTCAATTAAATGGTTCAATTTTATTTCAATAATTTGCTAGTGCGCAGGGGTCTTTAACAGTGGGAGGAAACCGGAGGACCCACAGAAAACCAATGAGGTTTGGACAGACGACGACCATACTCCTTGTCACGTACAAGCGGGGAATCGAAACCATGCCACTTGACTCAATGACAGACCTTATGATCAAACACACACACATTACCATTTGGTCACCCACACACTAGCAAATCATTGAAATAAAATTGAACCGTATGTTAGTCCCGAAATGACCTAGTTTGTGTTGAGTGGACGTTAAACCCCTTCTCTCTCTCTCTTTATTTATCCAATTTAACTCATTTTCAAATTCAGCGAATCGGGGTGAAAAAAATTACTCAAATCGTTTCCTTATTTCTCTCTCCCTTGTCTGAGATCTCTCTCTCCCTCTCCCCCCCCCCCCTCCCCTCTGTCTCTCTCTGTTCAAAGGTTAAAACTATTACCTTTAACAGATATGGTCGTTCCCTCATTTCAACTAGAGGTTTTAAATATTCCACCATTATTTCTAAGAACTTGCTATAAGAATTCTCTTTGATTAATCTATGGTTTTTATTTCTTGATCTTAGCAAGGTTTTTAATCTTGATGACCAGTCCTGAAAAATAGATTTAAAATCGAAATGAAATGGGGTTTAACGTCCTACTGTTCTACTCCAGTTGGGCTAATGAAGACGGGCATACACCATACAGTGTGCTATGAGAGAAATTTTGCCCAGACAATGGCACTAAGATCTACTCTTATATCAAACTCCAACTGCCAAGGGATCTTTTACGTGCATGCCAATGTGTACACGAGAACTCAGTTTGTTGTCCCATCCAAGCTGTCCTTGTCAGACCCTCCATCCTGCACTATTCACAAAGGGAAACCACTCCAGCACTGGAAGTGAACCCACTACCTCCAGGCTAGCGAACGTCTGCCTTAGCCACGTGTGTATATTTTATTAGATGCCAGGGTTAGGTCTAACTTTGATATCTACCTTATCATTAGAACTAGGGTGTATATTTTTTTAGACATCAGGGTTAGGTCTAACCATGATATACCAACCTTATCATTAGAACTAATGTGTATATTTTATTAGATACCAGGGTTAGGTCTAACCGTGATATATCTACCTACCTTATCATTAGAAGTGTGTATATTTTATTAGATGCCAGGGTTAGGTCTAACCATGATATACCTACCTTATCATGAGAAGTGTGTATATTTGAATATTGTCTATCATACACAAGCTGTGCTGTATCAAAATCATCAGCTCTACCACATGTTATAACAGACTGAAATAAACATAATAAACATTTGTACCACACTTTAAAATAAATAATAATATAAAACGTGATTTGAGAACATGTTCATCTGCATGTCTTATTTGGTATAAACATCGATAAATAATGTAGGGATCCATAAAATAAATTACAATAAGTCTTAGTCATTCAACACCTGCTAAAAGATATATACCTGTATGTAAGGATACTCCACAAAATATAATTGTAGAGTTATCTAATTTAAAAATAAATACCCAAAAATACCTAGTACACTGATTTTGATGTTTGTTGTTTGTGCACTAGTCAAGATATGTCTCAATCTGATTAAAACACAGGTCCTATTTTGTTTCGTTTTTATACTTCAAAATTTTGATTTTACTTGTCTTTACTACACTAGGATCTGAAAACGTTGTTATTTAACTATTGTTCTGCTTGAAATGAGGGGTCAGCCAATCAAATTGTCTGTCGAATCGAGCGTTTGACCTTTTTTGCGCGGAACTGTGGGTAGACATTAGCGGCAATAGAAATCAAAACAAAGCAAAAGTAGATAAAAAAATAAATGGCGGTCGCTAATTGGTTAATCGAATGACTGACGTAATCGGGTCAAATGTCGCTTGCATGGAACCTGACGTCATAGAACGTGAACTCCCACTATAACTTGTTAGATCTAAATGTAGTGTAGGCCATCGAAAGTATAAAAAACGAAACGAAATATAGATCTATAATTTAATTAGATTGGATACAATGTATGTCTAGGTATCCTGGACTTTATTATCATTCATTAAAAAATTGTGATATAATAAATACTAATATTCCTTTTAGAGGTTCAACTTCCACAACATTATGGTTTACAAGGCAATCTGATTGAAACATAGATCTATATTTCGTTTTGTTTTTTTTATACTTTCGATGGCCTGCTACACTACGTCAAGATCTGAACGGTTGTAGTGGAACGTCGCATCAGAGGTCATACTTGTCTTTTGACCCTATGACATCAGACATTTGATTAACCAATCAGTGTTGGTGTTTCTAGTGGATTACCCACATTTCCAAGCACCTTACACCAAAAACTTGCCGTAACAGACCGCTTCATTGGCTAATCCCTCACATCACCCAGAAAACTCATTATATAACAACTCTGCCAGATCCTTGTGTAGTGAAGGCAAGTAAAACGAAATTTTGAACTATAAAAAACAAATTGAAACTTGAGATTTATTCAGAACATATAATATATATATATACTAGATCAAGTTTTAGTACCTGTGCCTTGATTAAACTACGATACCGAGATGCTTGTTTCACAGCCTTGATATTTTCAGGCCCACTCGTTCCTTCAAGATAAGGGGCTAAATATTTGTCAAAAAACTGTAAGACTGATTCCAATACTGTTTTTGTCTCTGAGGAATCGGTGGATTTTTCATAGGACGTCTGATAATCTTCTCCGTCTGACAGACGGCATATCAATACTAAGAAATAAATATCCGATAACAATTTACTTGTTCTAGCATGTGGCAGTGAGATGGTACCTAGAAGATAAAAATGATTAAATTACACTGTGACACAAGAGAGAGAGAGAGAGAGAGAAAGAGAGAGAGAGAGAAGAGAGAGAGATAGAGAGAGAGAGAGAGAGAGAGAGAGAGAGAGGGGGGTAATGTCCACTTGACACAAACTAACATATGGACTAACATATGGTTTAATTTTATTTCAATAATTCGCTTGCTCGTAGGGGTCTTTAACAGTGGGAGGAAACCAAAGGACCCGGAGAAAATCCTCGAGGTTGGACAGTCGACTCTACTCCTTGCTATGTACAACCACGCAAGTTGACTCAATGCCAGACCTTATGATACAACGCGCAAGTGCTAACCATTCGGCAAACCAACACCCTGTGATAGAACAAGAATTACCTGTTAACCTGTAATTCTCAACCATCGTGTTGATCTTCTCCATCTGATTCTCAAACATTTGTATCAAGGGACGCGAAGAACGAGGCTAGACATATTCCACAAGTCATGTCAAACATACAATCTGTGTATGTTCGAGTCTTGTAAAGGCTGATCAGCTCAAACATATTTTGTGTATGTTTTTTAATCGCAAAATTCTACTTGAAAATAGCGTTGAATTATTAAATTTGTGTCGCATGTGACGAGAAATAATTTTTTATAGCGAACATTTAGAAGAATGACAGTGAAAAATAGTTGGTAAGGATTCCAAATTAGCCTTAGAAGAGAGGTGGGGAAGAGCGGTATTTTCATATTGCAGCTGTATAGGGATGGGTAGGAGCGGTCAGGCGTCCGATCAGAGAATGTTTCTAATGAACTAATATAATATAACTATCAGATTTACACTGTATTTACAGAAATGATCCTATTTCTACTATCTAGCTTGACGTCCATTTAATGAATGGACTATTCGGACATGAATGGGATTACAAGAGAGTAGAATTAGGCATGACCCAGATTAATTTATCATTATTTTGTGGACTTGATATTCGAGTCTAAAAGTAAACAGAATATAGCGTCCTTCTCTATTTCAAAAGTAAGCGGATCTCTAAAATAAAAACTTATCGATAAAATCGCTTGAAATTTGGTGTGCACCCAGCTGTAGGCCCTATTCGTCGATGCTCCCCACCTTTAATACAATATCTACGGCCGCGGGTAATGGTTACTATATTAATAATATTAATAAAGAGGTGAAAAAATAACTTCCTTTCCTACTCCTAGCTAGACCTAGTTCTAGTTTTAGTTTTTCACTGCGATTGGCGTTACCAAAACGCTTCATTTTAGATTTTATGCTAACCTTGAACAAAGTCTCTAATAGACTCAACAACCATAGTTGTTGAAAATTCCTTCCACGCTGCATGACAAGCATATTCTATTATCCAACTGTTCAAATGTTTTTCAGTTGATGAGGAACCCGCCATTTTTGTTTTACCGGTTGTAGCTATATTTTGGACCGGAACCGCACTCCTCACCACGCAGTTTTTGGACCTGGAATTGTTAAAACTTCAGATGCATATTATATTCCAAATTATCAAAACTAAAGTGGGGATATAAATTCAATAGCAAATTAGATGCATTAATCACACAATATGTCGAAAAATTTGACTCTCTGGCTCCAGAAAGCTTGTTCAATGGTTAGAACTAAGACCATGTTTGGTCAAAGGTCACGAGGTGTAAACACTGAAACAGTAATTGGGCTAACGCTAATCCCAACCCTAGCCCTAACGCTTACCCTAACCCTAACCTACAATCTCGCCAACAATCGTGTGCCCTAACCTTATTTACATCCCGGCAATCTTGACGAAATCTTGAGTTGGCCTTGAGAATTAGATCTAGCCCGATAATAGATGCCACCGACATTGCCCCCTCCCCCCGCGCACGCGCATACTTAAGTATTTACTCAATATTGTTTGCCTTATTTTAACTAAATTATAATAGCCCTTTATAAAACTTTTAATTTGTTTTAATATATCAATAATACATTAATAAGACACTATAATGTCTATCAAAGATATTTCTCATAAACAGTGATTGAAAGTTGAGTAAATTCCTAATGTAATTCTGGGAATGTTTTGTGATGGGAGGAAACCGGAGGACCCAGGGAAAACCCACGAATGGTTGGACAGGCGACACCTACTACTTGTCACGTACAAGCGGGGAATCGAAACCATGCTACTTGACTTAATGATAGACAGCAGTGCCGGATTAACCTTGTGGGGGGCCCGGGACATACCAACTGTGCGGGGGCCCCATTGTTGTTTGTTCAAATTTTTCATACTGACCGCGGGTCGTACTAGTATGTACCCCACCCCCTTGAGTGCCTGAGGTACGTGTTTTCATCCAGGATTAATTTCAGTGCATCTGAGACAATTTAGGCAGCGATTTCCTGGGCCCCCGAAAATCTGTTGGTACCTACCAGTAGGCTACCGGGGGCCCCTAATATCCCTTACTGCCCTAGATCTGGTACAATTAAAGTGTAGCCTTGAGTGTCATTGCTACCTTTGTTATGATAATAAACAAAGTCTTGATTATCCATTTTTAGGGTAAATCATCAACCGCAATTGTATGGTGAATTTTTCCTTGAGTATGCCCATATTGTACCTCTTGACGCATTATGGTCGAAAGTTCCGGAAGTGTAAATCCAAAATGACTTCTGACTGTTGATGCGGTCCAAGCCCTTGATTCTGGTTCTACTATTATATTACTTTACCTTAAAGTAGCTAAGTCTCTAACTCAATATCATCCAAAGTCTTTGACATTGAAAACACAAATTATTTGTCAATTTAAATCAACATTGATAATGGGATCTTACCAGTAAAAGATGGGCTTCTGATATCCAATATTTAAGACAAAATTAATTTCCACGACACAAATTAGGTCATTTTGGGACTAACATATGGTTCAATATTATTTAAAAAATTCAGTTGCGCGTAGGAGTCTTTAGCAGTGGGAAGAAACCGGTGGACCCGAAGAAAACCCATGAGGTTGGACAGACGACCTTACTCCTTGTAAGGGAATCGAAACCATGCCAGTTGACTCAATGACAGACCTTATGATACAGCACACATGCTAACCATTCGGCCATCCAACACCCCCCCTGTAAATAAAAGAAAGCAACAGAATGTCTCAACAAGACAATACTTTATTTTGAGACTATCCTATAGTGATCGTGTTTCTATGGTTACATTTCAGTTTACTCTCCATCTAGTGTTCTGTTATGTACACGGTGGTCCTTAGTTTTTTTTGTTCCATCTGACCAACTAGGCATCACTCAACTTGCCAAATCTGCATATGGCTTGAAATATTCCAATGCAGGGATCAATCACGCGACCTCCAGACTAGTGAGTCAGTGTCTTACCAACATAGCCACCGTGGCTCCCACTGCAGAAAAGTAAAACAAACGCCAGGTAATATACTATGAAAACCAAGAGCTATATTTTATTGTACAATATTTATATATAATTTATAAATCTAATGTTGTTGATGATTGTTTCATGGCGTTATAGATGTAAGTATTATTGATGGGTAGAAATTGACTTGTGACCATTTTAATAGCTTCTTGAGCGGCTACACCACCTATATAAGCTGATATTGTGTGAAGTTCCGAGGCACCATATCTACACCTGTATAAAATACAAATAATCACGTTTCAATTTTATAGAATGTTGAAGGAATTACCACAAATAAAGTCACCTTTTCGGCCTCTCATAGTATAAATACAAGCCAACAGTGAGGCTGATCTCCCCCGCTGAAATCCCAAAATAAATAGATGACACATATTATAATTAATAGGAAATTAATTTTTTTTCAAAGGTTACAAGGAATCGAACAAATTATCAACTATACACTAAGTTACATCACTCTCTATCAGATAGAATCAAAGTTATCTTGTCCTAAAGCATCGACCCATGAAATTGCTTAGCTCTGTTTAGCTTTAGCTTGAAATGTTAATCATTGAACTCAATCAATTTTATAAACATGAGGGTCTGCATTGACAGACAGGTTAAGGACCATCGTGCCCAAACTGGGTTGAGCGACAACGCAGATAGAAAATGATAAATTAAATGTTGAATCATGAACTTAAATATGTCAACATATTCTGTCAGCGTGGATGGGTGAGTGGGTAAAGATCTATCTGTAGGTTATTCATTTGGACGCAAGTGTTGATATTTTGTGACTGTCCCTTAGAAATCATAATCTACATTAACACCTTGGACCGTATAATCCAACTTTTCAAACTATGTTTAAGAATATTAGTCTTCAGGTTGGATATACAATGGATTTGAAGGAAGTGTGTTTTTTGGCCTTGATGTTGTAACTTTAAAACTTACATTTCATGAATATAATCATCTTTAACTGTAGAAGATATAGACCAATCTTGTAATAACTTTGATAAACATGCCTGAAAAATATATACCGGTACATAATATTGTAAGGTCACTGCAACACTGGATAAATATATTGTAATTCCTTTAAACCCTAGGAGCCAAGAGGTTGTGGGTTCAATAAGTGTGTTGGCAGAGAGAGAGAGAGAGAGAGAGAGAGAGAGAGTTTATGTGCACTGGACTCAAACAAGGTCATTTGGGGACTAACATATGGTTCAATTTTATTCACTTGCGCGTAGGGGTCTATAGCAGTGGGAGGAAACCAGAGGACCCGGAGAAAACCCACAGGGATGGACAGGCGACCTTACTCCTTGTCACATACACCCGGGGATTTGAAACCATACCAGTTGACTCAATGACAGACCTTATGATACAACGTGCTCATTTTAACCATTCCGCCACCGAACCCCTCCTGCTGACACAAAAAGATCATGTTCTTGAGTATTTCATGTACCTTTAATTCTGTTATATCTGATAAGATTATGCTCTAGAGTATTTCAAACAAATTTACAAAGAACCTTTAATTCTGTTATATCTGATTCTACCTGTTGTGTATAATAGCCCGGGTAGTGGTTATATTTCTGACACAATAAGATTATGCTCTAGAGTATATACAAGTACCTTTAATTCTGTTATATCTGATTCGACCTGTTGTGTATAATAGCCAGGGTAGTGGTTATATTTCTCGTAGAATTTATCTACAGATCGTAGTAACGTATAAAATACCACGTCATCACCATCTTCATCCTCTAAATGTTGACCTACAATAATATATTTAATATTTTAATATTTATCTTCAAAGCCCTTTTAAAAATCGAGAGAGAGAGATCGAGAGAGAGAGATTTTAATGTCCACTCAACACAAACTAGGTAATTTCGGGACTAACACATGGTTCAAATTTTATTTCAAATGGCTTGCGCATATTGGTCTTTAGCCGTGGGAGGGAATTGGAGGACCTGGAGAAAACCCACGAGGTTGGGGTTTTAACGTCCACTGGACACAAACTAGGTCACAAACATATGGTTCAATTTTATTTCAATAATTCGCTTGTGCGTAGGGGTCTTTAGCAATGGGAGGAAACCGGAGGACCCGGAGAAACCCCACGAGGTTGGATAGTCCACCCTACTCCTTGTTACGTACAACCAGGGAATCAAAACCATGCCAGTTCACTCTATGACAGGAGGCCTTATAGTACAACGCACACACGCTAACCATTCAGCCATAAAACCCCCACTTAGACGAGGATAATTCGTCCCAACAGACAATTCGTCCCCGGACAATTCATCCCCAATATTCCGGGGTCGAATAGCCATAGGGGTCGAAGATTTCTAAGGGACTAATAGTTCTGATACGAATTGTCCGTAGACGAATTGTCCTCAGGGAGGAGTTGTCTGGGGACAAATTGTTCACAGACTTATTGTCCTAGAGTCCTATATCCTACCTATTAAAGTTAAATTTGCAGTTTCTGGATTATATTCTTCCTTTAAACTTCTACATCTTATTACACGAAGAAAGGCAGAATTACGACCTGAAATAAATTATCGGCAATTGTTAAAAATATCATTAAAGGGGCATTATGTAAGATTACATAAAATGAAATGGGGTTTAATGTCCTACTGTTCTGCTCCTAAACTGGGCTAATGAAGACGGGCATATGCCATACAGTGTGCTATGAGTGAAATTTTACCCAGGCAGAGACGCTACGGCCTACTTTTATATCGAATTCCAACTGCCAAGGGATCTTTTACGTGCACGCCAATTTGTACACGGGACCTCGGTTTTTCATCCCATCCGAATGACTAGACAGCTGTCCTTGTCAGGCCCTCCGTCCTGCATCACTGACAAGGGGAAACAACGCCAGAAAATCTGGATGAACTTTTTCGGCCAATGCAGGGATCGAACACCCAACCTCCAGGCTAGCGAGCTAGTGTCTTACCCACTTAGCCACATGATCCCCCTATCATTAAAGGGACATTAGGTAAGATTAGATAAAGAGCTGTCAGTACTAGCTCTAATAGTTAAAAAATAGATAATGAAAAGAGAACATGTTGAAAATTTCAGTCAAATGGCTTCACTCGGAGTTGAAATTTACCTGTTGCAGGTAATACGGACATTCGGGTTTCTGTTATCGAAAGGATATGTTGACTTAATTTCAAGTTTCGTCAAAATCGGAAAAAAATAGTGACCAGTAGTGTCCACGAACAAAGTGTGGACAGACGGGTGGACGGACAAGGGCATTATACATCCACGTGAATATGTGACCGTATAAAAACATATTTTACACTTAGAGATGGTATTAAACTTATTACTTACAAAATGTTTTGATATCTTTTTCACTAATACTACAAGGGTTCTGAAAATAATAGAATTTATACAACAATTAACATCAGTTAAAATTATTCCATTCTAGAATAGATAGAGAAATACATGTATAAAAAATGCTGTGTGTCAGATTAAGATATTTATTGAAAAATACAAAATAATCACATAAAAAAAATATGTATTAGAAATTTTATCTCATTTAAAGACCAGGAAAACGGGTGAAATTTTTATTTATGGTAGATTAGAATTAAAGATACATTATGGGAGATTAGATAAAGAACTGGCAGTTATCATTGTAATAGTTAAAAACTAGATAATGTAAATGGATTATGCTGAAAATTTTCAGTCAAATTGCTTCACTCTAAGCCGAAAAATCCTTAATTTAAAATCTTTGTAGCCTCCGATTGTTATTGTTAGCGCTGTCACGATAAGTAACAAAGTCTTGATTATCCATTTTTGTGTTTAATCATCAACAGATGTTGAACAGCAGATCGGATTCAAATCCAATGAAAATCTGACAGATAAGATGGCATTGAGAGTTGATTACGGTCTTTTCATGTTAATAAATGTATAATTTAGATGAACATTTAAGGCCTAAAGAAAGACCTTCAATAGGCAAATTATCTCTTGCATAATGCCTGTTTACAGTTGTTTTAATCTGTGCAGTTTCCAACTCAGTCTAAGAAAGTTTCTTTATATCCATCATAAGGCTCACAACGGACACCTTCTTAATTAAAGATGGATTATGTACGAGCTAAAGCTGCCCATCAATAGGCAGAAACATACATTATGCAAGAGTTAAATCTGTCTACTGCAGGTCTTTCTTTGGGCCTTAAATGTTATATAAATTATCAATTAAACATTTATTAACATGACAATACCATAATCAACTTTCAATTAGAATGGTTCGGCCATTTAATGATTTAATTTAAAAATGGAGAAGTGAGGCTAAGACTCAAATAACCAGCACCGTTGTTACCACAATAAACAATCAATGCACACATCTTGTCAAAACTATAAACATTGATAACTTCGACCAGAATAAAGTAATTTGAATGAAATTTTCAATATATTTTTTTTCTAAATCTTACACAATGTATCTTGAAAGTCACTGATTGTCACTTTTATTTTTGGGACATTTCCAATTTTTCACGAATCAATTCACTCGAAAATGTCCTCAAATTGATTATTCAACATTTTAAGAAAACAAATGAAAAGCCCCGGTCGGGGAAGAACGATCTAAGTCACTTTTTCAACGAACCCCACATCAAACCAAGGCCCTTCTGAGCCAGTGGGAAACAGACTCTCTTCCAAAATACAATTATCCATACCGTAGGACAACTGCATAGTAGTTGTATTAAGGCAAATCCTATAGGCACTGGGTTTGTAACGGAGGGAGTGGTAAATCATATGTAATAATATGTCGCGTTTCTATTGAACCGATGAATCTGATATGAAGAGCCCCGGGGAAGAACAATCTAAGTCACTTTTTCAAAGAACCCCAGTTAATGGCGCCATCTGGTAGCAAATTGCATAAACTTTCTGTGGAACAATCAATTTCAGGTAAAAACGATCGAACCAAGGCCCTTCTGAAATGGCCTCCCGGACAAATACAAGTCCATCGTACCCTTTATTTAACCTTAATTTGCCTGAAAAGTTGAAGTCAGTTGTACTGGTAATTATGATTCGTATTAAACATCATTTTGAAGTTGTAATTAAACCCACTCGTTGTTCTGTTCGCGTCAAGCATTCTCGTCCAAAAGTCTATTTTGCCTTTTATGCGAAAAGACAAAAATGTGACTTGGATCGTTCTTCCCCTGGACTCTTCAAAATCAAACTATCAACGATACATAATCTCCCAGCTTAGACATGGATTAAAATTAGCTCAAACTATCAACGATAGATAATCTCTCGTCTAAGACATGGATTAAAATTAGCTCATCTAAAATAAGCCCCATATACATTGAATGAAATAAAGCGAGGTAAATAAATCTTCACTTGTCTATCAGCGGCAATACTATATACCGGAAAACACTGGAAAACTACCGGAAAACACCATTTTATACTGAATACCAGAAAACACTGGAAAAACACTAAATACCGGAAAACACACTAAATACCGGGAAATACCCTAAATAGGTAACCCGGAGCCTGGTCCTCTGTGTGCCTGGGTTAGGGTTAGGGTTAGTTTCCGGTTTATAGTATAGCCCTTCTCCGGATTACCTATTTAGAGTGTTTTCCGTTATTTAGTGTGTTTTCCGGTATTTAAGGTTTTTTACGGTATTCAGTATAACATGGATTACCTATTTAGGGTGTTTTCCGGTATTAAGTGTGTTTTCCCGGTCTTTTACGGTATTCAGTATAACATGGTGTTTTCCGGTATATAGTATAGCCCTCTATCAGGATTATATGGAATAATGTTGTCTATCAGGATTATATGGAATAATGTTGTCTATCAGGATTATATGGAATAATGTGCAATAATTGCAGGAAAATGCTGAATACCATGCACACAGCATGCAGGTTGATTATCTTGATATAACCAGTTCATTAATTAATTTTCTTGAAACCTGAAAACATTCAGAAATTACAAAGGCCAGAATAAAATTCACAGTCTCTTGAGTAGAACCCATTCATAGGTTCAGTAGTCACTACAGTTTCATCACTACATTATCGTGTTTGACCGAATAAAATGAAATGAAATGGGGTTTAACGTCCTACTATTCTGCTCCGAGTGGGCTAATGAAGACAGGCATACACCATACAGTGTGCTATGAGGGAAATTTTGCCTGCACAGTGGCCCTACAGCCTACTCTTATATCAAATTCCAACTGCCAAGGGATCTTTTACATGCATTCCAATGTATACACGGGACCTCGGTCATCCGAAGGACTAGACAGCTGTCCTTGTCAGGCCCTCCGTTCTGCACCACTGACAAGGGGAAATCCTGATGAACTTTCTTAGCCAACACCGGGATCAAACCCGCAACCTTCAGACTAGCAAGCCAGCATCTTTCTCACTTAGCCTGATGAACAAATATCACTGACTGTCCCCTTTTACAGTTTCGTACATTATACTACCGGACTTGGACTTATTGATACTACCCACTCACCCTCCATTTCATCATTGCTATAACCAAGTTTTATTTCGTCTGAAAAATACAGTAACGATTTACCTTTGTCATTATCAAGAGATCGGGCACTAATTTAATTAAACACGATAATTTAAACAGTTCTAAAGTATTATTGCAGGTTGATTTACCTGTAAGTTTCTGGTTATTGTTATAGCTTTCAAGATAACAGATTTTCAAATCTCAAGATCAAAGAGCTGGTTTTGCCAAGATGAGGAATTATATGAAATGATTATGAGTATATGATTATTTGTGTATTCTGAATTATTATCTTAATTCATTTTTTAAACTTATTTCATGATTTTAGGATATTCTCTCATATTCAAACTTATTTCATGGTTTTTAGGATATCGTCTCATACAGAAAGTGAAATATTCATGATAAAATACAAGACCAACTGTTAAAACTCAGATACAGGTACTCCATAAGTCAATCTGATTAAAACACAGATCCTATTTCGTTTCGTTTCTTATGTTTCCAAATTAGCCAATGAAACGGTCTGTTACGGCGAGTTCTTGGCGTGAGGTGCACGGAACTCGGGGTAACCCAGTAGAAACATCACGCTGATTGCTTATTCAAATGTCTGACGTCATAGTGTCAAAAGCCACTCGTATGACCTCTGACGCGACCTTACACTACAACTGGTCAGATCTTTATGAAGTAGAGGCCATCATAAGTATAAAAAAACGAAATGAAACATAGATTTCTAGAATCAACATGAGTCCACACATGAAGAACTACCAATACTATTTTTATCGTCATCCAGCACATGAATTTCTTTGCTTAGAGTTTTCCTGAATTAAGATAATATCGTTTCAGTAAATGTCTGTGAATTTGTTTGATTTTAATCTGGGATTAGTCATAAATAATTATGCAACAAAATTCAAATCATATTCAAAATTTATAAAATTAAAACCAAATCTTGAAATGTTTAGTAACTGATTTAAAATAAGTGGCGAATTAGAACTAGAACATTCGAAAAAATCAACAAACAAATATTGATAGATTTCATTTTTAAAAAAAGTTAAATATATTGTAATTATAGTTTTTAAAAACTCTGCCATTCCCATCGCTGAATAATAAGTTAAACTGAAATTGCATGAATGGATGGATTATAAAACTGATTCTATATCATATGAAGGATATACAACGCAGGACAGAAGCATGCACAGTGCAAGAATTATAAAACTTCTACACTCAATATGAATTAAAAACTCATTTTTGAATTTATAAAGACAAATTTCTGCAATATTTTGAAAATTTAATAATCAACTTAAGGGACAATAACACTCTTGTTGGCTTGACAGCTCCAGAAAATAAATAATAGCTTTATTCTAAGTACTAGATGTTTAAGGGCCCTACCTGTTGTGTAAATTATCCATTACATCCTATTTTACTTGTCCAGATGGTTCGAAAATATTTTAAAATCCAAGTCACATTTGAAAAGGTTTACGTTAGGCTTTTCAAATCATTTAGTTGAATTTTTCCAATTTTTTAAATTAGATGTGTTAAGATGAAATTTGTATCATCAATTAATTGGAATATTGTAAAATAGTACAATTTGTTGACCAGAATAAAGATTGGGATATATTATTCAGTTACAACAAGAGTGGTATTGAGCCTTTAATTAGATTTGGGAAAGATTAATTTGTATGTTATGTGCATCATTGGTATCCAGTGTGATCTCATTCTGTTTCACTCAACTAACACCAGGGTTCACCAATGAGGGAGACACATATTCAAATTATCTGCCCTTGATGACTGTGCTATTTTTATCAACCAATCAAAAGAATTGTTAAATACAAAGGAAGTTGGCAAAGGGAATTAACTCTTCTCTTGTTGCAACAAACAATCCAGCATATTGTTGTGAACGTAAGTAATGAGGCCAAAACTGGTTGGTAAACTGTTTTTTGATTGGTTCATAGAATCAAGCTACAATCAAGGGCAGATAATTTGAATATGTGAAAACCCCATGGATGAACCTAGGGTATATTGAAGTAGAACGGAATGAGACCACTGGGGATACCAAGGATGTGTTATGTCACGACGAAGTTGAGAATAGAATGTTTTATAATTCAATTAAACTCCAATTGGCTAGACATCTTTGATGTGGGTCAAAAATAAAATTCTTGTTTTCATTGGATTTATTTTGTGGTGCGACAATGTGCTTTTTAAAAAAAGAATATTACATCGATAGATAAAGCCAGAGTTGAAATACCACCATGTTGACACAGTAAACCAAAACTAAACTAAAATCAGTAAACAAGCCAACTTGATCTTAATCTTACAAAGCCTGCCCCCTCACTAATCGAGAGAGAAACAGGGTTTAACGTCCACTCGACACAAACTAGGTCATTTCAGGACTAACATATAGTTCAATTTTCTTTCAATAATTCGCTTGCGCGTAGGGGTCTTTATCAGTGGGAAGAAACCGGAGGACCCGGAGAAAACCCACGAGGTTGGACAGGCAACCTATTCCCTAATCGAAATACCACGCACGATCAATCCAATTGATTTTACTTTATTTTGCCGTAAATCAAAGAAGTTTAGCTCCTTTAAACGATGAGAAATCTAACTTTAAAGTTACGATAAAGTAGAATAAAAATAATAACTGAATGTAGAAGACTGGATGTTTTAAACTGGTTGCAACCTAGCAGAGGTTCATCCTACAATATAAATATAAATAAATTGTCACCAATATGGTATCACATTTTCTTTTTGTTTGTAAGAGAAATTCAGCAACTCTTGACGTGATGTGCATGGTAGTAGAAATGTTTCCTGAAATCTGTGGTGACAAATGGAAATCCAGCCATGTGCCTACCAATCTGATAAAAACACAGATCTTATTTCGTTTCGTTTTTTATAGTTCAAAATTTCGTTTTACTTGTCTTTACTTCACTAGGATCTAGAAGAGTTGTTACAGAACCCACGTTCTGGATGATATGACGGATTAGCCAATGAAACAGTCTGTTACGGCCAGTTTTTGGCATGAGGTGCTTGGAACTGTGGGTAACCCACTAAAAACCACAACACTGATTGGTTAATAAAATGTCTGACATCATAAGGTCAAAAGCCACTTGTATGACCTCTGACGCAACCTCCAAGTACAACTGGTCAGATCTTCATGTAGTGTAGGCCATCGAAAGTATAAAAAACCGAAATATAGATCAGTATTTTATTCAGATTGTGTGCATACAACTCTTTTTCAAACCTAACTGAATCTTTTTCCTTATAAATTTGTAAGAGCATTAATGCTATGTACTTACGAGCTATATAAAACTTAATAAATTCAAACATTATTTTCAAAATGAAATCATAGAAGTTACCTGACACACAGCATAAAAAAAATTATAAAGTTTATAATTAAAATCCCATTTTCATTGAGGCTGTATTCTCACGGAGCATAGCTAAGATAGTATTGTTAATCTTTTAGAGGCATTTAATAACTGGATAGAGTAATAAACTATAACACATACTTATGGATAAACAATTTTCAAGTACAGTAACAAATGAAATGAAATGGGTTTAATATCCTACCTTTTTGCATCGACTGGACTAGAGAAGACAGACGTACAGTCACTCTAATAAATCAGTAATTTTTCTTCCATAAGTATATGTTATAGTTTACTGCCAGTATTGCTAATGATAAATATTGAAGTCAGAGATATGCCGCTGTGGAATGCGACTTCAATGAAGATAACTTTGGAGGCGAATCCACGCCGCCCTCTTCTGGATCCGCCCCTGAACTTTAAGATGTACAACTGGAATATTTCTGCATCATGAAAATAATTCAAAGGGCCATAGAGAAAGAACAGATCATATTATTACTGCTTTAAATAAATGACAACCTGTGAAAATTTGAGTCAATATTTCAAAATATTAATTGAAAGCCATAGGAGACATAATGTCTTCTGTAGCCTATATGTGTCCAAGTGTTGGCCAAGAAAGTTCATCAGACTTTTCTAGCGTGGTTCCCCCTTGTCAGTGATGTAGGGCAGGGGCGTGGCACGGACAATGTACAGTCATTTGTATGGGACAAAAAACTGATGTCCTGTGTATACTTTGGCGTACACTTAAAGATCCCTTGGTAGTTGGAATTCGATATAAAAGTAAGCTGTAGCACCGACATCAGGTCTAAATTTCCCTCATAGCACACAGTATGGCGTATACCCATCTTCATTAGCCCAGTCTGAGCAGAACAGTAGGACAATAAACCCCATTTCATTTTATTTCATTTCATATAAATGTGCATGTTAAAGATCCTTTGGCAGTTGGAATTCGATATAATAGTAGGCCGTAGCACCGCTGCCCGGGCAAAATTTCCCTCATAGCACACTGCATTAGCCCTGGCTGGGACCACGAAAACGGGCATACGATATACAGTGTGTTATGGCTGTCTTCATTCGTCTAATTAAAGCAGAAAAGTAGGAAGTGATTTCAAAGGTTCCTTTAAGCTCTCTCATCAACTCCAGCTGTACAGTATGTTTAATGTCACAATCTGATTAAAACACAGATCCTATTTCATTTCGTTTTTTATAGTTCAAAATTTTGTTTACTTGTTTTTACTACACTAGGATCTAGAAGAGTGTTATATTAGCCAATGAATCAGTTTTTTATGGGATTAGCCAATGAAACAGTTTGTTACGGCAAGTTTTTGGCGTGAGGTTCCCAGAGCTGTGGGTAACCCATTAGAAACATCAATCCTGATTGGTTAATCAAATGTCCGACGTCATAGAGCCAAAAGCCGTTCGTATGATCTCTTGACACGACCTTCCACAACAACCGGTCAGAACTTCATGTAGTAGAGGCCATCAAAGTATAAAAAAAAACGAAACGAAATATAGACCTGTATTTTAATCAGATTGGTGTAACGTCACATTCTATATTAAAATAAACCAAGCAGTATCATTAAGAAGACAAATAAAAAGGTTTCACATACTTGACCTAGTTCCTGTAGTAACGTATGAACTCGACGTGTTACAGCAGCTATATCTCTAGCGGCCTGATCACGATATACTGATTGTAACCTGATGTAACGTTCAGAATCTGATGTCATATCTGGTATAGTTCCTCGAACAGGCAGCGCACCTTTAACAGGAAAAATCATACATTGCCAGGCAACACAACATACAACAAATCTAATTTTTTTATTTCTGACTAGTCTAAGCAAAAAATGAAATGAAATGTGGTTTAACGACCTACTGTTCTGCTCCCACTGGGTTAATGAAGACGGGCAAACAGTGTTCTATGAGGGAAATTTTGCTCGGGCATCGGCGCTATGGCCTACTCTTATATCGAATTCAAAATGCCAAGTGATGTTTTACGTGCACGCCAATATGTACACGGGACCTCGTTTTCTTGTCATATCCGAACAACTAGACAGCTGTCCTTGTCAGGCCCTCCACCCTGCACCACTGACAAGGGGAAACCAAGTCAGAAAATCCCAATGAACTTTTCTTGGCCAATGAAGGGATGGAACACGTGATCTCCAGGTTAACGAACTAGCGTCTTACCCACTTCCCCAGATATGATATTCACCTAATGAACATCTATGTCAATGAACATTCCACTTCAATCTTTGCCAAGTTTAACATCCTAATTTTATTAGAAGCAAGATAATTGTGTCCTCAAGTCTAGACAACCCAAATTGCTTATCTCGTAATGATTTTTACTAATTTTTAAACAAAGGTTTGGTATAAAACGAATGTGGAAGAAATTAGTGCTAGATACACAAGATTAAATGATACTTGGGTTACAGTGTATAAAAAGTATTAATTTTTAAACAAAGATTTGATATTGAATTGATGTGAAAGAAATTAATGCTAAATACACAAGATTAAATGATACCCAGGTGAATGAATGAAATGGAGTTGTATGGCATGTCAACAATAAAAGATACACCTCAGGTGTTGTTGGAGATACTAAGCTGTGCTGCTGCTTGTTTAAGATTTTCCATAAAAAAACATACATGCTATAAATTTCTAAAAGAAAATAAAAACCCTACCCCCAATACATTCACAAATAAACTACAACAATATCCACCTATTAAAAATAAAAACACACAGAAACAAAACTTGACGTGTGTTATAGCGTGTTATTTCACTTAATTTTGGATGACCTTACCTTGACCTTCATGTTCAACAAAATCTTTTACAGCTCGTGTTAAAATCCAAAATGGTCTACTCTGAAAACACAAAGAAAGTAAATTAAAGAGAGAAAGAGAGAGATGGGGTTTAATGTCCACTCGACACAAACTAGGTCATTTCGAGACTAACATAGGGTTTCATTTTATTTCTATAATTCGCTGGAGAGTAGGGGTCTTTAGCAGTGGGAGGAAACCGGAGGACCCGAAGAAAACCCACGAGGTTGGACAGGCGACCCTACTTCTTGTCAGGTACAACCGGGGATTCGAAACCACGCCAGTTGACTCAATGACAGACCTCATGATACAGCACGCGCGTGCTAACCATTCGGCCGTCCATCCCCCTAAAAGCAAATTAAAGTTTACAACAAACAGTGTATATGGTTCGCAATAAGTGCAAAATTTGAAAGGAAATTATTATATTTTAGAAACAAGCCGTTTGCCAACATTTTGCAATAGATGGACGGAGAACGGAGAAAATCAATATGTCTCATCCTTTCATTGTCCCAATGTTTCACATCGAATTTTAAAAAAAAAAATGTTTGAAATGTGGCCGTGTATAAAATAAAAACTCTTCATATATCCATCCAGTCTTTATCAATTGAAGAGCCCTGGGAAAGAACGTTCTAAGTCACTTTTTCAACGAACCCCAGTTAATGGCGCCATCTGGTAGCAAATTGTATAAGCTTTCTGTGGAACAATCAATTTCAGATAAAAACGATTGAGTCACATCGAACCAAGCCCCTTCTGAAATGGCCTCCCAGACAAATACAAGTCCATCGTAATTATTTGACCTTAATTTGGCTGAAAATTGGAAAGTCAGTTGTTGTACTGGTAATTATGATTCGTATTAAACATCATTTTGAAGTTGTAATTAAATCCACTTGTTGTTCTGTTCGCGTCAAGCCTTCTCGTCCAAAAGTCTGTTTTGCCTTTTATGCGAAAAGACAATATTGTGACTTAGATCGTTGTTTCCCTGTGTAAAATATTTTTAAGAGGAAGATATTTATCATACCTCTGATGTTAAATTAAGACATAAAGGATCTTGAAATAATTTCTGAACATCTGATGGTACCTAAAAGTATAAATTAAAATTTATCATAAATTCTAATATAACTATAATTACAATAAACAAGAACCATCGTACTATGGATCAAGGACTCACTATGATGTCATTGCAGCCATCTTGGAATTGTGACCTCATACCAAAAGAAAGAGAGAGAGAGAGAGAGATCAACATCCACTCCACAGAAACCAGGTCAATAATTTGTTTGCATGTAGGGGTCTTTAGCAGTGGGAGGAAACCAGAGGGCTCGGAGAAAATCCATGAGTTTGGACAAGTGATCCTACTCCTTGACACGTACAAGCAGGGAGTCAATGACAGACCTTATGATTTCACACACATGCGTTAAACCTCTAGACCATGCAACCCACCTCAATAACACTTGGGGACCAGTTCTTGGTCTAAACAAGCCAACAGTGAGGCTGATGTCCCCCGCCGAAATCCAAAAATAAATAGATGACACATATTTATTAATCGCACATTTATTTTTTTCAAAAGTATCGAGCAATCAAACTATACACTAAGTTTCAGCACTCTCCATCAGATAGAATCAAAGTTATCTTGTCCAAAAGCATCGACTAATGTAAATCATTGAACTCAGCCATGACATGACAGCAGAGAATATTCATTATCGAACTAAGTCAAGGTATTGATGTAATAAAGCTATACACCAAGTGTCCTCACTCTCACTTAATTCGAACTAAAGTTATCGTGTCCCAAAGCATCAACCAATCAAATTGCTTATCCCTGCTTACCCTAAGCAGAAAATTCTCATCTTCAATCTCCATCAAGGCATTCACCTATCAGACACCTACGCCAAGTGTGAACATTCTAACTCAACTAGAATGAGAGTTATTGTGTTCCAAAATCTTGACCAATCAAATTGCTTATCTCTGCTTAACCTAAGCACAAAATGCTCATGTTCGAACTCCATCAAGACATTGACCTAATTAACACCTACACCAAGTTTGAACATTCTACCTCAATTAGAAGGGGAGTTATTGTGTTCCAAAGTCTCGGCCAATCAAATTGCTTATCGCTCTGCTTACCCTAAGCAGAAAATGCTCATTATCGAACTTAGTCAAGGTATTGATGTAATGAAGCTATACACCAAGTTTCATCACTCTCACTTAATTAGAACCAAAGTTATCGTGTCCCAAAGCATCAACCAATCAAATTGCTTATCTCTGCTTACACTAAGCAGAAAATGCTCATCTTTGAACTCCATCAAGGCATTGACCTAATAAACACCTACACCAAGTTTGAACATTCTGGCTCAGTTAGAGAGAGTTATTGTGTCCCAAAAAGTGTGACGGACGGACAGACACACCGATTTTAATAGTCCCCTGCTTTCTTCGAAAGACAGGGGACAAAAATACAAATATTATATAATAAAGAAGTTAAATAACATTTGCAGGAAAACGGAATATGAAAATCGATTCCCTCCTTCCACTACTTATTTATGAGGGCTATCCAGTTATATATCAGCTAAATTGCGATAAAATAATATTTTATATCAATAATTATTATAGCTTGTGCCATCGTGTATTCTATGCCGTTGATTGTGTGTCAACCGAATAATTATTATCTAGTTTATATGCTAAAAACTGTATCACCAAAGGGGGATAATTTAGATAACAAGGTATTACTGTAATGAAACTATACACCAAGTTTCATCAATCTCACTTAATTAGAACTAAAGTTAGGGTGTCCCAAAGCATCAACCAATCAAATTGCTTATCTCTGCTTACCATAAGCGGAAAATGCTCATCTTCGAACTCCATCAAGGCATTGACCTAATCAACACATACACCAAGTTTGAACATTCTAGCTCAATTAGGAAGAGAGTTATCGTGCCCCAAAGTATCAACCAATCAAATTGCTTATCTCTGCTTACCCTAAGCGGAAAATGCTCATCTTCGAACTCCATCAAGGCATTGACCTAATAAACACATACACCAAGTTTGAACATTCTAGCTCAATTAAAAGTTATCGTGTCCCAAAGCATCAACCAATCAAATTGCTTATCTCTGCTTACCCTAAGCGGAAAATGCTCATCTTCGAACTCCATCAAGGCATTGACCTAATCAACACATACACCAAGTTTGAACATTCTAGCCCAATTAGGAAGAGAGTTATCGTGTCCCAAAGCATCAACCAATCAAATTGCTTATCTCTGCTTACCCTAAGCGGAAAATGCTCATCTTCGAACTCCATCAAGGCATTGACCTAATAAACACATACACCAAGTTTGAACATTCTAGCTCAATTAGGAAGAGAGTTATTGTGTCCCAAAAAGTGTGACGGACAGACAGACGGACAGACAGACGGACAGACGGACAGACAGACAGACAGACAGACAGACAGACAGACAGACAGACAGACAGACAGACAGACAGACAGACAGACAGACAGACAGACAGACAGACAGACGGACAGACAGACGGACGAACCCATTTTAATAGTCCCCTGCTTTCTTCGAAAGGCGGGGGACAAAAAGGTTTAAAGAGTGTCATCTTCCTTTCAAGTCAACCCTGGAGCTACTCATAAAAAGTGGGAAGAAACTGGAGGACCTGGAGAAAACCCACGAGGTTGGACAGGTGACACTACTCCTTGACACGTACAACCGGGGAATCGAAACCAAGCCAGTTGACTCAATGACAGACCTTATGATACAACGCGCACCCACTAACCATTCGGCCATATTTATGAAATTATCTTTCTTCTTTTGACAAAATCTGATCTCATGAACGCTAATTTGTTTAAATTTATAAATTCTTTCCTACTAATGTATATCTTTATGTTTTTAATCTCTGTAACCTAGAAACGCCTTTCTAGAAAAACTTACTGAAGTAGGATGTAACGCTGTATTAACATTTCTAACAGCTTCATCAAAGTTTTCTTCATCTTCTGGAACACCATCTTTATTTTTTAACACACCTGTTAATTAAATGATATAATATAGTCGTATAAATTATTGATTAAGCTGATAATCAATGAAATCAATACCTGTTGATTAGATGATATAATATAGTAGTATAAATAATTGACTAAGGTGATAATCAATGACATCAATAAGTATTGTAATGGGGATATAATTTGTGCATTTATTCATTTATTAATTCATTCATTCATTTAATGTCCAATGTGTTGTTTTAATAACTTATTTAAATTTCAATAAATTTCTTTTAATACCGATTATACCTGAAGCCATTGTAACTTGGTAACCGATGGTGGACAGCCAACTCATTAATAGTTTAGACTGTATGATAAGGCTTCATCCTTATTATTTCTATTATATGTAATTAGTATCTTAAATGTTTTATTAACTGTGTATATTTAATTTAATCCTTAGATACGAGCTTCTTTAAATACCGAATTGTAAATTCATTCAAAATTCTAGGTTTTATCCCGTTTCCAGGACAGTCACTCTGCCTGTCGGACTTGCTGTTCTGTGTTTGATTCAAGATTCTAGGTTTTATCCCGTTTTCAGGACAGTCACTCTACCTGTCGTACATGCTGTTCTGTGTATATGATATTTTATGTTTTCCGTTATTAAACAGTTTAAAGGATAATTCCAGTGTGTATTTATTACCAAAGATTTACACTGTTACAATATATCAATCCTATTTCATTTCATCTTTTATAGTTCAAAATTTCGTTTTACTTGTCTTTACTACACTAGAATCTGGAAGATTTGTTATATAACCTGTGTTATGGATGATATGAGTGATTAGCCAATGAAACGGTCTGTTATGACAAGTTTTTGGGGATGAGGTGCACGGAACTTTGGGTTAACCACTAGAAACGTCAACGCTGATTGATTAATCAATGTCTGACGCATCCTTCCACTATAACGGGTCAGATCTTCATGTAGTGTAGGCCATCGAAAAGTTTAAAAAAACAAAACGAAATATAGATCTGTATTTTAATCAGATTGATTTCATTTTAACTACGCAACTGATCGTTTAGGCAACCATTCAAATAGTGTGCAATAATGTAAGAAAACAGCAATGACAAGAACATTCCAATATACCGCTTCTTTATTCTGGAACTCACTACCTCAAACTGTGAAACATGCGTCTTCAAGCTTTATCTTCAAAGTGGAGTTAGTAAAACATGTTAAATCTTTTAACCCCCATGTTAATTACTGTTGTCCTCTGAATGTATGATTATTTTTTATTTTTTTATTTCTTGTTTGTTTGATATTTCTCCATTATATAAATGATATATATGCATTTCATTATTATTAAATCTTGTTAAATAAATTTAGGATACTTACCATTTCTAATAAGTTCTTTAAGCTGTGATTTTTCTTTATAGATTTTAGGAAGTTGTCCACCATGCTGGAATACATAATAACATAACACACTTAACAATTTAAAATTTGGAAATAAAATGATCTGGGGTTTAACGTCCCACTGTTCTGCTCCGACTGGGCTAATGAAAAAATGTGGTCTAAATGCATATTACATTCAGGAAACTTTTTTTTTTGATAAGTCTCCACATTTGTTAAAACTTCAGTAAAACAGGACATTAAACATACATTATGCAAGAGCTAAATCTGTCTATTGCAGGTCTTTCTTTAGGCCTGAAATGTTATATAAACTATTAATTAGACATTAACTAACTTATCCAGACCATAATCAACTCTTGATGTCATCGCTAGAACCCGATCTGCTGCTCAACGCTCATTGATGATTAAATCAAAATATGGATAATCGAGACTATGTTTTTTATCGTACTGACTTTACTAATGATGATTGAGGCTAGGCCCAAAATTCAATCACTATATTCTCTGTTCAGGGTGGATCAATTTGACTGAAATTTTCAGCATATTCCCTTTACATCATCTAGTTTTTAACTATTATAATGAGAACTGCCAGCTCTTTATCTAATCTCCCATAACGTGTCTTTAATTAATCCCCATTTGTTTCATTTTTCTGTTCAAACCTTCACCAACATTTTACATAAATTCCTATTCAGATGAACCATACTTCACTTCATATTCACCAATTGAAACACTGACCTTCTTAAAGGACAATATTAGTGTCAGCCATATCACATATGTGATAGAGCTGGTTAAACACGTTCCAAATATAATTTTAACACAGAGATCATTGCTACGATAGATGCCTAACGAAGATTTAAAGAAACGGATGTGACGAAAGCAAAAGGAAAACACGAGGTATCCTTCTATATAACTGACTGAAGTGACAAGTGATAACAGATACATTGGTGAATATAATTTTAACACAGAGATCATTGCTACGATATATGCCTAACGAAGATTTAAAGAAACGGATGTGATGAAAGCAAAAGGAAAACACGAGGTATCCTTCTATATAACTGACTGATATGACAAGTGATAACAGATACATTAGTGAATTTCTGCTCACTAATAATTCCTTCGAAGACCAAAAGTTGTTATGTGAGGCTGTGAGAGGATATCTAATAATTCAAAGAAGTAATTGAATGTTACTAGATAAGAGAACATGAGAAAAATAGAAATAGCCCCTACATTCCCTTGTTTTTATTCATTTTATACTTAATAAGAATATGGTGTTGCAAGGACTTTTTCTATTTTTCTCGTTTTTTCTATTTGGAACATGTTTAATGGGTTCTATCACATATATGATAATGACTGACACCTATATTGTCCTTTAAAGCAACAGGCTTGGTTTGAACTTCTTCATTCATTAATCTAAACTAAAAAATACATGTATCGAAATGATGGAATTTCGAGTTCTTTCATGCCTGATTTCACAGTTTACTATCTACTATATCCCTGAAAGGACAATTTAGGACATTTGGAAAATAGCGTCGGACATGTCCGGAATATACGGGCGAAATCCCATCACTGCCGTCCAGCTATATCACGATAATTCAACAATAATAAGCTTGTTTGTAAATATTAATAATAACAAAATAATATACTAACCGAATCTTTCCACTGTTGTAAATATTTATATAAAACTATTAACCAGGGAGTGTGGGAATGATCCTGAAATGAAATAAAATGAAATGAAATGGGGTTTAATGTCTGATTGTTCTGCACCGACTGGGCTAATTTGATTTAGATGGATGTTAAAGATGAAAATTTGATTTAATGCAAATCAGGGGTCAATAAAAAAAAGCCTTTAGATAAGATATTTGTTGTAACTATTCAATGTTTACTACCTTTTTATTCATACTAGACATATCTAACGAATCACATAATGTAACAAAGGCTGGGATTGGTCGATCTAATCGTAAATCTTCATGTGTACTGTCGGGATGAGATTCAATAACTGAAACAAATAAAAAATAATCGTAGAGAGAGAGGGAGAGAGTTTAACATTCACTGGGGGGACTCAAACTAGATCAATTCGGGACTAACATATACTTCAATTCTATTATTTCAATAATTTGCTTGCATGTAGGGGTCTTTAGCAGTGGGAGAAAACCGGAGGACCCAGAGAAAATCCATGAAGTTGGACATGTTACCCTACTCCTTGTCATGTACAAGTGGGACTAACATATCGTTGAATTGTATTTCAATAATTCGCTTGAGCGCAGGGGTCTTTAGCAGTGGGAGGAAGACCCACAAGATAGGACAGGCGGCTCTACTCCTTGCCAAGTACAAGTATGGAATCGAAACCATGCTACACATTAACCATTCGGCCACAAAGTTTCATCACTCTGGAAGAATCAAAGTTATCTTGTCCCAAAGTATCGAATAATGAAATTGCTTAGCTCAGTCAAGACATTCACCTAATGAACCTCAACATCAAGTTTAAACATTCTACCTCAATTAAAAGAAAGTGTTATTATGTTCGTAAGTCTTGACCAATTAAATTTCTTATATGCTCAAAATATGCTCATTATCAAACTTAGTCAAGGTATTGATGTAATGAAACTATACACCAAGTTTCATCACTCCCACTTTATTGCAACTAAAGTTATTGTGCCCCAAAGCATCAAAGTGTGACAGACGGACAGACAGACAGACAGATCCATTTTAATAGTTCCCTGATGATTCAAATAGTAGCTGATCAGAATATCGTTATGTTCCCACGGTTACATGAGAAAATTAACGATAGTTTCTACTACATAGATTTATCAAATGTCCGAATAAGTAATATAAATTTTTGTTATTTATTTTGCCTGGCATTTGTTATTATTCAATGACTGGTTTATGTAATTTATGAGGCAAATAAATGACCATTTTAATTCAAATAAATGGTTTTTCGTATGTGCAAAACATAGCCATTCCAGAGCACGGAGGATACAAAAGTAAGTATACCATTATGTTCTTTAACAACCAGACGTATATAACCAATAAAACCATAGCAACGACATATCAACAACGGTACATGTAGATTCCATAATAGTTCTCCCAGCAGTAGTAATGACCTAGAAAAAAGAACATGTTTTAATATTCTCAATATTAACAAGGAAAATGTTTTGATTTCTTTACGCAATATACATAATTATCACAAACACTGAACATTAAAATGCAAAGAATCTTATTCTACAATGAAGTAATAGTAATAAATGGAATAAAATAAAATGGGGTTTAACGTCCTACTGTTCCGCCCCTGGCTGAGCTAATGAAGACGGGCATACGCCATACAGTGCTATGAGGGAAATTTGGCCGGGCAGCGGCACTATGGCCTACTCTTATATCGAATTTCAACTGCCAAGGGATCTTTTACATGCACACCAATGTATACACGGGACCTCGTTTTTTTGTCTCATCCAAATGCCTAGACAGCTGTCCTTGTCAGGCCCTCAGTCCTGCGCCACTGACAAAGGCAAACTATGTTGGAAAATCCCAATGAACTTTGTCGGCCAAGGCAGGGATTGAACATGGGACCTTCAGGCTAGCAAACCAGCGTCTTACCCACTTAGCCACCGTGGCTCCCTAGTAATAAATGACATGTAGGAACAATTTCTGACTCTGGCAACAGGATCTAAATCTTCATAAAAAGTAAAAGCATTTGTTCAACGACTAATTTCAAAGGGAGCACTGGCATTTTCATTGCTGTCGAGATGTACTGTCAAGACCAGATATTGCAAGCCATATGAATGAGATAGAGAGAAAAGGGGTTTAACGTCCACCCGACACAAACTAGGTCATTTCGAGACTAACACCTGGTTTAATTTTATTTCAATAATTAGCATGCGCGTAGGGGTCTTTAGCAGTGGGAGGAAACCGGAGGACTCGGAGAAAACCAACAAGATTGGACACGAGACCCTACTCCTTGTCACGTACACTTGGAGAATCGAAACCCCGACTGTTGACTCAATGACAGACCTTATGATGCAGCGCGCACATGCTAACCATTCGACCATCCAAACCTCATAAGAATGTTTTAAATATTACATTTAAAAAACGAGACAGAGTTTGCATCCTTTGATTGGCAGTTTATTCTACTAGAGTGCTTAACATAAAGTAGAAGTATCTGTAAATTATTATAAAAGAAAGATTTGCTCATTCTTACTTTTCATGCATATTGGTAGCTATCACAATTGTAAATGATGCAAAGAAGTCCAGATTATTTTCTATAAGATTTGATGGAGACTGAAAATATATAGAAATAAAATTACATTAAACACATTGTCTGATCTTAACATCCAACAATTTGTATGGATATATAATTAATGAATTCATATCAATCAAAGAAACCATAATTCAAATTCTGAGTACTAATAATGTTTACTGTAAAGGTGCACAGGAATAATAGAAATGAAATGAAATGGGGTTTAACGTCCTACTGTTCTGCTCCGAACTGGGCCAATGAGGACGGGCATACGCCATACATTGTGCTATGAGGGAAATTTTGCCTGGGTAGCGCCACTACGGCCTACTCTTATATTGAATTCCAACTGTCAAGGGATCTTTTACGAGCATGTCAATGTGTACACGGGACCTCAGTATTTCGTCCCATCCGAACGACCAGACAGCTGTCCTTGTTAGGCCCCCTGTCCTGCATCACTGACATGGGGGAATCATGTCGGAAAATCTGGATGAACTTTCTTGGCCAATGCAGGGATCGAACACGCGACCTCCAGGCTAGCGAGCCAGCATCTTACCCACTTGTCCACCGCACAAATAATAAACAAGAACATTTATACGCATGAAGTATTTGCAAAAAATAAACCAGTGGATACCATGGAAGATACGTCCATATTTTGCAATCAGGGGTTAGAATCCAGTAAATTATGGTGTGAAATGTGCGAATATCGACAGGAACTGAGATCTTTGGGATATAAAAATATATCTAAAGTTTCATCTCTAGAGTATCCACAACTTTCGTAATACATACTTTTACAATATTTGTTTGGGCAGTTTCGCTGTTCCCAAAATTCAACCTCAACCTTCATTAGGCGGTAACAGTGATATATTTAAACGTTTTTAAAATCTGATTAAAACTATGATCTCTAGAGGGTCCACAAGCTAAAAATGTGATTTATCGTACAATCAGGGGCCATAATCCATGAAGTCACAGTCCGATACATGCCAATTTCGAAAGGACCCAAGATCTTTGGGAGATAAACCTATATTTCAAGTTTCGTCAAAATCCAATAGAATTTGTGACCTGTAGAGTGTCCCTAAACAGATTGTGAATGGATGTCCAGATTGAGAGAGAGGGCGAAATGTTGTTTAAAGTCCACTCAACACAAACTTGGTCATTTTGGGACAAACATATGGTTTAATTTTATTTTAATAATTCACTTACGCGTAGGGGTCTTTAGCAGTTGGAGGAAACCGGAGGACATGGAGAAAACCCACGAGGTTGGACAGGCGACCCTACTCCTTGTCATGTACAACCAGGGATTTGAAACCATGCCAGCTGACTCAATGACAGACCGTATGGACATGGGAGATATGTCCATATGAAAAACAACTAACCTCTTCTATAAAATCTCCTGATACATCTTCGTTTAATTCTGATAAAAGTTCTGTAGCTGTTCTTGCCCTTGACTAATAAATAATAAATAAAACCTTGGTACAATCCATTTCAAAAATAAAATAGGGAATAATGTCTTACTGTTTGCACGAAATGGGCTAATAAAGACATCATGTGCAATGCAGTGTGTTATGAGGGAAATTTTGCCAGGGCAGTAGCGTTACATTCTATTCTTATTTTGATTTGTAAGGATATCATTAAAGATACATTATGGAAGATTAGATAAAGAGCTGAGAGTTCTCACTATAATAGATAATGTAAAGGGAATATTCTGAAAATTTCCGTCAAATTGCTTCACTCTAAGCCGAGAAATACTTGATTGTCATTGTCAAGTCTCGATTAACCGTTTTTGTGTTTAATCATCAATGGCTGTTGAACGGTAGATCAGATTCAAATCCAATGCAAAGTATTTCCGTCATTTTGGCTTCACTCCACTGTAATCTTACGCATGTATGGACATAAAAATTGGGCAGAAATATTGTCCTATAAAATTCATGGGTAATTCCCCAGGACCTCACGTCAACCTTGACACTGTCTCTTCCCTGGGTCCCACACTGCTCAAATTCCTGAACATGCCCCTGCCATATTCTTCCAGCCCTAGTGACATCTATTTCAATGAATGCTAATGGTTCGTTCGTTCCTAGAGTTTAACATCCGCTTCCACCAAAGGTGATATCGCCGACTTATTATGGTTATTATATACTATATGTTTACTTACACTTCCAATGCTCTCTTTTGACAAAAAGAAACTGAAAAAAAAAACCCAAATTGTGTATAAATTGAGGAATAAGCCTTCATAAATGAATAAATTGAGACAACAAGTGGTTGCCAGGCAAGATGAAGATACACCCACATTTTGCAGGGGTGGACAGACAAGGGGCAATAATCCATGAAGTTACAGTACAATACATTTCAATATCGATAAGAACCGAGATCTTTGGAATATAAACCTATATTCCAACTTTAGTAAAAATTGTAGAGTGCCCTCAAACAAAATGTGAACAGACACACGGACGGAAAGAGGAGACGACAATATACGTCTACAGCACACTGCTTGCAATATATGCACATCTTGATTAATCCAGTTGGTACAGAAAGTAATATCTAAACCATACCATTTCAATTGATGTCAACCAAAGTTGAACCCATACCGAACAGGAATGATGGTCTATGCCACATGATGAAGTTGAACCCATCACTTATAGGAATCGGACTATGCCATATGATGAAGTTCAACCCATCCTGTATAGGAATTGGTCTATGCTACCCATCCAGTATTGGAACTGGTCTCTGCTACATGATGAAGTTGAACCCATCCCTTATAGGATTTGGGCTATGCTACATGATGAAGTTGAACTCATCCCTTATAGGATTTGGTCTATGCTACAAGATGAAGTACTAGAATTTAACTTACTTATTACCCACATCTTCTCCTTGTACCTTATGTTCATCTACTATCGTGAATGATCCAATACCTGTAATACAATTAAAAGAGAGTGATAAATGGGGTTTAACGTCCACTCAACACAAACCAGGTCATTTCAGGACTAACGTATGGTTCAATTTCATTTCAATAATTCACTTGCACATAGGGGTCTTTAGCAGTTGAAAATTTCAGTCAAATTATTTTATTCGGAGCGAAATTATGAATGTTTGAAGTAGAGTAAATAATCTTTATTGTCAAGTAGGCCTAACATTGATTTGATAATGAAAGAAGTTTCTAGTTTCAATTATAAAGTTAAACGAAGATATGACAGACAATTCCAATTCATTTAATATCTAAGCCATTCGTTGACTAGAGGGTTGATCTATGGGCTTTGTCTAAATAATAATTTATATAAAATTCAAATAGGACGATTTAGCTCTTACATAATGTATTTATAAATGTAGGGTAGACAGGCCTGGAAATAACAGTTTTACATGTACCGGACAAAATGTCAGGCACTAATGAAATAGTACCTGACATTTTCAACTAAGAGCCGGACATGTATTAATAATATCAATAACAAAAGACAAATCAGTGCCTGACAAAGCCTGAATCTGTGCCTGACATTGTCAGTGACAGGTGCCTTATTTCCAGGCTTGAGGGTAGATCTAATACAGTCCGCAAAATAAAATTGATGTGCAATAAATATTATATGACAAAATATGTCAATCTGATTAAAACACCGATAGTATTTCGTTTCGCTTTTTATAGCCTACTTGTCTTTACTACACTAGGATCTGGAAGAGTTGTTATATAACATGCGTTCTGGATGATGTGAGGGATTAGCCAATGAAACGGTCTGTTATGACAAAGTTTTGGCGTAAGTTGCACGGAACTGTGGGTAAACCACTAGAAATGTCAACCCTGATTGATTAATCAATATCTGGCGTCATAAGGCCAAATGCCGCTCGTACGACCCCTGACACGATCTTTCAGTACAACCAGTCAGATCTTCATGTAGTGTAGGCCATCGAAAGTATAAAAAAACGAAACGAAATATAGATCTGTATTTTAATCAGATTGAAAATACGTTTAAATATAAAGAATTTTCTTTTACCTGGTAAAATGAGATTTTTTAGTATCTCTGTTCCTGTGGCTGTAGCATTTATCAAACACACTCGAGCAGATTCTAAAGCTGATTGGCCATGATCCCCCCATAATCTGGTGGTAATAAAAGAAGAATTATGGTACGGTGCATAATGATGTTCAATTTCAAAATAACAGCAGACAATAAATGCCCCTAGTCCTTGCTTAAAATTAGAATAGAAAACAAAAAACGCTTGATTAACTCTACTGTAAGAGAGGGAGAGAGAGAGGATTATGTCCACTCAACACAAAACTAGGTCATTACGGGACTAACACATGGTTCAATCTCTATTTCAATAATTCACTTGTGTGCAGGGTTCTTTACCAGTGGGAAGAAACCGGAGGACCCGACGAAAACCCACGAGGTTGGACAGACGACACTGCTCCTTTTCACGTGCAAGCAGGGTTTAGAAATCACACCATTTGACTTAAAGAAAGGCCGCATGATCAAAGAGCAATTCCCCCGTCCCCCCCCCCATTAATATGAGTCGATTATCAAAGTTATTTCGACAGTGGCAATGTGGTCTCTCTCTCAATGATATACATGTATGTCATGAATTAGGCCTTTTCACTGATCTGTATAACTATTATTTTCCACCCGAATATGCCTATATGACATCACAGAGTATTAAAGGGTTAATTCATTTCTATTAACATGTTAATCTCATTCATACATTAACCAGTCAAATTGTTAACTGATCTTTGCCCTGAAGGCATCCAATCGTAGCTGAAAACAAACACATCAGTATATCTCGACGTTTTTAGCTACATATACGTTCTCGTAGCTTTGGCATGAGATGAGCAGTAACAGTGTGGTAATACGATTTACCTAAAACTAAAACTACCATTTCATTTATATCGATAAAACTAAAAGACAAGAGAAAATAAGGTTGGGGGGATGGCCTAGTGGTCTAGAGTGTCACGCTTCAAACTCTAGCTGGCCGCTTACGTCTGGCTTGCGGTTGTGGTTTTGATCCCTGGTGTGTGCGTATGTGACTTAGAGATTCAGATAGGGGCGCCTCCTCAACCTTTTTCTTGTCGGTTTACTCTGGGTACTCCGGTTTCCTCCCACAAGACCCCTGCGTGTGAGCCAAGATATCACCTACGGTGGAAGCGGACGTTAAAAACACCAAGATCAACAAGAAGAGAAAATACCACTTAGGTAGGCTACTGGTATTGGCACAATGCCTGACAGCCCAGAGATTTAGAGAACTGCAGAAAGAAGGTACCGGTAGTTGATATATATTTGTTTGGAACTTATTCATAAACAGCTATCTTTAATTTAATAAATCACAACCTAATCGATGTCTCATAATTCAAGACTTTATAGTCTGGTATATTTTGTTTATAATTCATTTAATTTACCTCAGTTGTCGATCATATTTGTTGTTCTTGTCAAGACCACTTTTAGTGACAGCAGCCATCTTGAGGGCAGATAACTCTAGTAGGGCAATTCAGGAAAGCAACCCCAGTTTTATGATGTTTAAAAAACTTTTTGTCACTGAACTGACAAGTTTATAAAATCTGACATCTAGTTTTACATAGCTTTAAAGTTATCATTTACATGAAATGCTTGCACTTAAAGATGTATTACGAGTACATGTATTATTAAATAGGCTTCCAGCCTATGTGTATAAATTGAATGACAGAATTCTAAAGTTTATTCCAATTAACCCGAGGACAAAACTATTACAACACAATGTTATGTCCTCTCACAATGACATTGTGACAACCACAAGTTAACTGACCTCTTTCACTGGAGTGTATGCTCTCTCACACCTTACAACGCATATGGTATAATTATTAGGCCTACTATATGACAGTAGGCCTATGTATTATTTTGATAAAGAGCTTGCCATTATTGCTACATAATTACAGTTTAAAAATAGATAGGGCCTATATATATACCGAATAATGAAAAATGAATATATATACTTTATTCTGGGCAAAATCATGAATGTTTGAATTTCTGCTAGAAAAATAATACGAAAAGAATTTCATATTTTTTACCATCTATAGCCTAGCATAATACGAATATAGAGCATGAATCAGACTGACATGCTTGCAAACCAGTCTAATATTTAAGGTCGTATAAACAGGCACATGGTCACACCAAATAAATATTTTAACCTTTTTTTTAATTTTTATCAAAGAATCGACCCTCTGTCACCGCGGCCATTAAATTCCCTTTAACCCCCCCCCCCCTCCCAAAAATTTAACAAAATATCACAAAAATTTAAACAGTGATTTTTACTTTTTTTTTATTTGATCTTAAAATACAAGTAAACATAATATATCATCAAAATATAGATAGATATAAAAATAGTTCACTACTTATATGGCATTATCTTATATTATTATATGGTATATAAAAAAAAAACTATAAAAGTTAAGGCACTATTAAATTATGCTTTCTTTCTATGAATTATAATAATTTAATATGTATATATATATAACAATACACGGCAACATGTATAAATACATAAACGTTAAATATATCACTGCAACATGTATAAATACACAAATGTTAAATAAATCACTGTAACATGTATAAATATTAACAATTATAATAATCTAATATTAAAATATATATATATACATATACAACACACTGTAATATGTATACATACATAAACATTAAATAAATAATTATCACAGCAAAAATATTAACAATTAATAACAATGACAATAAATTACTGGCTAAAAATATTCCTATATATAAATATGTCTGGTGATGATGTGAGCTGGTTATCCCCTTGCTGTCAATGACACAGAGAAGAATAGGGTCTGGGGGTAATCTTTATTAGGAATTTTTCAGATACATGTACTGACCAGTAAACCACGCTGTGAAAACTCGCAGATAATGCTTTGCGTATTGACTAAGGGAGAGAGAGAGAGAGAGAGAAATAGGGTTTAACATCGATCCACTCGACACAAACCAGGTCATTTCGGTACTAACACATGGTTCAATTTTATTTCAATAATTCGCTTGCGAGTAGGGGTCTTTAGCAGTGGGAGGAAACCGGTGGACCCGGAGAAAACCCACGAGGTTGGACAGACGACCCTACTCCTTGTCACGTACAACCTGGGAATATAAACCCTGCCAGTTGACTCAATGACAGACTGTATGATACAGCGCAGCGCGCACGTGCTAACCATTCGGCCACCCAACCCCCCAAGGGAGATAGAGACAGAGAAATTGGGTTTAACGTCCACTTAACACAAACTAGGTCATTTCGTACTAACACATTCAATTTTAAATCAATAATTTGCTTGCGTGAGCAGTGGGAGGAAACCGGAGGATCTGAAGAAAATTCATGAGGTTGGACAGACGACCTTACTCCTTGTCACGTACAACCGGGGAATCGAAACCACGCCAGTTGACTCAATGACAGACCTTGTGATACAGCGTGCATGTGGTAACCATTCGGCCATCCAACCTTGCCATATTGACTAAGGATGTAATCTATTACTAGGTTGACAGGTCAGAATTCGGTCAGATGGTTGAACAGGTTGTGCGAGGTTCCCACTATCACGATTCGTGCTGCGATTGAAATCGTGCTTTTTTAGGTGGAGTAATCGTCAATATATCAGGTCTTATCACATATCGTGTTGATCGTATCGAAACGTATCTGCATGTACCAGATCCTGGCCTATCATAACGCATGCACGACAGTGGGAACCTAGCATTAAAGGTCTTTCTTTAGGCCTGAAATGTTAAATAAACTATTAATTAGACATTTATTAACATGAAAAGACCATAATCAACTCACGATGCCATCTTATGTGTCCGATTTTCATTAAATTTGAATCCGCTCTGCTGTTCAATGTCCTTTGATGATTAAACACAAAAATGGATAATCAAGACTTTGTCGATTATTGTGACAGTGCCAACAATGACCATCAAGCCTAAAAAGATTTTCAAATAAGGTTTTCTCGGCTGGGAGTAAAGCAATTTGACTTAAATTTTCAACATATTCCCTTTACATTATCTAGTTTTTTAACTATTATAGTGAGAACTGCCAGCTCTTAATCTAATCTCCCATAATGTATCTTTAATTGAAACACCTCAACATTATCTAGTTTTTAACTATTATAGTGAAAACTGCCAGCTCTTTATCTAATCTTCCATAATGTATCTTTAAACTTCAAGTTTTTGACCAAAGTAATGATCACACATTAACAGGGGACAATTAACAAATTCCACTGTATAATCATAGTAAAGCGTTATCTCTTGCGGATTTTCTCTGCTGCTGCCAAAATATCCACAATCTTCAAGCGTTGATTCGACGGGTAGTAATGCTTCAAGACTGCGGGATTTATCGGAGAAAATGGCTAATTTCGTTGATAAGACGCTGGTTTGATTGATAATAATCTCAATAAGACCATAAATAGACAGATGAGAATGAACGAGAACAGAGAAATGTCCAAGATGATCTTTATAACCATCAAACGTAACTAGTCTCAGTTCTATTGACAGGTACCTACAAATAAATAAAAACAGTAAATATTAATACATTAGATAGACCCGGAGAAAACCCACGAGGTTGGACAGGTGACCCTACTCCTTGTCACGTATAACCGGGGAATAAACCATGCCAGTTGACTCAATGACAGACCTTATAAAGCAGCGCGCACACGCTAACCATTCGTCCATCCAACCACTCTTTAATACATTATAAATTTTACCGGATCAATGACGGGCAGTGTGCTATGAGGGACATTTTGCCCAGACAGTGGCGCTACTCTTATATTGAATTCCAACTGTCATGTGTTCTTTTAAATGCACACCAATGTGTACACAAGACCTCCAATTTTTGTCCCATCCGAAAGCCTAGACACCGTCCTTGTCAGGCCCTTTGTCCTGCACCATAAAGACAGTGCCCGGTCGCCTGACCACAGTGACCACTTAGTGTTCAGTAAAAAGGCCTTGTAATATTAGCTAAATTAGTATACCTTGGATTTTTTTCTCTGTATGGCTGCCAAACCCCCATTTTACAACAGGAACATGGCACTGGTTTTCTTTCTGATAATATTAAACTAGTTTTATGGCTGATGTCAGTATCAGAATAGGTCTCATCCACAGGTCTGAAATATGGTACAAGAGAATTTATATAGAATACAATGGGGTTTAACGCCCTAAATACTGATCAAGAATAACATTCCATAAATTAATTATCAGAAATTCATGTCACATTCATTTGAAATACAATCTGATTAAAACACAAATCCTATTTCGTTTTGTTTTTTATAGTTCAAAATTTTGTTTTACTTGTCTTTACTACACTAGGATCTGGAAGAGTTGTTATATAACCTGCGTTCTGGATGATGTGAGGGATTAGCCAATGAAACGGTCTGTTACAGCTAGTTACAGTGCACAGAAATATGAGTAACCCAGTAGAAACATCAATGCCGATTGGTTAATCAAATGTCTGACGTGTCACGTAATAGAGTCAAAAGCCGCTAGTATGACCTCTGATGGACCTTGAATAAATGAGAGCGAGAGAGAGAGAGAGAAATGGGGTTTACATCCACTCAACACAAACTAGGTCATTTCCGGACTAACACACGGTTCAACTTTATTTCAATAATTTGCTTGCGCGTAGAGGTCTTTAGCAGTGAGAGGAAACCGGAGGACCCGGAGAAAACCCACGAGGTTGGACAGGCGACACTACTCCTTGTCATGTACAACCGGGGAATCGAAACCACGCCAGTTGACTCAATGACAGACCTTATGATACAGCACACACGTGCAAACCATTCGGCCATCCAACCCCCCGAATAAATGAGAGCTATTTTACATTTTTGTTGTTGAACTACTTTATACTGAATAAAATAAATAAACTAGAATAAAATAAAAGTCCAGCATACTTGACATATGTAATTCCTTTAGAGAATTCTGTGTAATCTATATCTCCATTGTCATCAGTATCCAGTAATCTAGCCATTAAGTGAAGTTCAGTCCTATTCAGAGGGACATTTAAATCAAACATTCCTTTTAGAGACAAAAAAAATCATTAGGAAATTAATCTTTTTACAGTAATCAAATTAAAAGTCATTACATTTTAGGTCATATTGATTCCTTTAATTAGGGCTTAAGAGAGAGAGGGAGAGAGAGAGAGAGAGAGAGGGGGAGGGAGGGTTTAACGTCCACTCGACACGAACTAGATCATTTTGGGACTAACATATGGTTCAATTTTATTTCCATAATTTGCTTGCATGTAGGGGTCTTTAGCAGTGGGAGGAAACCGGAGGACCTGGAGAAAACCCCTGAGGTTGGACAGGCAACCCTACTCCTTGTCCGAGGAATCGAAACTTGACCACCTATCCTTGAAATATGGAAAATGATGCCTTAAAATTAATCTATAAACTCTTACCTGACTTAAACTCATCATAAGACAGAATACCATCACCGCTAGTATCTATCATTTTAAATAATTTAATAGCTCTTGGTGCTATCGATCGTAACCACTGATCCATCCTATCTACTAAATGATAAAAAGATTCTTCATCATCTTTTATTTTTTGCGTAGCTTTCTCCAGTTTTTCCTGAAATCAGATTATAGATGACCTAAATCAAACACAAACAGGCATTATGCAAGAGGTAAACCTGCCTATTGCAGGTATTTCTTTAGGCCTGAATTGTTATATAAATTATTAATTAGACACTATGGCCTACTCTTATATCGAATTCAAACTGCCAAGGGCTCTTTTACGTGCATGCCAATGTATACACAAGACCTCAGTTTTTTGTCCTATCTGAATGACTAGACAGCTGTCCTTGTCAGGCCCTCTGTCCTACACCACTGACAAGGGGAAACCATGGCCAATGCAGGGATTGAACACGCGATATTCTACAAGTAATAGGAGTGTACCATAATATTAGATATACTAATAGTAAGTGCAGGGGGACTGCACCACACAAGATTTACACAAAAACAAATACACGGACAAGACATCATATACTCAGGAAAACACAAACAGACAGAAAATACTAACCAGAGCTTTTTCCGCTTTGGTCAATTTTTTCTTCTTTCCTTTCTTTTTCTTAGATTTTTTTCCATTTGATGCTAAAAGTGGGTCCGTTTGAGTTCCAGAGATAAGTGATCCAGGCTCCATATTTTCAGCTTTTACATCTTCTTTTTCTGCTGGAGCTGACTTCAGTCGTTTCTTCTTTCCAGATTTCCTGGAATAATTATTATTACATGACAGACTCTATTAAGAAATTTATTGAACTCTAAATAAAATACCGGTACCTTAAAAAGTTATTATCAATGTGCTGCATCTCGTCAGGGGTTGTTAAAAAATGAAATTTCAATTTGCAATAATAATCGACAAAAGGGTATATGGCATTAACATTTTAGAGAATTTTCTAGTCGATTAAAAAATACTATTCCATCTGACATGATTTAATTGTTTGTCTACAGTTACTTGTACATCGAGGATAATCAAATTAGCCATCAGTTTGTCAAACCTGAGACAAATTGCCTATCAGTATTCCTCGCAAAAACTAGGTTACTAGGCATGTAATGATGTAGCTTATAATATTATAAGGCTTTCTTTATTCTAGTTAGGTCAGTGTTTCCATTTATTCTAAATATGATATATCTGCCATCTGGTATTATGTAACATTAATTATATTCTGCATTCACAATTTTTTCTTAATCATTAATTTTAATGATGCCTATCTATAGCCTTATAAGTTACACTTATACTATAGTATTTTAAGCCCTCTCAGTCTCCTTAAAAAAAAGTTGAAAACAAAATCCTACGGATACAAAACACATTTTCTTGCAATAAATTAAATTAGAAAATTATATACTTTTTCTTCGATCCCTTCTTTACAGGCATGTTTAGATTATTTGCCAGTTAATTTTAGAAAGATCAATAACTACAGCTTCGCAAACGAGGGGATTGTTTACTGTAACCCAGGACCAGTAAAGTCGGAAGTCCCAAAGGGCAATAACTCCCAATTAACCGTCATTTTTGATTCGAATTAATGTCTGAAAGTAATGGCCCATTATTAGAAGCCCCTCATGCAGGTTTATTAAAGTTGTTGATTCCTATTCCAACTAAAATTCATTTTATTTTATTTTACAGTTGAGTCTTTTCTGTTTTTAGTAGGCGTGATACTACTACTTGTTTTTTCCTACTGCTGCCAGCAATTGTACTAAATTTTAATTGTAGGCCTAACTAGTTAACTATAAATTTCGAAACATTTTTTTGAGATATGACTTGAAGTTTACATCAATTTGCCATTGCACAGGCCGACGAATAGAACGAACGAATTGCAGCATCGCTCACAGTGCAATGCCACTGAAAGTGAAAATAATTAATTTATGATACTAGCTAGTAGATAAGTAGATTCTAATTATTTCCACTTTCCAGGCGTCCAATCACGGAACGTGTTTCCACAAAAAGGTCAAACTGCCCATACGTTTCTCATTGTTTTGTTCAGTAACTCCAACTATTTTTTCGAAGATATATCGGTATTTTAAAAATTGTGGAACGCTGATTTTATTCATCATATTGCATTTTTAAAACAATATAACTTCCCGCCAAATTATCACGTGTATTTTTTGCCACGCCTCCACGTGAATCGTTTGTCAGAACATCCGGGTATTCCATAATGAGGTCATCGTTAGGTAATAAAATTTAAGATCATGTTTATACGAAACGTAATTAGGTGATGGAATTGATAAATCTATGACATGTTATATTATTATATATATAAAATTTATTGATATCAATAATTTCAATAATTTTTAATCCAATTTGATGAATACAATAACGGAATAATCGATTTATTAACATTTTTAGTGTTTCGTTTTCTGAATTCAAATAATGAAAATTCTTAATTTGTAGGCAACTGCGTCTGCAAATGGCGAATTTTCTTGGAGGGTTATCGCAAATTGCTCCTCGAATTTTGATGACTGTAGCTTATAACTTGGTGTAGTCTGACGTGACACAGCATAAAATTATCCGTAAGGGCTTAGTGCATCAAAATTACTACAAAGATGTTTAGATTACCTTAATCCAGGACGTATTTTGAACGGCAAAGTTGGGTCCCATAATTGCAATTGTCAAATTGACACTTCGCTTCCCAAACCAGGCATTGCACATTTATTTTTTTAGGCACACTTATTTCCATACATATACAGGCATACAATTTTGCAAATCATGACATCAATTCGGTATTTAATGCATTATTAAAAATAGATCCTACATTATTCAAACATAATACAGATAAAGCTCAAATAAAATACGTAAACTCTTATAAAGTTATTGCAATATTGAATGGATGGGGCTACCGAATGGATGAACACAATTTTTTCTCTCTGATTTTCTTTTACAGAGATTAGAAAAACTGATGATGTAGCTCACATTTCTTGACAACATTTTTAAAATTAAATAAGTTAATTAGAGAAACATTACATATCCCAATTTGTCTTTGTGCCTGTACTATAAGATTTGCCAGAAATTTAAATCTGTAAAAAAAAGATAGGCCTATCTTCCTGGCAGTTATCAGCTTTATCACTAAACTCCATGACATAAAGATATATGTATTTGTTGCAACAAAAATTGTTTCCACCTGTTGAATGCATTCTTACTGGCAGTTAAGCCACGTCATTATTTATTCCCGAATTAGCTTATTTAATTTAATGAAGGGCTGTAATATACCGGTGTGTTGAGTTTACCCTAAATGCAGACACACTGTACTCCCAAATTCAGCCGAATGAATAGATTTCTGCAGTTTTGCACTGTGTATATCCTATTATTACCAACACACAAGATTTTAAAACCACAATTATTATTAAAAAATAGTAGGCCGAAGTGTATTCATCTTATTGCTGAAAATGATAATTGTTCATGTATATTTTGGAGCTATGTTTGCACAGTTGAACTGTGCATTTATTACCAACACGCAAGATTTAAAAACCACAATAATTTTTTTTAAAAAGTAGTAAGCGTATTTATGTTAATTGTCCATTCTGATTTATGTATTTTTAGGAGCCATGTAAGTGGTGAGAGATGTCTGCAGTTACTACTAAACCATCTGATCAGTCTGGACAAATTGCAATAGTTCCACCAATCATCATGGGTGGACAAAGGGGGGATAATTCTGATAAAACTACAGATCAGAAACCAGGTTCTGTGGAACGACGAGACTCTGTGACATCAATACCCTCCCCAACACCAAGTGGTAGTTCCCCTGATCCAGTACATGATTTGCCACCAGAGCTTTTGCAAGCTGGGTGGAGAAAGTTTTGGAGTAAAAGGGAAGGGCGACCTTATTTCTTTAATAAACTCAATAATGAATCTCTTTGGGAAATGCCTCAACTTGGCTTTCATGGTTCTGTGGTTAGTATTTATGAATTATAATAATAATATTTGATTTAAACGAATCATCCTACATTATTGACATTGTTGAAAAGTCAAATACCGGTACCTTCATGAGCTTATTCTTATTCAACTTGGTTTTCATGGTTCTGTGGTTAGTATTTATGAATTATAATAATACAATCTGATTTAAGAGAATCATTCTACATAAATGACATTATTGAAAAGTCAAATAACTTTGTCAGCTATTCTTTAACGAATTAATTTGTCTGTTACTCGATAAATCTTTTATCAAATTTTAAGATTTTTTAAGCCATAAATTGATATCCCAAGTCCCAATCTGATTAAAATACAGATCTGTATTTCGTTTCGTTTTTTTATACTTTTAATGGCCTCTACTACATGAAGATCTGACCAGTTGTAGTGGGAAGTCGTGTCATGGGTCATACAAGCATCTTTTGACCCTATGATGTGAGACATTGATTAATCAATCAGCGTTGACGTTTCTAGTGGTTTATCCACAGATCTAATCCCTCACATCATCCAGAAATCCTTCCAGATCCTAGTGTAGTAAAGACAAAACAAAATTTTGAACTATAAAACAAGAAACGAAATAGGATCTGTGTTTTAATCAGATTGCTTGAGTCCATGAACATTTCAATAATATGCCATATGTATTAACTGTCAACAAATTAGGAATATCAAGTCAACTTTAAATTTACCCATTTAATGATCATAATCTGTTTTATCTGTTACAGCATGACCCTAAGACTGATCCTTTAGGTATTCACTTTCCTGAAGGAACTCCTACACCAGCGTCTAATTATGATCATAATCTGTTTATCTGTTACAGCATGACCCTATGACTGATCCTTTAGGTATTAACACTCCTGAAGGAACTCCTACACCAGCGACTAATGATGTCAGATTATCGCGACAAAGTGTAGAAATGATTCCTCAAAATCTGATCGGTGATAAAAGAAGGCCTAGTGGTGAGATGACTTTAGGAAGTCCGTGTAAACGAATTGCAGCATTTAACTACAGGTAAATTGTACTGTGTTTCAAGTTTTGACAAGCAAGCTTGGAAATAAGGCACCTGTCACTGACGATGTCAGACACAGATTCAGGCTTTGTCAGGCACAAAACCTCTGGTGCCTGTCATTTTGTCAGGCACTGATTTGTCTTTTTTAATGATATTATTAATACATGTCCGACACTAAGTTGAAAATGTCAGGTACTATTTCATTAGTGCCTGACATTTTGTCAGCTACATCTAAAACTGTTATTTCCAGGCCTGTTGACAAGACTGCCCAGATGTCATCTACCATTGCTATGATTATAAACAATGTCTTGAATATTCATTTAACGTTAATTAAATGGCATGGGTGTCCAAATCCAATCAGTATCTCTAAATGAAATGGAAAATCGAAATAACTTATTGTTGGGCTTATTAAACTCTTAACAGGTGTTACTCTCTGCATGTAGGATCAATAATCTTTGTAAGTCTATTTACAGCTTGCAGTACACTCAATGACCTTGTTGCCTAATTGATGTCACTTGACTTGGGCCTACTTTCATTTTACGTTATTGTTTAATTTGTTGACATGCTTTGATTTTTCTCTGAATATAACTATCTAACCGAACAAAAAGCATAAAAAAGTGCTTTGTTCCGTATTACTTTATTAAATATAATGACATGTTATAATCCTTGTTTGGCCTACACTTTGTTTCAAAACTTTGTGTTTGGCCTTTCACCTAATTAAACAGTTTTATATGACAAGGAGTAGGGTCGCGAGTCCAACCTCGTGAGTTTTCTCTGAGTCCCCCGGTTTCCTCCAACTGCTAAAGACCTCTACGCGTAAGCGAATTATTGAAATAAAAAATGAACCATACGTTAGTTCAAAAATGACCTAGTTTGAGTCGAGTGGATGTTAAACCTCATTTCCCTCTCTTTCCCCAAACAATTTGCCCACTACTGGTCTAGGGAGTTGATTCTAGGCTTGTCATGTGAATAAATGTCTTAATAATATTTTATATAATTGGAGTCAGAAACAAATACACCTGCAAAAGGCAGATTTAGCTTTCACATAATGCATCCAAGCCTGGAAATAAGGCACCTGTCACAGACAATGTCAGGCACAGATTCAGGCTTGGTCAGGCACAAAACCTCTGTTGCCTGTCATTTTGTCCGGCACTGATTTATGTTCGGCACTAGGTTGAAAATGTCAGGTACTATTTCATTAGTGCCTGACATTTTGTCAGTTACATTTACATTTGTAAAACCATTATTTCCAGGGCCCTTATTCACGAAAACTTAAACTAAGATACAATCGAAATTTTAAGAAATACTGCAATTCGATTGGCTGACCAGTAAAATCAATTTGCATATATCCAATGAAGTTGCAGTATTTCTTAAAATTTCGGTTGTAACTTAGTTTAAGTTTTCGTGAATAAGGGCCCAGGCCTGAATGCATCATTAAAAATAGTATATTATTGATCATTATTATACATATCCATATTTTTTTGACAGTCCTTTCTGGAATTTTGACGTACCTACAAATTGTGTTATTCATGAACGAGCCCCATTAATCATACCAGCTCCTCATCCTGATATTGAACAGATGCGTGCTCAGTTAACAGCGAAGTTAAGGCAAAACTATCAGGAACTTTGCAACTCACGAGAAGGTAAGTTCAGATGTTTATAACCAAAACAAAGTTACAGCAAAACTATCAAGAACTTTGCTACTCACGAGAAGGTAAGTTCAGATGTTTACAACCCCAAAAAAGTTAAGAAACAGTGAGCTACATTTAGTTTCTGACCACAATAAAAAAAAATACACAACACAATTTATATGGAAAACTGTTACTGGTTAGTTCTCAATATAGCACAACGTTTCAACAAATGTTTGCTTATCGTTATTAAGCTCAAATGTTTCGACATTTGTTCACTTAACGATAAGACAACATTTGTCTTTTTTAATGTGCTCAATCACTAAATGTACCTTAAGGATTATATTCGAAACAAAGATTTTTTTTTATCTGAACATTTTATAATCTTTTGGGGATCAGTTTGTAGAATTAGTATTGTGTTGTAATTTGCTGGGTATTATGGATTAGGTTATTACTAATCCCCGGATGTCTGAAAGGTTAGCGTGTGTATGTTGCATCATAAGGTCTGTCATTGAGTCAAGTGGCGTGGTTTCGATTCACCGCTTGCATGTGACAAGAAGTAGGGTTGCCTGTCCAAACTCGTGGGTTTTCTCCAGGCCCTTTGATTTCCTCCCACTGCTAAAGACCCCTACGCACAAGTGAATTATTGAAATAAAATTGAACCATATGTAAGTCCTCAAATGACCTAGTTTGTTTCAAGTGGACAATAAACCCTCTCTCTCTCTCTCTCTCTCTCTCTCTCTCTCTCTCTCATTGACCAAAAACACATTCCAGGAAGACCAGTCATTAGACTACTACTACCATTAGTTAGCATTCAGCTGTTTATATTTAGTTATATTGATTACAAAAAAAAGACCTCTCTCTCTCCCTCTCTCTCTCTCTCTCACTCTCTCTCTCTCTCTCACTCTCTCTCACTCTCTCTCTCTCTCTCTCACTCTCTCTCTCTCTCCATTACTTAAGAAGTTCATATTATATTGGTTTGTTACAGGTATAGAAGCACCAGTAGAATCATTTAATCGTTGGCTACTAGAAAGAAAGGTAGTGGATAAAGGACCTGATATGATGCTACCATCACAATGTATTCCTGAAGTCTCTCAGTCTATGTATAGAGAGATAATGAACGATATACCAGTTAAATTAGTTAAACCGAAATATATCGGAGATGCAAGAAAACAATTATTCAAATATGCAGAAGCAGCGAAAAAAATGATAGAGACTAGGTATGTATATGGTCAAGTCTAAAACTAAAAATTAGAGCCAACTGCAGATTTCGTCAAGGTCATGAGTTGTAAACACGGTTAGGCATGTCATTGATGACGAAATTGTGGTTTTGGGTTAACGGGAGGTGAGAGTTCTTTACAGATCCCCCCACAGAAAGCAGAGGCCATAGGGTCTAACGCTTCCTGACCATTACAGGTTTACATCTTGTAACCTTTGACGAAATCTGCAGTTGGCCTTAATTTTTGGACCTAACTGTATGTAGATAAAATGATATGGACATTTTCAAATGGTTACTAACAGACTATATTGACTAGGAAATATGTCAGATTGTCAAGTTAAACATACAATATGCAAGAGCTAAATCTGCCTATTGCAGGTCTTTCTTTAGGCCTGAAATGTTATCTAAATTATTAATTAGACATTAATTAACCTATCCAGACCATAATCAACTCTCGATGGCATCGGATTTCTCCGATATTAAATAGATTAGAACAGTGGTTGAAATTATTGCACACGTCTTGTCAAACCTTCAAAGGCTAATATCTTCGCTTGCAATCGAGTAATTTGAATGAAATTTTCAAATTATTCATTTTACATTATCTATTTTCGAACTATTATAGCAAGAATGGCTAGCTCTTTATCTAAATCTTACACAATGTATCTTTAAGGCATTTTGACGATACAAGACACTCAAAAAAATTTAAAGTGACAAACTGGCCAATATTTCTAAAAATGCAATTATGAAGGATATACCTTCAGGAAATCCAAAATTTACTATAAATTTTACTACAGTTGTGACTAATATTCAACATATAATTTGATTATTAAAATAATATTTTATTTATTTCTTATATTTTAGGGGTAGTACGTCTGAAAGTCGCAAAGTGGTGAAATGGAATACAGAAGATACGTTTACGTGGTTACGAAGACAACAAAATGCTTCGTATGAAGATTTTCTTGTAAGTTTATTTGCAGTCCAGAGATGCTCTATTTACACGACCATACAAACAACTTATTTCATACTTGTATTCAATTTCAAAACTAGTTTCTACTCTCCGGTTGTACATGATGACAAGGAGTAGGGTCGCCTGTCCAACCTCTTAGGTTTTCTCTGGGTCCTCCAGTTTCTTCCCACTGCTAAAGGCCCCTATGCACAAGCGAATTATTGAAATAAAATTAAACCATATGTTAGTCCCGAAATGACCTAGTTTGTGTCGAGTGGACGTTAAACCCCATTTCTCTCTCTCTATATATATATTTTTGGGAAGCCATAGTGGCTAATATATTCTCCTTGTCAGTGTAGCAGGACAGAGGGCCTGGCAAGGAACAGTGTCTTGTAGTTTGGATAGGACAAAAAACCAGAGGTCCATCGTAGTTGTGCATGTGAAAGAACCCTTGACAATTGGAATTCAGTTTCTGTCCAGACAAAATTTCTCTCATAGCATTAGTCTGAATGGTGCATAAAAGTAAGACGTTCAACCCATGTTTCATTTCATTCATTATATTTTATTGCAGGAAAGACTGGCACATTTAAAACGACAATGTCAACCACATTTAACTGAAGCTGCGAAAAGTTCTGTTGAGGGAATCTGTAAAAAAATATACAACCAGTCGTGTGAAGCAGTAAAAAGAATAGTAGAAAAACACTGGGAAATGTTAAAAGAAAATAACATACATAGTAAGTAAACATTTTTAATCATCCGTCCAAAGTATTTGGGAATAACGTGGTGTTAAATGTGTCCTACTATTCCTCAAAATTTTGTTCTAATCCCCAAATAACCAATCTGATTATAATTCAGATGTATATATTTCGTTTCATTTTACTTAACATGGCCTTGTTTTTGGTGAGCTGTGCACGGAACAATGGGTAAACCACTAGAAACATCAACGCTGATTGATTAATCAATGTCCGACATCATAGGGTCAAAAGCCGATGGAACGACCCCTGATGCGACCTTCAGATCTTCCTGTATTAGAGGCCACTGAACGTATAAAAAAACGAAACAAAATATAGATCTGTATTTTAATCAAATTGTTTCTTATTGAATGTTTTTTCCTTTTCTGGGAACCACGGTGGCTAAGTGGGTAAGATGCTGGCTCGCTAGCCTGGAGGTCGGGTGTTCGATCCCTGCATTGGTTGAGAAAGTTCATCCTGATTTTCCGACGTGGTTTCCCCTTGTCAGTGGTGCAGAACTGAGGGCCTGACAAGGACAGCTATCTAGTCCTTCTGATGACACGAAAAAACGAGGTCCCATGTATACATTGGAATGCACGTAAAAGATCCCTTGGCAGTTGGAATTCGATATAAGAGTAGGCGATAGTGCTGCTGCCCGGGCAAAATTTCCCTCAGAGCACACTGTATGGCGTATGCCCGTCTTCATTAGCCCAGTATAGGAGCAGAACAGTAGGTTGTTAAACCCCATTTCATTTTATTTCTTATTGAATGCTTTTTCCTTTTTTATAGGAATGGATCCATTACCCGAACCACCTATCCCAAGAAAAGTTTTATGTTATTCAATTCAAACAGCCATCCCTTCTCCCCGCCCTCCAATAATAGAACGGGCAGCAGACAATGATATCATATCACTACGCTTTAAAAATGAAACAGTCAAAATCAACAATTCACATTTTCACAAGTTGGTAAGTAATTTAAAACTTAAAGATACATATTAGGAGATTAGATAAAGAGCTGACCATTCTTGCTATAATAGTTCAAAAAAAGGTAATGAAAAATGAACATTTTGGATTATTTAAAATAAAAACGGATCATATGGTTCTATTTAAAGATACATTCTGTAAGATTTAGTTAAAGAGCTGACAGTTCTTACTATAATAGTTCAAAAACAGGTAATGCAAAATGAATATATTAAAAATTTCATTCAAATTACTTTATTCTGAGTGTGTGCATTGATTTTGACCACCGTACTCGTTGTTCAAGGCTTAGCCTCGCTTCGCCATTTTAAAATTCATTAAATGGATGACCCGTTCTAATCTACTTAAATCGGATGGCATCGAGAGTTGATTATGGTCTTTCCATGTTAATAAATGTCTAATTAATAGTAATTGAATTAATGTGCAAGAAATTAGTGCTAGATACACAAGATTAAATGATACCTGGGTTACAGTGAGAAGATGTTAACAATTATGAATCAATTACAGGATTCAATCTACAGGAATATGTCCCGATTTAAATAAAAAATATCTTATAGATCAAAGACAGCAACCCACTTCCAGCTGGAGATTACCAAACGTTTACCAACCAAATTTTTTATTTTATTTCAGGAACAATTATATAAATTAAATTGTCGAGATGATCCCCGGTTTGAACAGTTCTTGTTACGTGTTTGGTGTTTATTAAGGAGATATCAAGTAAGTACACATATACCACCGTGGACTAATTCATATTCCTAATTGTCCTCTATCCTCTTACTATCCTGGTTCATCCAGATTTTCTGGCGTGGTTCCCTCTTGTCAGTGATGCAGGACGTAGGGCCTGACAAAGACAGCTGTCTAGTTGTTCGGATGGGACGAAAAACCGAGGTCCTGTGTACACATTGGCGTGCACGTAAATGATCCCTTGACAGTTGGAATTCAATATAAGAGTAGGCTGTAGTGCTGCTGTCTGGGCAAAATTTCCCTCATAGCACAGTGTATGGCGTATGGTAAGGGCAATGTGCCATTATTATTTATACTAGTTGAAATTTTGGACCCGTGTGACGTATTTAATTGCAAAGCATGTGCAAGTGTCTGTAAGTTGTTTAATGTCTCACTCTCGACCATTAAACCATGCATAGTTATTCACTGTGTTAAGAATTACAGGCTTGTTTTTAGTGAATGACTACAGTTCTGTAGAATTGGGTCATCAATTTTTATAGGCCAACATTTTCATGTGGACGTATATTGTCGTCGCCCCAGGTCACAATTTTTATCCAATTTCAATGAAACCTGAAATATAGGTTTATCACCCTAAGATCTCGGTTCCTTTCGATATTGGCGTCTATCGGACCGTAACTTCATGGATTATGGCCCCTGATTGTACGAAAAATCACGTTTTTGGCTTGTGAACACAGTAGAGGTCACAATTTTTATCCGATTTTGTTGAAACTTGAAATGTAAGTTTATAACCCAAAGATCTCGGTTCCTTTCGATATTCGCACATATCGGACCGTAACTTCCTGAAATATGGCCCCTGATTGTACGTAAAAACACGTTTTTTGGCTTGTGGACCCTATAGAGGTCATAATTTTTATCCGATTTAAAAAACCGTATTATTATATCACCGTTAAACCCTAAGGACGGTTGAGTTCGAATTTCGTGAAAATCGGCCCAAAACTGACAGACAAAATGGCCGCCCTTCGTTCTCAAATAGCATAAAATATGGTATATCAAGGTTGTGGACCCTATAGAGGTCACAATTTTTATCCGATTTTGTTGAAACTTGAAATGTAAGTTTATAACACAAAGATCTCGGTTCCTTTCGATATTTGCGCATATCGGACCATAACTTCATGAATTATGGCCCCTTATTGTATGACAAATCGCGTTTTTAGCTTGTGGACCCTATAGAGGTCATAATTTTTATCCGATTTAAAAAAAACTTTTTATTATATCACCGTTAAACCCTAAGGACGGTTGAGTTCAAATTTCGTGAAAATCGGCCCAAAACTGACAGACAAAATGGCCGCCGTTTGTTCTCAAATAGCGTAAAAATATGGTATATCAAGGTTGTGGACCCTATATAGGTCACAATTTTTATCCGATTTTGTTGAAACTTGAAATGTGAGTTTATAACCCAAAGATCTTGGTTCCTTTCGATATTCGCGCATATCGGACCGTAACTTCCTGTATTATGGCCTCTGATTGTACGAAAAATCACGTTTTTAGCTTGTGGACCCTATAGAGGTCATAATTATTATCCGATTTAAAAAATCATATTATTATATCCCCGTTACACCCTAAGGATGACTGAGTTCGAATTTCGTGAAAATCGGCCAAAAACTGACAGATAAAATGGCACCCCTTCGTTCTCAAATAGCGTAAAAATATGGTATATCAAGGTTGTGGACCCTATAGATGTTACAATTTTTATCCGCTTTTGTTGAAACTTGAAATGTAAGTTTATAACCCAAAGATCTTGGTTCCTTTCGATATTCGCGCATATCGGATTGTAACTTACTGATTGTACGAAAAATCACTTTCGTTTTAGCTTGTTTTCTATCCATCTCTCGAAAATGTGGGTGTATCCTGCCTGGCAGCCGCTGGTTCAAGTTAATTGGAATTATTTGGTGCTACTTGACTCATGATAAAAAATGAGAATGAAGTAATTTTGATAGTGTTATAGGATTACTGCTGCCTATACTATAGTCATTTGAATTTTTCGCACTTACAATTTTTCACAGCTAAATCAAATCTCGGCTCCCATATGTCACTTGATGTATCCTTCCGTCAGTCGCTTCACAAAGATTCCAGATGGCGGCTCAAACTCGCGACCTTCAGGCTAGCGAGCCAGCGTCTTACCCACTTAGCCACCGAAGCTCCCTCTCTCTTAAAAAGTGTCCCCTTTAATAAAAGAACTTGACGTATAAATGTGTATTTTAACCTTTTTTTTTTCAGACATATTTTGGTATCCATACAAATGAAGGATTTGGTCTCCAAGGGGCATTACCTGTTCCTGTTTTTGAGTGTCTTCATCGTGTATTTGGTGTTACGTTTGAATGTTTTGCTTCACCGTTAAATTGTTATTTTAGACAGTTCTGTTCAGCTTTTGGTGATACTGATGGCTATTTTGGTTCTCGAGGGTAAGATTTTATAATGGATGATTTAATATTTGCGGTGTGTAACAATGTCCTCAAAATTTTAATATGTTACTTTGAGATGACTTTTCACAGATGTTTTCCCAGATTTTCCGGCGCGCTGTATGGCGTATGCTCGTCTTTATTAGTCAAAAGTTTGATATGTTACTTTGAGATGACTTTTCCCAGATGTTGGGTATTTCCATCAATAACAGATGTTAAAACTTGAATATAAATGATGAATTTTATTTTATAAAAATGGGAGCCATGGTGGCTAAGTGTGGGTAAGACGCTTGCTTGGTAGTCTGGTGGTACCATGTTCGATCCCTGCATTGGTTGAGAAAGTTCATTGAAATTTTCCGAGGTTGTTTCCCCTTGTCAGTGCTGCAGAACAGAAGGCCTGACAAGAACAGCTGTCTGGTCGTTCGAATGGAAGAAAAAAGCGATCTCTTGGCAGTTGGAATTTGATATTCGAGTAAGCCATAGTGCCGCTGCCCGGGTAAAATTTCCCTCATAGCACACTGTATGGCCTATGCCTGTCTTCATTATCCCAGTTGGAGTAGAACGTTAAACCCGATTCCATTGTTAGCCTGAAGGTCGCATGTTCGATCTCTCCATTGGACCGAGAAAGTTCATCCCCTTATCGTCAGTGGTACAGAACAGAGGTCCTGGCAGGGGACAATAAAGTATAGTCGGTCGGATGGGATGATAAACCGAGGTCCTGTGTACATAAGCCGTAGCGCCGCTGTCCAGGCAAAATTTCCCCTCAAAGCACACTGTACGGCGTATGCCCGTCTTCATTAGCCTGGTCAGGAGCAGAACAGTAGGATGTTACGTCCACTCTTGTTATCATTTATTGAAATTTATTTTCAGGACTATTTTAAATTTTTTCCCTAAAAGTGGTTCATTTGAAGCAAATCCTCCATTTTGTGAGGAGTTAATGGAAGCAATGGTAGATCATTTTGAGGTTTGTTATTTACTCCTTTAATAATTGAAGAGTCCAGGGGAAGAACGATTTAAGTCACATTTTTGTCTTCGCATAAAAGGTAAAACAGACTTTTGGTCGAGAATGCTTGACGCGAACAGAACAACGAGTGGGTTTAATTACAACTGAAAATGATGTTTAATACGAATCATAATTATCAGTACAACAAGTGACTTCAACTTTTCAGCCAAATTAAGGTCAAATATAGGGTAAGATGGACTTGTCTTTGTCCGGGAGGCCATTTCAGAAGGGCCTTGGTTCGATGTGACTCTGATCGTTTTTAGCTGAAATAAATTGTTCCATAGAAAGCTTATACAATTTGCTACCAGGTGGCACCATTAGATCGTTCTTCCCCGGATCTCTACAATTCTTAGTTAATACTGATCTGTGGCAGTACTGATCTAAGGTTGTAGTGCAAAAAATAAAAACATAATTGTTTACTACATTTTCATAAGTCCAACCTCGCAGGTTTTCTCCGGGTCCTCCATTTTTTCTCACACTGCTAAAGAACCCCACGCGCAAACATTGGAATAAAATTGAACCATATGTTAGTCCATGAAATGACCTAGTTTGTGTCGAATGGACGTTAAACCCCATTTCTTCCTCTCTCACTATCATAAGGTCGAATGGTAAAGGGAAATAACTCTATTAAATGTATCCATTTGAATTAGGAAGTATACTATAAGTGGGTATTGGACAATTGTAAACTGCCTCATTGTTATCAAGAATTCTTGATATTCAATTGAATGGTTTATGTTTTTGTTTGTAAGATCTTATATTATCAATCTGATTAGAATACACATCTATATTTCTTTTTGGTTTTTTTATTCTTTCGATAGCCTCCACTACATAAAGATCTGACTGGTAGTAGTGGAAGGTCACATCAGGGTTCGTACAAGCGACTTTTGACCCTATGACGTCAGACATTGATTAATCAATCAGCATTGACTTTTCTAGTGGTTTACCCATAGTTCTGATTAAAATACAGATCTATATTTAGGTTTTTTTTTATTCTCTCGATGGCCTCCACTACATGAAGATCTGACTGATAGTAGTGGAAGGTCGCATCAGGGTTCGTACAAGCGACTTTTGACCCTATGACATCAGACATTGATTAATCAATCATCGTTGACTTTTTCTAGTGGTTTACGCACAGTTCCATGCATCTCATGCCAAGAACTCGCCATAACAGACCGTTTCATTGGCTAAACCCTCACATCATCCAGAATATATAATAACTCTTCCAGATCCTAGTGTAGTAAAGACATGTAAAACGAAATTTTGAACTATAAAAAACGAAACGGAACAGGATCTGTGTTTTAATCAGATTGTTATATTTTATTATTTTGTAGAGTTTATTACATGAGTCACAGGATCCGTTGTCTTTTATTGTATTTGTACCTGAATGGAGAGATCCACCTACTGAAGCCCTCATGAGATTAGAATCCAGTCCGTAAGTTAATATTTACTTTTACTCAAGGTTCACACACAGGCTCTTAAAAAGCAAAGAAATATGATATGTTAATATTAATAAAAGGTAATATATAAAAAAGGTTTTATGAAGCAACTGTAAGGGTGAGCAATCCATTGACTTCTTCGTGAGGCTTTCAGATATTGAACATAAATTTGGTAATATAATGCACGTTTGTGGCTACAGGTAACACAGTCGTCTTGTCACGGTTGACTTCTTTTCAACTAAACACACTCGGCTATAGTGAGGCCGTTTATGTTTTGACGCCTGTCTTGTTTAGGAGTGTCTATTTTTACAAAGAGGTTACAAGGGTCAGGTTTCAGAATTTAGGGAATGGGTTAAAGATACATTCCTGCATACAAACTTTGTGATCTGAAGATATATTTGGACTAAAAACATATTCAAAGTAACCAATCTATCAGAAATTTGCTTCAATTCCCTCTCAAAAATTTGTATTCGCTGGGGTTACCTATAGCTATAAGTAAGCTGTTGTTAGACGCAATGTCTGTCAACTTAGCTTCATTGTTGGAGGGTCCATTTTTCAGAATGTATTATTACTTACTGTACATTTACCATACATATTGAGGCCTAAGTAAATTCTTAATTATTTCTGTCAACTTCATATTAAGCCGTTTATTTGCAGTCTTTTGTATGTTAACACCCATCAATGTTCCCAAAACTGCCTAACCATTTTATCAAGAAATAACAACTGCTCCCTCACTTAAACTGGTACACAATAAGCTGATAGATAACAGTCGGGTTGCCATTTAGTGATGCCCTGACAATTTTGCCCAGTGCTTGCCCCATGGGTGTTTTTCGGGTAATCCAGTATTTTTGTAGTAAGGTTGGGTGTCTATACTTTTCATATATACCAAATTTGACATACTTTTATTGGAAATTACCACCCGATAAATACTTTTCTGGGAAAGTATCTTAAACTCTTCACTACACACTACACGTACATGTAAGGCAATGGCCTGAAAACGGGCAAATCTTGTTTGTGACTAAAACAGATTGGATTATTGATATTTTTCAGATTTAAGCGAAAACAGATAACTTTTCCAGCTTATGAACATGAATATAGAAATGGTTTTCAACATATTTGTCCAAAGTAAGTTAGTAGTGTGTGAAAGGGTTGTAGATTTCAGCACAAGAATGTAATCAATCTTGGTTCAGATCTTTTAAATACTCTGCATGATATTAATTAATATTTGAAGATATTTACCCTATTTCTTACCCGGGGAAGGGGGTTGGATGGCCGAATGGTTAGTGTGTGCGCTTTGCATTATAAGTTCTGTCATTGAGTCAACTGGCGGGGTTTTGATTCCTTGGTTGTACGTGACAAGGAGTAGGCTCGCCTCTCCAACCTCGTGGGTTTTCTCTGGTTTCCTCCCACTGCTAAAGACCCCTACGTGCAACCACATGTTAGTCCCGAAATGACCTAGTTTGTGTCAAGTGGAAGTTAAACCCATTTCTCTCTCTCTCTCTTACCCAGGGCATAACAAATATACTGACATTATAACCATGAATAATAACCCTGGTGCTTGATCTTTTTGTAAATCAGGGTGTTGGGTGACCACATGGTTCAATGCATGTGTGTTAGATCATAAGGTCTGCAATGAGTCAAGTGTCGTAGTTTCAATTCCCAGCTTGTACGTGACACAGAGTTAGGTCGCCAGTCCAACCTTGTGGATTTTACTGTCATTGGCGTGGTTTCGATTCCATGCTTGCCTGTCCAACCCAGTGGGTTTTCTGCGGGTCCTCCCACTAATACTAATCAGGGACATATGCTGTATTCATGTAAAAATAACTTCATCATTTTCGATTTTCGGAAGCAAGTGCCTTATTATTGTAATGTAGTCATCGAAATTGTAAAAGTTGATATAATTCGTAGAGTAAATATGCAGTCTTGAACTTTTTTATTTTGAATTTTAATAGTTTTGGATTTTGGAAGGATATACCTACCAAACTATTTCTCAACTGTTGAGTGCCTTTTAATTCAGGTATCCTGGGTAACTTTGTCTGGTTAAAAACCTTGTTAATAAAAGCTAGTTCTCACCTGTTCTTTCTATCTGTCCTCTCCTGATATCTGTGGCTACAGTCCTTCTGTGCCCCCCTCCCCCACCACACACCTCTGTCACTGGATTATTTGATGGCTTTTTTTTACCAAAGTATTATGTAACTAGAGGGGGGTTTGATGGCTGAATGGTTAGCGTGTGCACGCCATATCATAAAGTCTGTCATTGAGTCAACTGGCGGGGGTTTCGATTCATCGGTTGTACATGACAAGGAGCCGGAACCTCGTGGGTTTTCTCCATGTCCTCCAGTTTCCTCCCACTGCTAAAGATCCCTACGCGCAAGCGAATTATGGAAATAAAATTGAACCATATGTTAGTCCCGAAATGACCTAGTTTGTGTTGAGTGGACGTTAAACCCCATTTCTCTCTCTCTCTCTATATATATATATAACTAGAAATGAAATGAAATGTGGTTTAACGTTTTACTTTACTGGGTTGACTGATAATGAAGATGGTCATACGCCATACAGAGTGTAAAATGATAGAAATTTTGCCTGGACAGCGATGCTATGGCCTTCTCTTATAATATCGAATTCCAACTGCCAAGGGATCTTTTATTTGCACGCCAATGTGTACACCGGACTTCAGTTTTTCATCCCATCCGAACGACAAGACGGCTGTCCTTGTCTGGCTCGCTGTCCTGCACCACTGACAAGGGGGAACCAAGCCAAAAAAACATTAGGATCAAAGCTGTGACCCCCTTGCTAGCGAGACAGCATCTTACTCACTTAGCCACCGTGGCTCCCTATGTAACTAGAAGAACCAGAATTTAACACTTTCACCTAAGCTGCAAGTCATGTGTCTTTGTTTATTTCCCACCCAACAAATTTCTCCAAATTGTTATCTGTAAGTGTTCTTGTGTTTACACACAACAATCTTTGTCAACCATGTCTGGAAATTCTTTTGATAACATGAAAGCAATTCATCTTTTAAAATTCATCTTTCAATACAAATGATTAATGTATATATTTTTTTGGGACGAGCCCATTAATAATTTATTTTCTTCTTTTAACACAGAACTGATGTGAATGTGAAGTCTTTACATGGTACTCTAGCCATATTTCTACAGAATGATGCCGGTTATGCCAAGTGGGGACCATCATCTGAAAGAGTAAAAGAACTTTTATTAGCTGCTAAAGCAAGAGACCCACTACCCTAAAGATACATTATGTAAGATTTAGATAAAGAGCTGACCATTCTTGCTATAATAGCTCAAAAATAGATAAATGTGAAATGAAAAAATAGAAAATTTCATTCAAATTACTTCATTCTGAGCCAAGTTATCACTGTTCGTAGTGCAGTTTGGTAACCAGGGCACTGGTATATATTCGAGACTTAGACTCACTTTCCCATTTTTAAATTAAATTTATAAATGGTGAACTGTTCTAATGTAGTTAAAATCTCGAGTATCCGATGCTATCGAGAGTTGATTATTGTCTGGATAAGTTAAATAATGTCTAATAAAGAATTTAGATAACATTTGAGGCCTAAAGAAAGACCTGCAATAGGCAGATTTAGCTCTTGTATAATATATGTTTAATCTAGCCAAAACTCAGTTTCACATATTTCACGGCAACACTAAAACAAAAAAAGGTTAGTGCAAGGAGAACAATGTATAAATAATGCGTCCACCTTCCTTTTTAAACGACCATTTTAAAGGTAGAAAAGGGATTAAAAAAAAAAAAAATAGAGTCTGCTGCCTGGATCGTTAGAACAAAAGATATGATATGCAAATGAAATATAATTCTTTAAACAAATTTACGAAACTGTAACCAATCAACTTAGTAATTATTTTATTTTATTGTTACCCAACAGAAATATGGATTATGATTAACATGTCAGGCAATAGTTCGCATTCAGCACATTATTTTCTTGTTCACTAGCAATCTGATTAAAACACAGATCCTATTTCGTTTTCTGGTTTCGCGTTGTATCATAAGGTCTGTCATTGAGTCAACTGGCGTGGTTTTGATTGCCCGGTTGTATGTGACAAGGAGTAGGATAGTCTGTCCAACCTCGTGGGTTTTCTACGGGTCCTCAGGTTTCCTCCCACTGCTAAAGACCCCTACGCGCAAGCGAATTATTGAAATAAAATTAAACCATATGTTAGTCCCGAAATGACCTAGTTTGTGTCGAGTGGACGTTAAACCCCATTTCTCTCTCTCTCTCCTATTTCGTTTCGTTTTTTATAGTTCAAAATTTCATTTTACTTGTCTTCACAACACTAGGATCTGGAAGAGTTGTTATATAACCCACATTCTGGATGATGTGAGCAATTAGCCAATGAAACAGTATGTTACTGCAATTTCTTGGCATAAGGTACACGGAACTGTGGGTATCCCACTAGAAACATCAATGCTGATTAGTTAATCAAATTTCTGACGTCATAGGATCAAAAGCCGCTCATCTGACCTCTGACACGACCTTAAACTACAACCGGTCAGAACAGATCTTCGTGTAGAAGAGGCCATCGAAAGTATAAAAAAACAAAACGAAATATAGATCTGTATTTTTATCAGATTGGTATATTAAGTTACAGAAATTTGATAAACATAGAGTAATAGTAGAAAAATTTAATTACGCAAGTTGGCAAATGAAAGTGCACTTATGTTTAAATATTTTATAAATTATGTCGAATTAAGAAATGTAGTAGACAACTTATCGTCATTGATAACAACTTTATTTTAATTTTGCTGTAAGAATTTATACCCACAACAAGAGTGCAATATTACATAAATAACACCACTTTCATCTGGCCCCGAGTTCTCAAAGCATTCTCAAACTTTAAGTTAAGAATTTACTCAAAATTATTTACCTTATTTTAACTAAAATATAGCCCTTTATAAAACTTTTGCTGTTTTAATGTATCAAATACACCAATAAGAAACTATGTGCAAAGTTTTGTGTTTCTGGATGAAAGATATTCCTTATAAACAGTGATTGAAAATTGAGTAATTTCTCAACTTAAGTCTGAGAATGCTTTGTGAACTCGTTGCCTGGTTTAACTATTAGAGATAAAACTGCCGAATTGTCTATCTACCAGACATAATCATCGTATTATATCAGTTCGCAAAAATCACACATTTGATTTGTATTACATGAAATCAAATTTCATGTAAATTTACCACTTATTTATATATTTTGAATTCGATTCTTTATCAAACTTTTTATCTATCACATATTTTCGATTATTTCATTCACAGGAATGATAATTCAGGTTTGTTATTAAACCACTGTGTTCAAGGTTATGTTAATGATATAATGAATTACGATATAACAAGAAATTTATGTGACATAAAGATTGACTCTTTTAATACAGGGGGGTTTGGATGGCCAAATGGTTGGCGCATGCGCGTTGTATCATAAGGTCTGTCATTGAGTCAACTGGCATGGTTTCGATTCCCCGGTTGTACGTGACAAGGAGTAGGGTCGATTATCCAACCTCCTGGTCCTCTAGTTTGCTCCCACTGCTAAAGCCCCTACGCGTAAGCGAATTATTGAAATAAAATTAAACCATATGTTAGTCCCGAAACGACCTAGTTTGTGTCAAGTGGACGTTAAACCCCATTTTTCTCTCTCTTTTAATACATACTGAAATTAATGCAACCCAACAGTATCACACCATTAAAAATCCTTGAAGTATTGTGAAAGTTAAATAAGTAAAAGAAAGGATTATAAATCAATAATTGGTTCAGTTCCAATCAATAGTTACATTCAGCATTCCTCTCCAGAGGATATAAACAATCTGCAGATGATATAAACAATCTGCAGATGATATAAACAATCTGCAGAGGATATAAACAATCCAGCGCAACCTACAAGTATTAGGTGTAAAAAAAAAAAAAAAATTCATGGACCTCTTTTCAAGCCAAATGAATCCAAACTCATAAAAATTTGTGGCCAGGAAATTAAATTCTTGTAAATAAGACACTCATTATCAAAAATAATCAGTCAGCTTTAAACAGGATACAAGTATTAGTAAAAAATTAGTTGATTTTTGATGACTTTAAATGATTTTTAAGAATTTTTAAAAAAAAGAAATTAGTGCTAAATACACAAGATTAAATGATACCTGTGTTACTGGGACGTCTCATATAAATTTCTTGTTTTATCAGTAGTTAATTATTTGTTATATTGTTTACGAAGATTTTAATTAAATTGTTAATTTCATGTGTAAATAACCATCAATTATTTTGTCCAACCAGTTGAAATTACATTACCGGTATATATATATGTTTACCTCTCATTATAAAAGATATAGAACTGTGCCCTTATTCACGAAAACTTACAACTAAGATTCAATCGAAATTTTAAGAAATACTGCAATTCGATTGGCTGACCAGTAAAATCAATTTGCATATATCCAATGAAGTTGCAGTATTTCTTAAAATTTCGGTTGTAACTTAGTTTAAGTTTTCGTGAATAAGGGCCCAGGTCTATGTATGGTCTATCACTAGAGAAGAGCTTTGCTTCTGCCTCATATAATTATTCGCTGCGTTTTCTGTGGTAGACGAAAACCCCTTCTGAAATTGGAAGAGGTTGTAACAGATTGTTTTTCAAGTGGCACGCAATCTGATTAAAACACAGATCCTGTTTTGTTTCGTTTCGTTTTTATAAAGTTCAAAATTTTGTTTTACTTGTCTTTACTACACTAGGATCTGGAAGAGTTGTTATATAACCTGCAATCTGGATGATGTGAGGGATTAGCCAATGACACGGTCTGTTATGGCGAGTTTTGGGCGTGAGTTGCACGGAACTTTGGGAAAACCACTAGAAAACATCAACGATGATTGGTTAATCAAATGTCTGACGTCATAGGGTCAAAAGCCGCTCATATTACCCCTGACGTGACTTTCCAACAAAAACCAGTCAGATCTTCATGTAGTAGAGATCATCAAAAGTATAAAAAAACGAAACGAAATATAGATCTGTATTTTAATCAGATCGAGTTTCACCATGTTGACTATTTTTCAATTTAAACCGGTTAAGATATTTTGTGTTCACTGTACACAAACAAGGGTTGTTTTAATGTAATGTTATTGTATTCAAATCTGACGTACGACCTACAGTATCTAATCTTATGTCTTATAGATAATTGAAATATACTGTCAAAATTTGCTGACAAATAATCATGGCCACAGCTCCCATATAAGTAGTGGTTAGATATGTTGGAATACTCAGTGTTGTATGTGCATGCATGGAAAATTTGGATTAGGTTGTATTTGATATTTTTGGAAGTCCTGTATTATATATTCATTGCCACGATCACTGCTCCTCGAATTGAGTTCAATGTTATCAGATTTATATTCATGTCCTGTAAGGCCAGGGTGTTGGGTGGCCGAATGGTTAGCGTGTGCACGTTGTATCATAAGGTCTTGTCATTGAGTCATCTGGCGGGATTTCCATTCCCAGGTTGTACGTGACGAGGAGTAGAGTCGCCTGTCCAACCTCGTAGGTTTTATCTGGGTCCTTCGGTTTCCTCCCACTGCTATTGAAATAAAATTGAACCATGTTAGTCCCGAAATGACCTAGTATGTGTTGAGTGGATGTTAAACCCCATTTCTCTTTCCCTATAAGGCCATACTAAAAAAAACTTTCTGGTTCTTAGCAAAAATCTATTTCTTTTTATTTTGTCAAATGATCACTTTATTTATCTTATCAAATTGTTTACAGAAAATGTATGATTATCCAGTACCATTGATCATTGTCTATAACATTTATAAGGTTGCATACTTGATAAATGAGTCTACACAACATTCATGAATTCATTCAAATTTTTTTTTTCTTATGGAGTCACTTCCTGTAACCTGGGTAAAACTGTTTTGATTTTGGATTATTTGAAATAAAGAAGTATCATGTTGTCCTATTGGAGTTAAACAGAATTATCCAAGAACAAGAATATTTTTTTTATATGACCTAAAGTGGCAATTGTTAATTTTTTTAATAAACCTTCTATTTCCTATGACAGAAAAAAAGGAAAATGTATCTGCAGTGTTTATTATATGTGTTTGTGAGAAAAGAAAATGAAAAAAGAAAAAATTGTTACGGACACGGGGCAAAAATATGTATACATGTATATGACTTTGTGTGAAAAATAAATGAAAAAAGAAAATTGTTATGGACAGGGGGAAAAATATGAAAAAATTTCTTATTATTTGTTAGAGGATTATCATAGAAATTTAAAGAATTGGTTCTGTGAGAATGTTGTTAGTATTGTTTTCTGAGCAACAAAGGAAAAAATAATGTTAAGGACAAAGGGAAAAATATGAAATTTTTTCTTTGTTAGATAATTATCCTAGAAATTTAAAGAATTAGTTCTGTGAAAGTGTGGTTAGTATTGTTTTGTTTTTTTAGTAACAAAGGAAAAAAAAAATGTTAAGGATGAGTGTTATATTTGAAATAATAGTAATATTTGTGTGGCTATTTCCTGTATATAGATGTTAAAGTATATATGGTGTTATTGTTCTGTTTTATCACATGTATATCATAGTTTTTATATATTAGTAGATTTCTATTCATCCTTCATTCATTCATCTGTATATAGTTCATCATCATTATATATTCATTCATGTAACATTCTGTAAATAATGGCTTTAGTAGTTTCGCTTTAGTTTTAATAAATCATGGTAGTTTAAACTTGTAAATAATAAACCTATTTATTTTAGGATATTAGATTAATTTTACATTAAGTTCATTTTATTTTTAAGTATGTAAAAAGAAATTTAAAATTTTCTTCAATAATTTTGTTGGTTTTTTTTTACTTTTTAAATAAAAAATTATACTGAATCATGTATTGTTTATAGAGTATGTCCGTTTTAAGTATCATGGAAATTTGATTAATATTGGAAATATATATAAAAATATTAATGTTGATTTAGAGATTTGTTTGTAGATAAAAATGAATTTAATATAGTTTTTATAATGAATAGGAATAGCTAATGTTTGTCTTTGTACTGTGTACAGGGGCGGATCCTGGAATTTTTGCAGGAGGGGGTTTGCCAGGCTCCTGTTAAAAAAATTTGACAGCTGACAATGCATGATGCCATCATCGTCTCTAAATTACGTAGGCATACATACAAATTGAGCTTTTAAAGAGAGAAATCCAACACCGCGTTCGACGTCAATTTTTATAGTGAATAAATAGGATCACATTGTGATTCAATTTCATTGATATAAAGCATTCAATTTTATTTTTTTTAGCCGAGAAGGGGACCCCCCCACCCCCCCTCCTCTGGATCCGCCCCTGGTGTATATTGGTTTTATTGTCTGGTGGATCTGAATGTTATATGTAACAAAATCTATTGCAGGGTTTACAAAAAATTTATTAATTCCATCAATTGTAAATTAGCTAAAACAATCATGTCTTATTTTTAGAATCGTCTGGGAGTTACGAGACATTTGTGTTCAACTAATATAAAACTAGCAGGTGCTTGTTTTCACTGTGTCACAGACAGTAGTGTAACGTGTATATGCATTGATCCATCGATCATATTTCTATTGTTTAATTGTTTCACCTTCTGAATGGAATTTTTATTAAATGGTTTTTTTTTTAACCTTGAAATTATGGACAAAAAAAAAGATAGTAAAATATAAAACGCATTGTTTTCTGTTTATATATTTATTACATAGACTATGAAAAGAAAGTGTTCATTTATGACTGGCATGGGTTATGGTCTACTCTTTGTAGTAATATGAAGAGCCCCGGTAGGGGAAGAATGATCTAAGTCACTTTTTCAACAAACCCCAGTTAATGTTGCCATCTGGTAGCAAATTGTATAAGCTTTCTGTGGAACAATCAATTTCAGGTAAAAACGATCAGTCACATCGAACCAATTTAAGGCCCTTCTGAAATGGCCTCCCAGACAAATACAAGTCCATCGTACCCTTGATTTGTCCTTAATTTGGCTGAAAATTGGAAGTCAGTTGTTGTACTGGTAATTATGGTTTGTATTAAACATCATTTTAAAGTTGTAATTAAACCCATTTGTTGTTCTGTTCGCGTCAAGCATTCTCGTCCCAAAGTCTGTTTTGCATTTTATGCGTAAAGACAAAAATGTGACTTAAATCGTTCTCCCCCTGACTTTTCATATATTTTACAATTTCACTATTCTAATTAGAGGGACAACACAAAGAATTAAAAAAAATATGTATTTTAGATTTAAAATATGATTGTTAACGAAATGTTTAAACCAATGAAGAGTGTTGTAAAAATAGAAATATGATAATTTGACATTAATTTTACTGTAGAGTGAGTATTATATATTCCATGTAGATTAATGTGAATAATTTTATCATGTATTGGATTAAATTCATTGTTACAAAATTAAATATATGGTCCAGGATATTAAAAACATATACATAAAATAAACATATTTCTTGGGGGTTTTTATTTTGATTTTCGATTTTTGAAATTGACATTTGATTTTAGCCATATGTACCATTAAAGGCCCAATACCACTCTTGTTGTAACTGAATAATATGTCCCAATCTTTATTTGGGTCAACAAATTGTTCTATTTTACAATATTCCAATTAATTGATGATACAAATTTCATCTTAACACACCTAATTTAAAAAATTGGAAAAATTCAACGTAAAGCTTTTCAAATGTGACTTGGATTTAAAAATATTTTCGAACCCTCTGGACAAGTAAAATAGGATTTAATGGATAATTTACACACCAGGTAGGATACTTAAACATCTAATACTTAGAATAAGACTATTATTTATTTTCTGGAGCTGTCAAGCCAGCAAGAGTGTTATTGTCCCTTTAAGAATAGCTCTGTACAGTGATTTAAGACAGTGTCCCCATATAGAAAACCGCCTGTGGTGTTTTCAAAGCTACCGGATTGCGCTTTTTTTAGAGCTAACTGGGACGAGTTCTGTAGATAACAAACCTCATCTTTCAACCGGGTTGTTGGATGGCCGAATGGTTAGCGTGTGCGCTGTATCATAAAGTCTGTCATTGAGTCAACTGGCGTGGTTTCGAATCCCCGGTTGTACGTGACAACCTGGAGGTTGGGTGTTCGATCCCTGCATTGGCCGAGAAAGTTCATTCAGATTTTCCGGCGTGGTTTCCCCTTGTCAGTGATGCAGGATGGAGGGCCTGGCAAGGACAGCTGTCTAGTCGTTCGGATGGGACAAAAAACCGAGGTCCTGTGTACACATTGGCATGCCCGTAAAAGATCCCTTGGCAGTTGGAATTCGATATAAGAGTAGGCCATAGCGCTGCTGCCCGGGCAAAATTTCCCTCATAGCACACTGTATGGCGTATGCCCGTCTTCGTTAGCCCAGGTTAGTAGCAGAACAGGACTTTAAACCCCATTTCATTTTGTACGTGACAAGGAGTAGGGTCGCCTGTCCAACCTCGTACCTTTATGCACAAGTGAATTATTGAAATAAAATTAAACCATATGTTAGTTCCGAAATGACCTAGTTTATGTCGAGTGGACGTTAAACCCATTTCTCTCTCTCTCATCTCTCAACCCTGTTGATATTTTTTTATATCAAAAAAGACTCGAGACCATAGGGGATTCTCTATGTATTTCAGCCATTTTATGAAGTCCACACTGATTGGCAGTGACTAATCGCTATATAGGCCGCTTTCGCAATACCTCTTTGAAGTACATGTAGATAACGTCAAGTCGTGTGCCGTGAATCTATTTTTAGATAGCCTTAATCATCCTTGCCACACTGATCCGCAGTGAATAGTCGCTTGGCCGCTACAATCACTGATAAGGATGACATCGATGCGACTTAATGACTACAAAATATTAACTTTTTTCTTTCGACAAATTAAATTCTGAAACATTTTTTTTTAGTATTAAAAAAATAAATAAAGGTGTTTGAAGTATATCTTGATAAAAAAATATTCCATATTTAGCGTAAATAGGTACAGAAAATAGTACGCGGAGGCGTAAAATGGGTAAAACGATATAATTTTGCCCGTACCAGTTCATATTACTACGTTCAATGTAAACAACGCACGTGTGACCATCAATTTGACGTTTTTTTCTGTTTGTTAACTCTGAATTCTTTCAGAAGTACATTTTTTACCGTCTAATCTGATTGACCTGCTCGTGTTTGTTTTAAAACAACAAAAACAAGCCACAGAAGTAATCTTTTTGGGCGTTATCGATGCCATCTTGCTTTGTTGGTAAACATTGTGATGTGACGTCACCCTTAGACAGCGGTCTGACCTTTTAAAGGTCAGTCATCTTGGACAGAGATAAAAGACGGATGTCGCATTAGGTCTGTGAAACAGATTGCATCCTTGCAGTCGAAGCAATTGACTGAAATGATCGAGACTAAAATTGAGTCAACGATGCGTGATTCTGATAAATACAAAACAACATTATGCGCGAGCACTGAAATATTTACTATTCATACCCTCGTTCTTCCAGGCAAATATTTACTTGATAAAATGGATACGTACAATTTAACTTGGTGATCGAGACTATCTCAGGTGGATGTTGACGTATTTTATTGTTTATTCCGGTACGGCATTATCGAGCGAATTCTTAAACAATTCGCTATAGAGATTTTTTGTATAATAGGTCTCCTTCGAAGGAAGCTGACAATTTTGACATGATTTGTTGACATTCAGTCTATCTTCTAAAGAGAGCTTGTACAAAACTAAGATTTTTTTCTAGGAAGGGTATAGAAAAGTGGACAGGAACCGATTCCTCTGGAATATAATCATAATGGCGGCCATCCATCGAAATGTTTGCCTTTATACCGTTATATTATTTATAACTGTAATATATGATGTGTATGGTAAAGGAACACTCCCAAAATGTAAGCATATTTTATTATTATTATCTGGAAACCCAAATTTCTTTGATTAATGGGCGATTATGTTAGTTTTAAATCTCAAACCATACTCTATCTGTAAATCTATTCCTGACAGTGAGTTACTTAATCCTGAAAAATTGTTCAGACTCCCGGCCTAGGCTGTACTAATGAAGTGGTTTGCCCCTAAAGGGAGTTGGATCAAACATAATCTATGATTGTTGAGAGAAATGAGGTTTAACGTCCACTAGACACAAACTAGGTCATTTAGGGACTAACATTGTTTAACTTTATTTCAATAATTCGCTTGGGTGTAGGGGGTCTTTAGCAGTGGGAGGAAACTGGAGGATCCGGGGAAAACCCACGAGGTTGGAAAGGCAACCCTACTCCTTGTCACATACAACCAGGGAATCGAAACCATGCCAGTTGACTCAATGACGGACCTTATGATCGATACAACACGCATGTGCTAACCATTCGGCCATCCAACCAATCATATAATTTAAAGGCTCAATACCACTCTTGTTGTAACTGAATAATATGTCCCAATCTTTATTCTGGTCAACAAATTGTACTATTTTAGAATATTTCAATTAATTGATATGATACAAATTTCATCTTAACACACCTTATTTAAAAATTTTGAAAAATTCAACATAATGGTTTGAAACGTCTAACGTAAACCTTTTCAAATGAAACTTCGATTTAAGAATATTTTCGAATCCCCTGGACAAGTAAAATAGGATGTAATGGATAATTTACACAACAGGTAGGACACTTAAACATCTAGTGCTTAGATAGAGATATTATTTATTTTCTGGAGCTTTCAAGCCAGTAAGAGTGTTATTGTCCCTTTAACTAAGGGAGCTGGATCAAAATTAATCTATGATTGTTGAGAGTACAGGACACATCATGAATGATGAAATGAAACAGGGTGTAACATCCTGCTTTTCTTAAAGGGACAATAACACTCTTGCAGTGTTGCTGGCTTGACAGCTCCAGAAAATAAAAATAGCCTTATTCTAAGTACTAGATGTGTTAGTGTCCTACCTGTTGTGTAAATTATCCATTAAATCCTATTTTACTTGTCCAGAGGGTTCAAAAATATTTTTAAATCCAAGTCACATTTGAAAAGCTTTATGTCAGGCTTTTCAAATCATTTAGTTGAATTTTTCCAATTTTTTAAATTAGGTGTGTTAAGATGAAATTTGTATCATCAATTAATTGGAATATTGTAAAATAGTACAATTTGTTGACCAGAATAAAGATTGGGACATATTATTCAGTTACAACAAGAGTGATATTGAGCGTTTAACCCAATCGGATTAAAATACAGATCTATATTTCGTTTTTTTTTATACTTTCGATGTCCTACTCAACACAAAGATCTGACCAGTTGTAGTGGAAGGTTGTGTCAGGGATCATACGAGCAACTTTTGACCCTATTACGTCAGACATTGATTAATCAATCGGCGTTGACGTTTCTAGTGGTTTACCCACAGTTCAGTGCTAAGCACACCAAGAACTCGCCGTAACAGACCGTTTCATTGGCTAAATCCTCACATCAACGAGAACGCGGATTATATAACAAATCTTCCAGATCCTAGTGTTGTGAAGACAAGTAAAATGAAATTTTGAACTATAAAAAGCGAAACAAAATAGGATCTGTGTTTTCATCAGATTGTTTTTAACCGACTCGGACTGGGAAAATGAAGATATTTACGGCATATAGTGTTCTATGAGGGAAATTTTGCCAGGACAGTAGTGCAATGGACTTCTCTATTTTAAACTCCAACTGTCAAGGGTTCTATGTGCAATGTGTAGCGGGGGGTGGATGGCTGAATGGTTAGCGTGTACGTGTTGTATCATAAGATCTGTAATTGAGTCAGCTGGCGTGGTTTTTATTCCCTGGTTGTAATGTACGTGACAAGGAGTAGAGTCGTCTGTCCAACGTCCTCTGTATTTCTACCACTGGCTAAGACCCCTACATGCATGCGGATTATTGAACTAAAATTAAACCATATGTTAGTCTCAAAATGACTTAGTTTGTGGCAAGTGGACGTTAAACCCCATTTCTCTCTTGCAATGTGTAGCCTACACATCCAAATAACAACTAGAGACTGTTCAGGTCAGACCCTCCATCCTGCATTGTTCCAATGTTTCGATAAATTGTAATTTGTACAAATCTGGCCATAATCAATTGAAGATCCCTGTATGAATAACATATTCTATATAAGTACTAGAGATAAATCAGGCCTAGAACTAATGACAAAAGGTCAATCACTTAAATCAGGCCTAGAAATGATGACAAGAGGCCAATCACTAATATGAGTTGTAGAACCTGACATTTTGAACATTCGGAAATGAAATGAAATGGGGTTTAATGAAATGTTCTGTTCTGACTGGGCTCATAGAGAGGGACCATACACCATACAGTGTGCTATGAGGGAAACTTTGCCCGGGCAGCGGCACTATGGCCTACTCTTATATCGAATCCCAACCTTGGTTTTTCATCCCATCCAAATGACTGCACCACTGACGAGGGGAAACCATGTAGGGAAATTCTGTTGAACTTCCTCGGCCAGTGCAGGGATCGGACATGCGACCTCCAGGCTATTGAGCCATCATCTTACCCACTTAGCCACCACCGTGGCTCCCATTAAAAACTCTGGCAACTAAAAGACAAATTAATATCGAAACAGAGTGTGGATTGTCTCAGGAGGGTATATTAATTGTTTTTTTTAATATTCATATCACAGATTGTATTTCTGATTTCCTTTCCTTTGATTGTTCTTTGTAGATTATATGAGCGAATTATGTGGTCAAACTCTTGATATGAAAGCTGATTTTAAATGGAGTGCTCGAGTGGAATTGGTACGGTCGGGTGATTATCGAGATAATATGAATTGTCGGTGGACCGTGACTGCCCCACCCAATCATAGACTGATGGTATATTTTAAGGAAATTGATATTGATCGACGTTTTTTCAAGTGTGATGATTACTTATCTATTTATGATAGTAATACAACCAGTGGAGCATATTTAGACGGTAAGAACATTTTGTATAAGCTAGATAATAGGGTCTGTTGGGAACGAGAGAGACACTGGTCGATAAAGTAAAAAAAAAAAAAAGGGTCCTTATCTACCGTAGTCTGAATGTGTTATTGGGTGACACATGTTGATAATACTGATAAGGGCGAGCGCCAGAACTCTTAGCTACGAGGGTTGAGAGATGAGAGAGAGAGAACTGGGATTTAACGTCCACTCGACACAAACTAGGTCATTTCGGGACTAACATATGGTTCAATTTTATTTCAATAATTCTCTTGTGCCTTTTGCACCTATAGATGCATATTTTGAGAGAGAGAGAGAGAGATGTGGGGTCATTTCGGGACTAACATATGGCTTTAATTTTATTTCAATAATTCGATTCCGCTCAGGGGTCTTTAGCAGTGGAAGGAAACCAGAGGTGGTTTCGAATCCCCGGTTGTACGTGACAAGGAGTAGGGTCGCTTGTCCAACCTCGTGGGTTTTCTCCGGGTCCTCCGGTTTCCTCCCACTGCTAAAGACACTATGCGCAAGCGATTTATTGAAAAAAATTAAACAGTTTGTTAGTCCCGAAATGGCCTAGTTTGTGTCGAGTGGACGTTAAACCCCATTTCTCTCTCTCTCTCTCTCAATTCTTGAATATACCTGAACATAAATATACATATATCGTTATACAATACTGACAGGCCAATTACCACACTCAATAAGGTATCCTAACTAGTGACTGTCTTCAATGTACAAATTTTGTTACATTTAAGGAAAGTCAGATAATAGGATAAAAGTAAATGTTGTAATTAAAACTGACATGTCGATAGATGAACAATGCATAAAGGATTAAACAATATAATAAATCAACAAAAACAATAGATGGGATTAACGTCGTTACCCAATGACGGCTTGAAAAGTGATGACAGGTTAACGACTTACTAGCCAGTAGATCTTAAAGTGGTTAATTTAAGAAATTAGTGATTGGCAGATTATAACACTATTAGCTAGATACCCAGTCCCTATTCAAACACAAGTCTGAATAAAAATATTGTTTATAAAACAAATAGTAGGGTCTACCGCTTACAGGTGGGGTTGGGTGGTCTAGTGGTTTAAGTGTCCACATGAGTCAAGTGGTCTTGATTTGATTATCCCCGTGTAAGTGACAAGGAGTAGGGTCAGCTGTCCAACCTTGTGGGTTTTCTCTGGGTTCTCCCACTGCTAAAGACCCCTACATGCCAGCAAATGATTAAAATGAAATTGAACCATATGTTAGTCCCAGAAATGACCTAGTTTGTTCAACCTCGTTTGTCTCTCTCATTTTCATTCGCCCGGTTTGTGCAGAACAATAGGAAATTTCTTTTCATTTGTCATAGCACACTACATCAACTTTTTGTACGACCCAGAGAACAAGCCCTAGTTATATTTTAAAAAGAACATCAATTGGCACAGTAAGCTGGTGAACATATCATTCACTTAGTGAATTGAAAATAGGACCCGGTCAACGGTTCATCACACATTACAATATATAAACTTTTTCATTCTGCAGACAGAGAACTATCTACTCGACATGTACATAGAGAAGACAGAGAACTAACTTCTCTGACTTTGAGAATAGATCTCTACCCTAAATGGTCGCCATATCCAACAATTAGTGTACTCCGGTTAACGGTTCACATCTGTTATACACAAAAAGACCAATAAATACTCAACAAAATTCCTGAAGTATACTTAGTTGATTTAGGACTTAAAATGTCGGTCAACTAGCTTAGTGTCTGTTATCAAACGGAGCTTTTTGTAGACAGACAGAGATAGAGAAATGGGGTTTAACGTCCACTCGACACAAACTAGGTCATTTCGGAACTAACACATGGTTCAATTTTATTTCAATAATTCGCTTGCGCGTAGGGGTCTTTAGCAGTGAGAGGAAACCGGAGGAAACCCACGAGGTTGGACAGTATTTGTAGACAGACAGCCTAAGTTTAGTATGAAATTTTCCCAGGGACCCATTGCAGGAAACTGGTGACCATTAGTGACCAATAACGACCAAAAAATGAAATTTAATTTTCCTGATCAATTATTTATTTTCTTTTTTTGCAGGAGCATCTAAATTATGTGGGGAAACCCGTCCTCGCCATTTCCTCTACACATCTGGTAGATCAATGACGTTATTGTTTGTTAGTGATTACCATGGCGATGATGATGGCTTTGATCTTTATTTCACAGCCTATCACACAGGTACAGTAAAACACTGAAATCCCCGGGGGATCCATTATTGCATGATGTCTGTATACATGTAACTGGTACCATCCCAAGGATTAAAGATACATTATGGGAGATTATTAGATAAAGAGCTGGCAGTTCTCACTATAATAGTTAAAACTTAGATGTAGATAATGTAAAGGGAATTTGCTGAAAATTTCAGTCAAATTGATGAACTCATTCCACTGTGAACCGATAATTTAGCGTTTGATTTTTGGGCCTAGCCTCGATCATCTTTACTAAAGTCGGTACCATAAAAAAACATAGTCTCGATTATCCATTTCATGATTAAATCTTGAATGAAATTTGAGCAGCAAATCGGATCTTAATCCAGTAAATATCGCACGATAAAAAACATAGTCTCGATTATCCATTTCATGATTAAATCATGAATGAAAGTTGAGCAGCAAATTGGATCCTAATCCAGTAAATATCGCACGATAAAAAACATAGTCTCGATTATCCATTTCATGATTAAATCATGAATGAAAGTTGAGTAGCAAATCGGATGACTTGTTGCATATAGCAGATCATCACTCATGCTGGCATTACTCAATGGTTTCTTTGGGTTGTATTCCTGATTGTTTCCAAATATGAGTTAAGTCTGTGTCACTACAACGCAGTGGACGCTTACGGCTAGCCCTCAGATCCATTCACTTTTTTTTTTTGAATTATTTGTTTATTTGTGTTTTTCTGAGTATGATGTCTTGTCCATGTATTTGGTTTTTTTGTGTAAATTATGTGTGGTGCAGTCCCCCTGCACTTACTATTAAGAGTTGATTAATGGGCTGGATAATTTAGTTAAAGCGATAATTTCATATTTTCTAAGAAAGTCAAAACATAATTATTTCTATGTCTTTTGCTCAATAGGTTGTCAACTCACTAGGTATTATTCTCCCACTTAAAAATCCTTTGACCCTGGAAATAATAACACAATTACCTCCTTTGTTTTTCTATTCCCCCCATAGAATAGCTATCTTCAAACATTTGAATTTGAAGTTGAAAATGATATTTTTGCCAATTTCTCAACTGGCAATAGTGAATTATAGGATTAATAGGATTATTCTTTAACAAGGTAGAACTGTTTATAGATACCATCTATTTTAAGGCTTTATTTTAATAAATTTTAAAAATATAACTTAAAAATATGAAATTGTAACTTTAAGGTCTAATTAATAACATTTCAGGCCTAAAGAAAGACCTGCAATAGACAGATTTAGCTCTTGCATAATGTATGTTTAAACCATCCGATTAAATCACAGATCCTATTTCGTTTCATTTTTTATAGTTCAAAAATTGTTTTACTTGTCTTTACTAGTCTAAGATCTCGAAGAGTTGTTATGTAACCCGCGTTCTCAGACTTAAGTTGAGAATTCACTCAAGTTTCAATCACCGTTTATGAAAAATATCTTTGATCCCGAAACACAAAACTTTGCACATAGTTTCTTATTGATGTATTTGATACATTAAAACAACAAAAATTTTATAAATGTCTATACTCAAGTTAAAATAAGGCAAACAATTTTGAGTAAATTCTTAACTTAAGTCTGAGAATGCTTTGTGAACTCGGAGCCTAATTGATATGGCGTGCAGTCCATTGCATGTAACTGTGGATATCCCAGTAGAAACTTCAACGCTGATTAGTTAATCAAAAGTCTTGACGTCGTAGGGTCAAAAGCCACTCTTATGACCCCTGATGCGACCTCCCACTACAACCGGTCAGATCTACATGTAGTGAAGGCCATCAAAAGTATAAAAAAAACGAAACGAAATACAGATCTTTATTTTAATCAGATTGTCATTAGACATTCTTCTTAAACGAACGCTCACAAATAATTATGGTTAAAAACAATGTCTTGGGTCTCACAAAACCATTTTTTATAGCATGTGACAATTAATAAGTGTAAAAACTTATTTTCTCAGAGAATAAAACTACACAAATGAAATTTGTACATACCTTGTTGTCCGTTAATGCCAACACTTGCGCGTCCAGTTTCTCTTGGTGACATTTAATAAGTGTAAAAATTTATTTTCCCACAGAATAAAACTGTACGACTGAAAGTCGTACGTATCTTAATGCCAAAATTTGCGCGTCTAGTTTCGCTTTGTGTTATTCCGTTTATTCAGCCATAGTCCAACATTTACAAAAATCGTTCCTACGAGCATGTTGTTGTTTTCAGGAAACTGTACAGACCACGAGTTTAGGTGTAACAATGGACGCTGTATACACAACAGTTTAAAATGTAACGGCTATCAAAACTGTGGTGATGAGAGTGATATGTGTTATAGTAAAATTGGTTCAATTGTTGGTGCTATCGTAGCCGTCGCATTTGTTGTCCTCATTGTTGTGGGTGTTGTTTTCATATGTCGTAGACGCAGACAAGCAAGAAATGGAAATGTTCACATGAAGGTAAAAACAGATTTTTAACTTACATCAAGCTAGATTACTCATCATATATAGGGGGGTTGGATGGCCGAATGGTTGGCTCATTCGCGTGTATCATGAGGTCTGTCAATAAGTCAATAAGTCAATTTGAACCCGGTTGTACGTGACAAGAGGTAGGATCGTCTGTCCAACCTCATGGGTTTTCTCCGGGTCCTCCGGTTTCCCCCCACTGCTAAAGACCCCTACGTGCAAGCAAATTATTGAAATAAAATTGAACCATATGTTAGTCCCGAAATGTTTGTGTCGAGTGGAGTTAAACCCCATTATCTCAAAATCAAAACTACCTAAAACACCCACCTGTGCAAAGCCAGGTAACTGAGCAGACTAATTAATACAAGCAGAGGTGCATAATACAGTTTCTATGATATTCTATATTGAGTAGAATTGAACCTATAATCAAATAATAACCTTTTTTTACAGACTACTGAAAGTGTACCTATGCAGCAAGCACCACCAGTCTACCCACCACAAGGTCAAGCCCCACCACAAGCTTATCCTGCTTATCCACAGCCAGGACAGTACCCACCTCCTGGGCAGTATCCCCCACCTGGGCAGTATCCCCCGCCTGGGCAGTATCCTCCACCTGGACAGTATCCACCACCTGGACAGTATCCCCCACCTGGTCAATACCCACCAGGCCCCTACCCTCCACAGGGTAACCCCAACATGAATTATGCTCCCCCACCTTATAGCGCGGTCAGTGAAGAACCCAGTAAAGTGGCCCTTTAAATTCAAGCAACTAGTTAATCTGAAATGCAACTAGAATGATGAGCTTGCCTGGTATATATACGCTTAAAATTTCATTTATTAGAAAAACAAGGAATAAATATTTAAGTGTAGTTATCGTCTTTGCATTTTTTAAAAGAAAATTTAATCTTTTTAATAATCATTAATAAAAACCTGGGCCCTGTTTCACGAAATTTTTAACCAAGATAAAATCCAAATTTTAGTAATTTGATTGGATAATATTAGATTGATTTTAGTGCTTAGCCAATCAAAATTGAAGTATCTACTAAAATTTGGATTTTATCTTTATTTAAGATTTCGAGAAACAGGGCCCTGAGTCGCACAATTTTTATAAACTTTTTTTTACAAATTGCACTATACATGTAGATATAACAGGAATATTAATTTAAGTTGCGTATTAATTTGCTTGATGAAGACGAGAGAACCCTTGTCGAAACGTCTTCAGAAATAAATCTTTCAAGTAATTAACTTATATTCCATATAATGGTGTAATGTGTTTTGACGAGCACTATATTAATTAACAAATCGAAACGTCTTCAGAAATAAATCTTTCAAGTAATTAACTTATATTCCATATAATGGTGTAATGTGTTTTGACGAGCACTATATTAATTAACAAATCTTGCATACTAATTTGCTTGATAAAGGGGAGAGAACTCTCATCGAAATGTTGTCAGAACTAAATCTTTCAAGTAATTAACTTGTATTCCATATAATGGTGTAATGTGTTTTGATGAGCACGTGTATATTTATTAACATATTTTCACAAATTGAAATATAGATCTGTAACTGTTTTTATTTTAAATTGTCTACTTTAATTATAATCAGCTCTGGCTAACTGAGACACACAAGTCAGAAAACCAAAACACAATTATGGCTAAATTTGGATTTTTGTATTTCGATATTTTGAATCTTGTACATTATGTAAAATGGGCGGTATAAAGTTAGTGTACACTATGAGATTGTAAAAAGGATTGTAATTAACTAAAACAAAGTTAGACTCCATCGCAACCATAAAAATAGCAAATGCATTTTAGAAGACAAGTATACTGAAAAGACATTTGCCGGAGCTGGTCCAATCTGATTGAAACACAGATCCTATTTCGTTTCGTTTTTTTATAGTTTATAATCCGCGTTCTGGATGATGTGAGAAATTAGCCAATAAAAACAGTCTATTACGGCGAGTTTTTGGCGCGAGTTGCACGGAACCGTGGGTAACCCACTAGAAACATCAACGCTGATTAGTTATTAAAATGTCTGACGTCATAGGGTCAAAAGCCGCTCGTATGACCTCTGATGGTAGAGGCCGTCGAAAGTATAAAAGAAAAAACGAAACGAAATATAGATCTGTATTTTATTTAGATTGGAGCTGGTAAGACATAAATTAAAGAAGATAATTAGTGTACAAATGTATATCTATACCTGGAATGTATATATAGTCTTAAATTGTATATAATCTTAAATTGTATTTAGTTTAAAAATGTATAATTTGTAAGCTTCTCTTCTCAGGTGACAATTTTTTTTGTTTTTTTATAAGTTTGTGTATTACTAGCAGATGACCCGACGCAGCACGGTTTGAAAGTAGTTTAACTCAGAAACCGGAAGTGGTAGGCCTATGCCAACTAGCCTATGTTACTCCCTGGTTCGAGCTACCCCTATGCACGAATTTTCAGCCTCATGACAGCGCTAGTGTAGCCACCAACCCTGAACAGACAGACAGACAAACAAACAGGCAAATTATTCACACATATATTATATAGATAGACGATGACCAACTAGCTTTAGTAAGCACAGTATTACACCTAGTTTGTGTTGAGTGGACCTCAAACCCCATCTCTGCCTCTCTCCCTATATTTAGTTTTATTATTATATCTTGTAATATGTTGATTTGGTTCTTACTGCGAACATAAAACTGGTTCGGAGTTGGGAGTGATAAAACTTTTTAAGAATTTATGCATTAAACTGTTTATACCACTTGTCTTTGCTCGTTGACACACAATTCTGCTAATCTATGCGGCTACCACTACTGTTCATTGTAAGACTTCGATTCCCCAGTTGTACGTGACAAGGAGTAGGGTCGCCTGTCCAATCTCATTGGTTTTCTCTGCGTCCTCCCACTGCTAAAACCCCTACGTGCAAGCGAATTATTAAAATAAAACTGAACCATGTGTTAGTCCCGAAATGACCTAATTTGTGTTTAGTGGACGTTAAACCCCATTTCTCTCTCTCTCTCTCATTGTAAAACTCTACGAGAGCCACAGGAAATATACCCTCTTCTGGTTTAATGTACGTGTATTTGACAATTTGACAATTTGATGGTTGCTTTAAACGACAATATTAGTGTCAGTCATTATCACATATGTGATAGGGGGGGGGGGGGGGGTTGGATGGCCGAATGGTTAGCACGCGCGCGCTGTATCATACAGTCTGTCATTGAGTCAACTGGCGAGGTTTCCATTCCTTGGTTGTACGTGACAAGGAGTAGTGTCGCCTGTCCAACCTCGTGGGTTTTCTCCGGGTCCTCCGGTTTCCTCCCACTGCTAAAGACCCCTACGCGCAAGCGAATAATTGAAATAAAATTAAACCATATGTTAGTCCCGAAATGACCTAGTTTGTGTCGAGTGGACGTTAAACCCCATTTCTCTCTCTCTCTCTCATATGTGATAGAACCTGTTAAACATGTTCCAAATATAATTTTAATACATGTACATTTAATTTGTTTGAAGCTTAGCCTCGCTTCACCAGTTTTAAATGAATCTACTTAAAATCGGACCCATTCGATGGCATCATGTGTTAATTATGGTCATGTTAATAAATGTCTAAACAATAATTTAGATAACATTTAAGGCCTAAAGAAAGACCTGCAATAGGCAGATTTAGCTCTTGTATAATGTCTGTTTAATGACTTAGGTGTTTTTTTTCTGCCATTCTTACAGCCATTCCAATAGTGTATTTCATATCCAGGCTTATCCTCCATCTTTCCAACCTCGTGGGTTTTCTCTGGGTCCTCCGGTTTCCTCCCACTGCTAAAAACCCCTATGCGCAAGCGAATTACTGAAATAAAATTGAACCATATGTTAGTCCCGAAATGACCTAGTTTGTGACGAGTGGACGTTAAACCCTCTCTCTCTCTCTTGAACCATTGAATAACATTTCCAATAATGTACGGGAAACTTGCCAATCGTACATTATCTATACTACAGGAAATATTGGACTCGCGTGACATGCTTTGAAAAGCATGTGCAGGATAGTGTCTGTATTTTATGTTATTTAAGGGTCTCGAGCTAAAGACATTGTGTAATATATTAAAACAACACTCGGCTAACGCCTCGTGCAGTATCAATATATTACTTAATGTCTCGCTCTCGATCATTAAAGGGACAATAACACTCTTGCTGGTTTGACAGCTCCAGAAAATAGAAAATAGCCTTATTCTAAATACTAGATATGTTAGTGTCTTACCTGTTGTGTAAATTATCCATTAAATCCTATTTTACTTGTCAAGAGGGTTCAAAAATATTTTTAAATCCAAGTCACATTTGAAAAGCTTTACGTCAGGCTTTTCAAATCATTTAGTTGAATTTTTCCAATTTTTTTAAATTAGGTGTTCTAAGATGAAATTTGTATCATCAATTAATTGGAATATTGTAAAATAGTACAATTTGTTGACCAGAATAAAGATTGGGACATATTATTCAGTTACAACAAGAGTGGTATTGAGCCTTTAAACTATACATATTTTTGTTTCTGCCAATCTTAATGTATATGCAATGCTGATTATCATATCAGATTAGGCCTATAGTGTATTTCTTATTGTCCCCCGCCTTTCGAAGAAAGCAGGGGACTATTAAAATGGGTTCGTCCGTCTGTCTGTCTGTCTGTCCATCTGTCTGTCCGTCTGTCTGTCCGTCCGTCTGTCTGTCCGTCACACTTTTTGGGACACAATAACTCTCTTCCTAATTGAGCTAGAATGTTCAAACTTGGTGTATGTGTTTATTAGGTCAATGCCTTGATGGAGTTCGAAGATGAGCATTTTCCGCTTAGGGTAAGCAGAGATAAGCAATTTGATTGGTTGATGCTTTGGGACACGATAACTCTCTTCCTAATTGGGCTAGAATGTTCAAACTTGGTGTATGTGTTGATTAGGTCAATGCCTTGATGGAGTTCGAAGATGAGCATTTTCCGCTTAGGGTAAGCAGAGATAAGCAATTTGATTGGTTGATGCTTTGGGACACGATAACTTTTAATTGAGCTAGAATGTTCAAACTTGGTGTATGTGTTTATTAGGTCAATGCCTTGATGGAGTTCGAAGATGAGCATTTTCCGCTTAGGGTAAGCAGAGATAAGCAATTTGATTGGTTGATACTTTGGGGCACGATAACTCTCTTCCTAATTGAGCTAGAATGTTCAAACTTGGTGTATGTGTTGATTAGGTCAATGCCTTGATGGAGTTCGAAGATGAGCATTTTCCGCTTAGGGTAAGCAGAGATAAGCAATTTGATTGGTTGATGCTTTGGGACACGATAACTTTAGTTCTAATTAAGTGAGATTGATGAAACTTGGTGTATAGATTTATTATATGAATACCTTAACTAAGTTCGATAATGAACATTTTTTGCTGAGGGTAAGCAGAGTGATAAGCAATTTGATTGGTAGAAACTTTGGAACACAATAACTCTCCTTCTAATTGAGGTAGAATGTTCAAACTTGGCATAGGTGTCTATTAGGTGAATGTTTAAACTTGATGTATATGTAGATGTTCATTAGGTGAATGTCTTGACTGAGTTCAATAATTAACATTTCGAGCTGAAGCTAAGCAGAGCTAATCGATTTCATTTGTCGATGGTTTGGGACAAGATAATCTTGATTCTATCTGATAGAGAGTGATGAAACTTAGTGAAAAAAATAAATGTGCGATTAATTAATATGTGTCATCTATTTATTTTGCAATTTCGGCGGGGGACATCAGCCTCACTGTTGGCTTGTTCCTGTTTATCCTCCATTTTGAAATCTGATTACCCAAACTACTTACAATATATTTTTATTTTAGAGAATCTTGTATGAATTCTTTCGTTATGGTGTTATGCATTTCTGAGATTTATCTGTATGTTTTTGTATGTTTCCGTCACCCATGTCAACCTTGGTCTGTGGGACGTCTTTAAAAAGGTTTGAGTTTGTTTTTTTTTTACTCAGTGATCATGGCAGACGGGTTAGCTCGATGACTAATATTTTCCTGTCTGTTCTGTTTCACCTTGCTGGTGCGAGACGGAGAATATGACACAGAAAATTGTCTAGTCATTCAGAAGACATGATAAATGGATGTCTTGGCAGCACGTTAAGGTGCCGTAAATATTAATATTTGACGAGCAAACTGCTGGTGGGCATTGCTTTTAAATGTCTTTCATATAGTACCCACTATTAAGTTTAATTCTTGTATCAACGGGTGCACAATAATAATCTGATATTTATTGGTCCTACTCTCATTGGTCTGGTGTTGATTAGTTCCGAGTAACTAGACTTTCCCAGTGACACCGGCTAGATCTATTTTTTAAGGCCAACTCAAGATTTCGTCAAGGTCGCTGAGATGTAAATAAGGTTAGGGCACGTGATTATTGGCATGATTGTAGGTTAGGGTAAGTGTTACAGCTGGGTCCAGGGATAGGGTTAGGGTTGGGATTAGCACTGGCACTATTTACATTTCGTGACCTTTGACCAAACTTGAAGTTGGCCTTATCAATTAGATTTAACCCAGTGACCTGGACACTGACAAAAAGCCTATATTAAAGATGCATTATGTAAAATTGAGATAAAGAGCTGGCAGTTCTTGCTATAATAGTTTAAAAAGATAATGAAAAATAAATATATTAAAAATGTCAGACAAATTACTTCATTCTGATCTTTTTCCGGCGTGGTTTCCCCTTGTTAGTGATGCAGGACAGAGGGCCTGACAAGGACAGCTGTCTAGTCCTTCGGGTGAGACAAAAAAACTGAGGTTCCGTGTATACATTGGAATGCACGTAAAAGATCCCTTGGCAGTTGGAATTTGATATAAGAGTAGACAATAGTGCCGCTGCCCGGGCAAAATTTCCCTCATAGCACACTGTATGGAATATGACCGTCTTCATTAGCCAAGTATAGGAGCAGAACAGTAGGACGTTAAACCCCATTTCATTTCATTCTGATCGAAGTCATGGCTGTTTGGATAATAGCGAAGTCTTGATTGTCATTGCTACTGTTGTTACGATATTAAACAAAGTCTTGATTATCCATTGTTTTATTTAAATTATTAAATTAGGATCTTGTTTCAATCCAATGAAAATCTTGAGCATCCGATGGACTAGAGAGTTGATTATGGTCTTGTCAAGTTAATTTTGAAGCCAAAAGACAGACCTGCAATAGGCAGATTTTGCTCTTACATAATGCATCTTTCATCGGACATGGATAAGTTTTATATCTTAAACATTGTACATGCTTCATCTTTTGATGTTAAATATATGTTTCCATCGAAAAGATGGAGCAGAAAACGTTAATCCAACAAGCAGACCCCAATAAAACTTAGCTTTTTTAATGTTTGAAATATCTTAATTTCCTAATAAAAATATCTTCAGATATTGCTTTTACTTATTGTTCAAGAGGATACTCCTACCTCTGTGTAGTCGATAATTCCACCCATCATTACCTGTCAAATAATTTCTCTGGTAGTTTATTTCTGTCACTTGGTTCCACATGCAGTCAATAGACCTTAAGGCTTGCAATCCTGGAGGTCCCTAGTTTGATCCCTGCATTCGCTGAGAAAGTTCATCAGGACTTTTTGGTGTGGTTCCCCCTTGTCAGTGGTGCAGGATGGAGGGGCTGACAAGGGACAATGTATTGTTGTTAAGATTGTATGAAAAAACGAGGTCCTGTGTACACATAAGCATGTACGTAATAGAGCCCTTGACAGTTGGGATTTGATATAAGAGTAGGCCGTAGTTTCACTGTTTGGGCAAAATTTCCCTCATAGCACACTGTATGGCGTATGCCCGTCGAACCAGTGACGGATCATTTTGTAGAAGAAAATAATGAAGACCATTTTCCCCAAAATAGTGAAACAAAGTGGCCTTTTTTCGATGAGTTTTGAAATTATCGGGTATACTCCACAGACCAACATTTCAGGTCGAAATTTCAAAAATCGGGAGAGAATCTCCGGATCTCCTCAAGACCGGGGGGGGGGGGGGGAGTGAACCCACTTTGACACCCTTCTCCGGCCCTAAGGTGCCACCTTGTCACTGAGGGCCCAGTGACTGCATGATTCGTCACTGAGCAGAACAATAGTGCGTTAAACCTCATTTCATTTCATTTCCTTAAACCAGTACAGACAATTTGATCTGTCAAGAATGAATATTAACATAGGAGTACAACATCAGAATAAAACGAAATGTAATTGGATTCAAGCCATTCAAGGCTAAATCTATTTGTTAAGGCCAGCTCAATTTTTGTCAAGGTGGCTAAGATGTAGATAAGGTTTGGGCACGTGTGGGCGAGATGATAGGTTAGGGTTAGGGTAAGCATTGTGGCTAGATCCAGGGTTAGGATTTAGGGTTGGGATTAGCGCTAGCCCTGTTTACACACGGTGACCTTTGACGAAAAACGGAGCTGGCCTTATCATTTAGCACTAACCAGCCGTTCAAGATGTCAATAAAAGTATTATTGATTTCAGGAAACTGTACAGACGATGAGTTTAGGTGTAAAAATGGACGCTGTATACACCAGAGTTTAAAATGTAATGGCTATCAGAATTGTGGTGATGAGAGCGATATGTGTTTGGATAAAATTGGAACGACTATTGGATCGATCGTGGCTATCGCATTTTTTGCTGTTGCTGTTTATGTGATTTTTATCATATGTCGTAAACGAAGGCAGTCGACAAATGTTCACATGAAGGTATAAATAGATTTTCATATAGAGTAATACAGGTTTCCTGAATCGGAAGTGAGCAAAAATTTGGCCGTGTATCTGTTATCACTCGTGACATCAATCAGTTATATAGAGGTATGACTCGTGTTTTCCTTTGGCGTTCGTCACTTCCGATTCAGGAAACCTGTATTACTCAGCTATCGTAGCAATGATCTCTGTGTTAAAATTATATTTGGAATGTGTTTAACCAGCTCTATCACATATATGATAATGACTGGCACCAATATTGCCCTTTAAGGGAGAGAAAGTCTGTTGTCAGAAGCCCCGTTAACTTTAACATGTCGTTAACTTGCCGTTTTATTTAATGAAGGTGTTGGGCTCCGTTATCGGTTTAACGATGGCATTATTCGGCTGTCAGTCGAAGTATAGGCCTACCCTTAGCCAAAAGTCCTATATATTACCAATGTAGCTTTCTGTAGAATTCTATAGACCATTCTAGAGGTGTGGGTGGCTGTCCCATTTTCTATAGGATGAAATTCTATTTTATTTTACTGAATTTTTGGGGGACCTGTAGGAAATAACGGCCCCAAATATTCTACAGTTTCTCGAGTGCAAATCCTATATATGATAGTATTCTATAGATTTTTATACGCCCACATTTTCATGTGGACGTACTATGCCGTCGCCCCTGTCCGTCTGTCTGTCCGTCCGTCCGTCCGTCCACAATTTGTTTGTGGACACT